GCTGTCCATGTTGTGAAGAAAGCAAGATGTTTAATTGTCTCTGTGATGAAACCAACGGACGCAGTTAATGTGCAGACAGACCATGATCAGAATAGATGCTACCTCCGAGATTCGAACCCGCACCACAACTGTACACATAAAATTGGGCCTAGACCACTTTCCTTTGTAATCAAAACGTCTACACTTGGGACCTTGTTAATCCGGACAGTGCCCTAACTCAGGTAACCGTCCTAGGTAATTAACACATTTCTGATTTAAAATACTTACGAATTTTTCATAATATTCGACATGTAGCTAAACGCTGTCTAAAGACAGGGGGGTTCCGGGGTACCGGATATAGCTGCATAACTCCCCTATATATATGGAATATTACTGAGTTCGGCATTAACAATGAACAAAAATACATAACCGTAACGCGGACAAAGTTCGCAGATCCAAACCAAGAACTAGTAACTCGTATAAGTGATTTTGCATCATTTATGCCTCATATTCGATTGTTGACCATGACCCTGAACACCAAGATGGAGAATATGTTATACAGAACACCAAGTACCAAGTATGTGAATCAGTCTAGACGCTGGTAATTAAGGCCCGATAACTAATTGTCCATATTTCACAATCTGGTGAGATTTCCTGCTCGAATAAATGACTCAAATTACCCAAGGTCACGCTGTCCATTTCTACGGCGTGACTTACAACCGGATGTCGTCTGCTGCCGTAAGGGGTCTACTTTCACTGAAGTGGTTCATTCGATACTATCGCAGGTTGTATCAGTAAGTTACAGCATGCATGCTTTCTGTCCAGTCCACCATTTGATCAACTTGATATCACGCCAGTGAAAGCAAGCCTAAATAGGCCCATTAAACCCAATCGAGGAAATGAGACTTTTAAACACTGATTATATCTGATTTTAAGTACAGGCCAGTCAAAGCGTCAGTTTCACATGAAAAAGAGAGCGAAAAAAAAAAGAGGTTAACATCGACTAACTGAGGTTGGCTGGTTGGTTGGTTGTTTGGTTGTTTAACGCTGCACTCAGCAATATTCCAGCTATATGGCCGCGGTCTGTAAATAATCGAGTCTGGACCAGACAATCCAGCGATCAACAGCATGAGCATCGTACTACGCAATAGGGAACCGATGGCGTGTGTCAACCAAGTCAGCGAGCCTGACCACCAGTACCCGTTGGTCGCCTCTTACGACAAGCATGGGTTACTGAAGACCAATTCTTACCCGGATCTTCACGGGATCTTCACTGAGGCAAGATTGCAGTTACGACAGCTGTACTTGTTGTTGTTTCGGGGTTTCCTTGTTTGGTAAGTAAGCCTCGGTCAGTAATATTCCCGGCATAAGTAATTATTATTTACATTGTAAATGATATACTCCAGGCTTGAAAAAACCCGTGATTGATTTCTGAACATCGTCCACCGTGGTTTGAAGACTGGAGGTCAACTAAGACACCGCGCCTTACCAACATATGGAATTAGTCACTTCGTACAAGTAAGGACGCCAGTCTGTTTACATTATTTTAGAAATTTGCATTTAAATTATTAATTATAACTTTAGAGACTTGTGCAAGTGTAAAGCAAAGGATCGGGGGTACCCGTGAAGGTCCAGGTTAGAATATTGATCTTCAGTAACCCATGCTTGTCGTAACAGGTGACTAACGGGATCGGGTGGTCAGGTCGCTGACTTGGGTGACACATGTCATCGGTTCCCAAATGCGCAGATCGATGTTCATGCTGTTGATCACTGGATCGTCTGGCCCAGACTCGATTATTTACAGACCGCCGCCATAACACGCGCAAGGTACTGGCAGTGGGTGAGTGAGTATGGTTTTACGCCGCTTTTAGCAATATTCCAGCAATATCACGGCGGGGGACACCAGGAATGGGCTTCACACATTGTACCCATGTGGGAAATCGAACCCGGGTCTTCGGCGTGACAAACGAACGCTTTAACCACTAGGCTACCCCACCGCCCCTTTTGGCAGTCACCTCATGCAGCGGATCCTGACTTCTCTGGATGATCATACCTGCACTTGTACGCCTTACACCTATGTGCCACCCGCAGCAATATTCCAGCTATATGACGACAGCCAGAGAATAATCATATCTGAATAAAACATTCTTGTGGTTCATTTTTAACAGGGGCAGGTGGGGTAGCCTAGTGGTTAAGGCGTTCGCTCGACACGCTGAAGACCCGGATTCGATTCCCCACATGGGCACATTGTGTGAAGCCCATTTCTGGTGTCCCCCGCCGTGATATTGCCGGAAAATTGCTGAAAGCGGCGTAAAACTAAACTCACTCACTCACTCCAATATTTACTACGTTGTACAGTGTGAAGTTTTTTAAAGGCATTTTGAAGTTGAACGAACATGAATACATGGCACGTTTTACAAATAACAGCGCTTTTTTTATTCTTTATACGACGTTTCAGGGCTGATTTTGGCCATAAAGAATATAAAAAGAAGTTGTTATCTATAAAACGTGTCATGTATTCAGTGTTCAGTGTGGCGTACAAACCAAACAAACAAACTCAAAACCGTGTCCGCGCTTTTAAAAACGCACATTTTGAAGTGAGTTTCTGAGTCTTTACCATGAACAAATTCCTCTCTTTGTGGACCAGGAGCACCGAGAGAATCTGGCGATTTCTTTCTCAGTTTCCACTCCATGGCCTCAATTAATCATAGAAGTACATATTAAAGTGGTTTTACATTTAGCCTATTACCATTGAAGCTCATTATCCGATTTAAAGTTCGCTATATATCGACTTATGTCACCCCAAGACATATGAACTTAAACCGCCATGAAAACCCAATCTGACATGTCCCGATAGCCCCCACAACGACTTATCCAAACAGGAAAAGTTTACTTTCATCGAATTACAGAGCGAAAACGTACATTATCTTTGATGTGGCAATGTAGATATATTTTGAGAGCCCACAACACAGCGCGCGGCAACCAGAGAGTTCATCAAAGACATTCCAGAAGCGAAGTAAACTCCACGACACCACCTTATCACGATTATCAGCGACATGGAGCTTGAAACACCTCAACATCAATGGAACATGTTCGGTTTTACCGTGGTTTGGAGCTATTAGAATTATTTTGGGGCTCATTTTGTCGCCAGAGGGCGATTTGTAGCGTGCTGCAATACGAATAAACATTAATTAATAGGGATTAGATTCACTGAATCGGAAGACGTTTGAGGTTATATTAGCGAGTGAGGGCGAACTGGTGATTGTATGACCGCTTTATTTCACTGGAGAAAAGTTGAGCTGTTGGAGTTACTTCCCTTGGGTTATGTGAGCGATTAATGTTCATTTGAATGTAAACCGGAAAGCTGACTTTACTCGTGTTTTTCAAAAGCCTTATATATATACATGCTGTTAAAGAAAGATCGATTAGTATATTAAATATCAAATGTACACCACAACCAAAAGTATGATTAAAGCAGGGATAATCTACTTCAGTCTTCTATTCTCCCTGATTAAAGGCACAAATTTATGGATGTCAACTTCTTATTTTGATGAATACGACGTATCGGCGTACATTCACCTGATGAAGGAGTAAGTATATACTCCGAAATGTCATGTCCATCAAAATAAGAAGTTGACATCCATATATTTGTGCCTTTATGTGTATCACCTCTAATCTGACCAGATGGTGGCCACATGAATACATGCAAACACCTAGTTGCGGGTACAGCAACGTGCAGTGAACTTGGACAAAGTACTGTGACTATGTGTCCCAGTCCACCCAGCTGTGAATGGGTACCTCGTTAGGATGAGAAAGCCACAATAACTCGGTGCGCCTAGTGGCTGCAAGAGTTGTATACTCCCCAGGGAGTTGAGATTGATAATGCGATGTGCCGTTGAGATTGGCATCCAATGATCGATGGAAAAAATACCAGCGCCTTGAGAATGCACTAGTGCGTGGATATGTGCGCTATATAAATATCCTATACTATACTAAATGCCGTTCCAAGAGCGTAATTATTGGTAGACAGAAGATCGTGGACAGGGCACTGTGATAAAAAAAAACCTGCAGCTTTCCAAACCACATCGAGGGCGTGAGTTCAAATGGTTTTATTTCTGCAATATCATGGCAGAGGAGAACACCATAAATTTACATATTGTTCTCATTCGGGGAATCGATCCCTACATGGGACGAGCGAACGCTTCTAGCCACTATTGGCACCAAGTTACCCCTGTGCCCTTCAGTCTGCACAGCGAAAACTGACCGAACACATTTTCACCGCAATCCGTTCATGGGGTATGGCCACCATTCATGAAACATGTAATGGCATTTCCGGCGCATATCATTGAAATAGTACAATATGTCTTCTCCACAAGATAGGTCCATCAGAGATCTGGTTGGCTTTTGATAGTAAGGGATTTTTAAACATTATTTTGTACGTGTACAGGGCCACAGCTGTGATTTAGACTGAAATGGGAGTTGTTATGAAATCCATTTTTTTACTACCTGACGATTCAGGTTAATAATGTAACAAATATCAATGACCATTTGTTTTCCATCGTAGTAAACATCAAGTTCATTTCATCATCAAGAGCGAGCGACATCACTGTGTCAAGTTTATGAGGTGAGGTGAGGTGAAATTGGGTTTAACGTTGTGCTTGAGAATATTTCGCTCATATGACGACGTGCATGCCTGTGTATGTGTATGTGCGGCTGCTTGTACTAGCCCAGACTTAAGCTGGTTTTATAGTGCTAGCCCACTGAGATACCATGTCGCAGTGAAGCATGAATACCCCACTCAGACACATTATACTGACTCCAAGACGACCAGTCCATGTACCCATGAATGCCGAGCTCCAGGCAGGGACCAACAAATACCATATTTTAACGTCTTTTGGTATGACGCGGTCGGGGATCGAACCCGCGACCTTCCGCTCTCCGGGCGGACGTTCTAACCACTACACCACGGAGGCGGTCTCAAGTTTATGACAAACCATCAGGAACACAAATAACAACCTGTGGACTGTGAAATAGGTTTATTAAAAAATGTTTCAGATGCCAGATACTGACATCTGGTCTACAAAACATTATATTTCACCTTACAACCTGCATGAGCTGTCATAGTATAAACACAATACAAAACAAATACCATGCGATGTACAATTTGTTAAGAAATATTGTTTCCTTAAAAATTTATGATGTTAAGGATATATAAATTCTGAGTACATCTGGAATCAGAATGACATTGTATTAATTTGCTCAACTTAGATTTTACTATCAACAAAGAAGAGAATAACAACTTTCCACCTGTATTGCCTTTGTATGTTTTAATTACTTCGTCACTGTGTACAAATTCAATTAACATTTTTCTCACCATGAGAAGAAATCAGCCATAACGTAACAACATTATCCCATTACCCCTAACATTGCACACTGGTGAATCTCAATGCTTAATAGAAGAATGAAATCATGATGAACTATTCATACATGAATGTAGATGTGCATTTATTCCACAAACTTAGAATACCACCAGCATTTCTTACCAGTAGAAGTGTTCTTACAGCTAAAGTTACATCTAAAAAAGGACTAAAGTAACTTCATTTTAGTGAAATATTACGTTTAACGCCCATGTCTCAGAGGGTTCAAAACTCTAGGTTGTTGTCTACACACTGATAAAAAGTTGAAACTGCCTGTCTGTGCTGCTAATGTTATATCGAAACACATGGGCTATTCCTGTTGCCATAAATCAGTTGTAGAACATATTCCTTCAAAATTATTTCAGTTCAAGCATTTTGTCTGAGAACAGATTAAGAATCATACGAATCTGCACAATTTTCTCCAGTTATCAGAGCATTGCTAGGAACCATGTTCACTGAGAGGAGGTGACATTTTGTGATGGAATTAGTTTAACAAAATAACTTGATGGCGCCTGGTATATTTTCCATCATAACATCAGGGTCCCAGCTAACACTGGTCAAAATGGCACAATGCTGAGAGTAAACAGGTACTTAACATTACATTATACAAAACAACCACAATAACCATGGTAACTGGAATGCTGAATGGATTTCATTTAATGAGACTTAGACACAGCCCTGTGAGTACACTGGAGGCATGCTTACATTAAATCAGAGGAATAGTTTCCTTTGTTGTATTTCAAAGGTTGATATAAGTGAACTTTCATGAGTAAATTCAAACATTAAATGACAAAATTCTTCATAATTAGTCAGATCCTCAAAAGCAGTTAAACAATCCAATGCACACCATGGACTTCATCATGACACTGGCCCTCAACCAGTACTCCTGGATATGAATCTTCTTGGCAAAGGCAGGAGATGATCCACAGTGATCCTGTTGCAATGGCATCACAATACAGAGCTTGTTTCGACAGGCGGCAGTAATGTGTTGGACGCAGGGTTATCTAGAAGTAGGGCTTGTCCTTGTCACACAGGGCCAGGATCTCGCTGTCAACTTCGGGGGGAGGAGAAACGATCCACGAAGGACTGGATGAGTCCAGCTGCGTTGGCTTCATAACTCTTTAAGGTCACTTTTCCATCTGTAAACAGACAGATGTTTACAATGTGAGCGCATTGTGTGAAATTAACCCTCATCATAACCTTATCATGTTTATGTTATAAGTTAAACATGTTAACACTTCTCAAGTACCACAAGACGCTGCTTTAACTCTGAGCACTAAGGGTGGATGACTTGGGAATATGGATTTCACTCAAGTCAAAAGATACAATCAGAGGTGAGGTGAGGTGAGGTGAAATTGGGTTTAACGTCGTACTTGAGATACAATCAGAAAATAAAATACAACCGTTTATGAATTTGCCCCACATTGCCATTTGTGATGAGTCAGAAAAATATAGCAATACATGTAAAACATCTTCAAGAATCAAAGATGCTGTGAGCCTTTTTAATAAATATTTAACCCACTGCTATTGTATAATGTCTTTTCCCACAGCTATCTTATAGAGAACTGGGGCATGGGTAGCCCTATTGTCTGCATCCATTGAGTAGCATCCATCAGGTACACCAGGAAAAGTCTGTGGATTCAAATCCTGGTTAACCCCAATTGTGTTATCAACACCATACCTCATAGATTTCACCAAAGTTGAGTGAGTGAGTTTGGTTTTACGCTGTTTGTAGTTTAACTCCAGTCATATCATGACAGAGACACCAGAAATGGACTTCACACATTGTACTCATGTGGGGAATCGAACCCGGATCTTCGGCATGACAAGCGGACACTTTAACCACATCGCTACCCCACTGCCCCTCATCAAAGTGGAAAACATGTGACACCTGCACCACTTTATGCTTTCCTCCCACAGCAAGCTGACCCGCTATTAAATGACTGGAAAACAGTTAGAAGTAGGGATGTCATGATACAAAAATGTCATGAATCGAATGGATCACGATAACTATTTTCGCAGCATTAAATTTAGTTACATTTTGAACATTAATATTTCTTATTTTATAATTGCCCATGAAAAGATCAACATATTTGACCTCTAATTTCCCATCTTGGTGGACGAAAAATAATAATTTATAACTATCATAACATAAAAAAACATGATACAATTGCAAAATGTAAACAATACATAAACATATTTAAACCAATACTTTCAAAATGAAATATCAATACAGTCTTGAATGTATGAATAATTGTATCGTCTTAGAAAAAGCATCGATGCATCATAGTTAGAGCAGTGTTGAACCCAACTCACAGCTTCATGAAGCTAACAAACCTTTCTCAGAAATAAATACATATGCACCACTTGCCTATGAAGACCCTCCCTCATGCATGCTCCCATTAAAAAAACCTACTTTTTATATATTTAACACATCATTTATTTATTTCTCACTTAACTGACCACATTAACTAAACAACGAAGGTAAGACACAAGGTAAAACTGTTGAGTAACGATAACTGTTACATTACCTTGTACAGATGTGTGGTGTTGAACAAACATCTTGCGTGGTTGTTTACGAGCAAGGACAACCTCGCGAAGACTTAAGAAGTGTGGTTTGGCATTGTCGTTGACATCAGAGTAGAAGTCGTACATCTTCTTCCCTTCTGCAACATCTGCGGTGGACTTGTACACCTGAACCACAAACGCCATGAAAATATGAGTGACTCCTTGTATGGTAAATCAAGTAACTGAACCAGGTATCTACCTATCTGGTCTGCAATTTATCCCATACAGGTGTTCCTGACAGTTAACACCATTTGCAAGAGACTGATTTACTAAACAGAGGATTTCAAGGAGTAAAGGTGAGGTGAAATTCATACTTGAGAACATTTCGCTTGAATGACGACGTGCATGCGTGTGTACATGTGGCTGCTTCACCTAGCCCAGACTTAAGCTGGTTTTATAGTGCTAACTCACTGAGATACCATGCCGCAGTTAAGCATGAATACCCAACTCAGACACATTATACTGACTCCGAGCCGACCAGTCCTTGTTGTACCCATTAATGCCGAGAGCCAGGCAGGTACCAACAAATACCATATTTTAAGGTCTTTTGGTATGACGCGGTCGGGGATCAAACCCGCGACTTTCCGCTCTCCGGGCGGACGTTCTAGCCACTACACCACGAAGGCGGTAGATGTGCATTTATTCCACAAACTTAGAATACCACTGGCATTTCTTACCAGTAGAAGTGTTCTTACAGCTAAAGTTACATCTAAAAAAGGACTAAAGTAACTTCATTTTAGTGAAATATTACGTTTAACGCCCATGTCTCAGAGGGTTCAAAACTCTAGGTTGTTGTCTACACACTGATAAAAAGTTGAAACTGCCTGTCTGTGCTGCTAATGTTATATCGAAACACATGGGCTATTCCTGTTGCCATAAATCAGTTGTAGAACATATTCCTTCAAAATTATTTCCATCAGAACATCAGGGTCCCAGCTAACACTGGTCAAAATGGCACAATGCTGAGAGTAAACAGGTACTTAACATTACATTATACAAAACAACCACAATAACCATGGTAACTGGAATGCTGAATGGATTTCATTTAATGAGACTTAGACACAGCCCTGTGAGTACACTGGAGGCATGCTTACATTAAATCAGAGGAATAGTTTCTTTTGCCGAGCGCCAGGCAGGTACCAACAAGTACCATATTTTAAGGTCTTTTGGTATAACGCAGCTGGGGATCAAATTCGCGACCTTCCCCTCTCCGGGCGGACACTCTAACCACTTTCAAGGAGAAAAGGATGTAAGTAGCAGTCAGTGGCAGTACATTCCTCAATACTTCAACAAGCTGACCTGCTGTCAGCTGAAGATGGCAGAGCTATTTGCACCATGAGGTCATCTATAAGACTCCTACGTAAATAATCTAAAGGGACACAGTAACCTTCCACTTACCACACTTACACAAGACGTTTTTGACTTAAATATTTCTAGCAAGCTGGAGTTTGAAACATTTATGATGACAAAATAAACAAGGGTGCAGTTGTAACAAAACAAAAATATCCACTTATCCAGTTTATCAGACTTTTACTTTTCTGGATATTGGATTCGCCTGACGTTCATGTGTGAGCGTAATAACATTTGATTATTGTATCAGCTGCATAAGTTTAGGTGCACATTATTCCAGCTGGAGTGAGTGAGTGAGTGGGTTTAGTTTTATGCCGCTTTTAGAAATATTCTAGCAATATCATGGCAGGGGACACCAGAAATGGGCTTCACTATTCCAGCTGGAAGTTTCTGAAAACTTAATGACATTAGTAATGACTATACACTTTGATTCACAATTTATTACCTGAAGCTTCTGAAGGAACTTCCCAATGGCAGGTTTGCCCACTTTAATGATCTTGGTGCGGTCAAGTTTGATCCTGAGATCAGGTTTACCATCCTCCCCTATTGTGTTGGTGATGGTGATGAAGTCTTCCCCTGCCTCCAGCATGACACGCAGGATACAGAACCTTGCCTGCATGTGGGCCTGTCACAAACAGTCATAATGTCACACGTGGAGAGTCAGATGGGACAACATGGATTGTATGGTGGGATCACATGGATTGTAAGGTGGGATCACATGGACAGTAAGGGTGGGACCAAAATGGATTGTAAGGTGGGATCACATGGATTGTAAGGTGGGATCACATGGATTGTAAGGTGGGATCACATGGATTGTAAGGTGGGACCACATGGATTGTAAGGTGGGACCACCTGGATTGTAAGGTGTGGACCACTTGAGGGTGGGGACCACTTGAGGGTAAGATGGGACCACATTGAGAGTGAGGTGGGACCACATTGAGAGTTAGGTGGGACCACATGGATTGTACGGTGGGACCACATTGAGAGGAAGGTGGGACCACATTGAGAGCAAGGTGGATCCACATTGAGAGCAAGGTGGGACCACATTGAGGGCAAGGTGGGACCACAGTAAGAGTAAGGTGGGACCACATTGAGAGCAAGGTGGGACCACATTGAGAGCAAGGTGGGACCACACTGAGGTTAAGGTGGGACCACATTGAGGTGGGACCACATTGAGGTAAGGTGGGACCACATTGAGACCACACTGAGAGCAAGGTGGGTGAGAGCAAAAGGACCACCACAGGTGGGACCACACTGAGAGCAAGGTGGGACCACACTGAGGAGTGGGACCAAGGAGCAAGGGGACCACACTGAGGGCAAGGTGGGACACACATTGAGAGCAAGGTGGGACCACATGAGGGCAAGGTGGGACCACATTGAGAGCAAGGTGGGACCACACTGAGGGTGAGGTGGGACCACACTGAGGGTAAGGTGGGACCACATTGAGAGTGAGAAGGGATCACATGGACTGTGAGATGGGACAACATGGATGGTAAGATGGATACAGTAACATGTCAGTAGTGTCAGTATGACCTAATCATCTTAATGCCAGGCACCTGAAGGGTAGCAACAAGTTCCATGTTTGACACAATCCAACAGATGGCAACCTCACACCTGGGCAGACGCTGTCTCCAATACACAACGGAGACAGTCTCAGTAAAGGGAGATAACCAGATTCATCTTACTGTTGTCATCTGACAACTCACCTGTCTCCAAGCACCCGTCTCTGGGGAGTAGAACTCCAGGGCCAGCAGACCAGCACGGGCCATGTTCAGCCAGTTGATGTAGATGATGTCATCAGCTGAGTCTCCAATGTGGCCAAATATCCTGCCCAATCAGATGTTGAATCGTGATTCAAGGGACCAATTAGATGTCAAGCTTAAGTTATAGGGGGGCCAATCAGATCTCAGGTAATTTTATAGGGACCAATCAGATGCCAGGTAGATATAGGGGGACCAGTCATATGTCATATTCATGCGAGACCAACAGCTAGTTATAAAGAGACCAATCAGACGTAAACGGGTTACATTGAGACCGATCAGATGTTGAGTGGTTATAAAGTGGCAAATCATAACATGTAGATGTACAACAGACCTATCCCATGTTGCAACGTTATACAATGCATTGTATGGTTGGTTCTAGAAGGGACCGGTTTGCGTAAAAAACAATTGATGATTACAAAAGGGGACAGGACATCAGATGAATGGTACAGATGCAGGGATGTCAGCCTGAAGTGTACAGAGTCTGATACCACAAAAGTTCCCAATGCCAGATGTCTTCAGGAAGGTTGGCATGAAATACAGTGAAATGGATAAGGGCAAGACAATCTAGCCAATTTTACCATACATACGCTTTGCAACTGAAATCAGCAAGGCAGTAGCCACATTGTTCATGAACCAAATGTCAATTCCTTTATGCAATTTCAATTGGAATACACAGACATGTTTTGCCAACAAAATTCCACATTAGTTAGACTAGAGTGGAAACTATAATTTTATTGTGAACCCCCTGGACTATGAATCAGAAAAGATTGCCATCAGAAACCTGTATATACAAGCCTTGTGTCGTATGTACAGGTGTAACAGGTCAATAGTCATGTCTAATTCCTATATCTTACTTTAGAACATCAAAGGAGAGGCAAAGGTAGATTCCAACACACTCAGCCCGACACTCCTCATAGCTTGACCCTATTGAGGAGAACTTGCTGTCCCAGGTCTCACCGGGGAGGTACCACGTTGTTATCTGAATACGATAAATCCATCAAAACTTAACATCTTGTAAGGAAACATTCTATTTGATATCATACAGTTGTTGTCTGACTATGATTATGAACATTTGTTGGAACAATTTGTTGGGTTGTGCAATTCACCAGGATTCAGTTGGGTTGTGTAGTTCACCAGGATTCAGTTGGGTTGTGCAATTCACCAGGATTCAGTTGGGTTGTGCAATTCACCAGGATTAAGTTGGGTTGTGCAATTCACCAGCATTCAGTTGGGTTGTGCAATTCACCAGGATTTTAATTGGGTTGTGCAATTTACCAGGATTTAATTGGGTTGTGCAATTTACCAGGATTTAATTGGGTTGTGCAATTTACCAGGATTTAATTGGGTTGTGCAATTTACCAGGATTTAATTGGGTTGTGATCTTTACCATGATTCAATTAGGTAATGCTCTTATCATGATTCAATAGGGTTGACCTAGTACCCAAATGTCTCTGGGAGTCGACAGTGTTAACTGACTGGACCTACCTTTTCCCCAGTTTCCGTGTGTCTCACGTTATCCTGGTCAAAGTTGAACTTTCCATCTTCTTCCTGACAACACACATTGACAATACGAGTACAACACTGTACACTTGCATTAAGTGTTGAACCGATGTTTATTTACCAGGTATGCACATCATTTACTCTACATCAAAAGTTCATACATACATAAAAATATGTAGCAAGGGAAAACGTATCTAAAGCTGTGCCCCTAGAACTGACAAACTCACTGTAATACAGTCCAGGGCCCCGTTCCTCAAAGCGATCATAAACCTAGGGTGATTGTAACTCCCATACTTCAACATAGACTTATGACAGTCGTAGCGCTATGATCGTTTTGCGGAATGGGGCCCTGATCATCGTTGTCATCTTTGATGAATATGCTTATCTTAAATCATAGAGATTACTAGCTGAGTGTGTTTCTGTTAATATTATATGAAATACTGATAATAACTGCAATACTGAAGGGAGAGTGTGGCACAGCCATATGCCTTCCCCACCTCCGCTCTGGATCTGCCAGAGTCAGCAACGCTATACATCATACGACAAACATTTACTTGAAATCCCAGGGCAAGTCATTATTGTGTTAGAGCTATCATTTGTGTAGAGTGAGTGAGTGAGTGAGTTTAGTTTTACGCCACACTCAGCAATATTCCAGTAATTGTAATTAATCAGGTCTGGACCAGACAATCCAGTGATCAACAGCATGAGCATCGATCTGCGTAATTGGGAACCGATGACATGTGTCAACCAAGTCAGCGAGCCTGACCACGGGATCCCGTTAGTCGCCTCTTACAACAAGCATAGTCGCCTTTTGTGGCAAGCATGGGTTGCTGAAGACCTATTCTACCCAAGATTTTTACGGGTCCATTTGCGTAGAGAATGCAAAGACACAATATTGGCATGTTCACCTTTTTAAAGAGCTTGCCACTACCATGACCCAGCAGTTCATGGAGTCCAACCTGGACTTCGAAGGATGGGAGTTTCAGCTTCACGTACAGCTCCTGGAAAGGGGAGATAATTCAATAACTATTACATACAAAGTTTCAAACTTTTTTGTGTTTAAGGGACACTAGCAGTGCAATCATACCAAGATGACATGTACTGGTGTTCTCAATATCAATCACTGGATTGTCTTCTTCAGAGCTTGTACAGAGGCCCAATCATGTAGCTGTGGAACAGTGCTGAGTGAAGGACTAAACCAGGGTTTTACACCGACTTTTAAAAATGGGAGTCATGGTGACACAATATTCATTATTGGGAGTCATTTTCAACATTTGGGAGTCATGAAACTTTTAATATTTCTTTGTGTTAATCATTCTCAGTATGTAACTGTGCGGGGGGGTAGGAACGGTTTTCAGAGGAGGGAGGGAGGGAGGGGGAGCTGATTTATGAAAAATATTGAAAATCAAAATGTGGGGGTAAGCCCCCTCCCCAAGCCCGCCCTGTTCCTACGCCCTGCTGTGTATGTCAAACCACCAAATGACACTACAGCATTGCTAAATTCAAACAGCCAGGATTACTGTCTCCTCTGAGTTCATTGGAACTATCTGACAGCCCTGTAATAGTCAAACTATCATCGAACAATATCATTTTTTGCTTATCAAATCGATAATATTGAACTGAATTGTGAGCGCCACCCATAAAACTTGTGTCAAGCTTGGCTCGTATGATAATATTTTGAGAGTCATTTACAAAATTGTTGCATCAAATACACAGGAATCGTGCGTCATGTAAAACCCTGGGATTAAACACACATATACCAATTCAACCACACATCTACTTCCTCCCTCTCCCTCTCCCTATCTTAGTAAATCCATTCACCAAGAATGAAAACCGAGGCTCTAGGTCACAATAAAAGGTATCGATTTAAGATCCATATTCATCCATATTCATCAATTTGCATCTATACAGTTTTGAATTTTTCTTGTGTGCACCAGTCACTGGATATTAATTGACAATACCTCAACAGTTCATAATAATACATGAAATGATTTACCTGTGACAGCACACCTTTAGTTCATGCCTCATTCAATTCAACACAGCCCTACACAGTCATCCAAGCCCAAAGGAGAGCAAGGAATACCATCACTATGATGTGTAAAGATAGGGTGGGGTTCAGGGGCTTCAAACCCACTGAAACAACCCCATTGGCTCCTCCAACACAAAAAAAATCTCAATGTGGTCTTAAGTCATTTTCACAGGGTGGGGGGTGGGGGGTTCGAACCCCCTGAACCACCCCTCTGGATCCGCCAATGCCTCTCACTGTTACAGTTGTACGAGTATAAATATACATATAATTAGGCAAACAAGATAAGGCAACACTGAAAAGCTTGCATAAGGCAATAGTCTACAAAACATTGCATCAGTACAGTTGACGTACTGTCCCTTTAATTGCTGCATCAGAACAGATGTATTAAGAGAAACGGCACTGAATGTCTTCACCTTGTCTTCGTCATCAAGGAATGTGATCTTCGTGTCCTTATAGCCAGACGTCAACACGTTCCCCAGTGACACGTTCTTGAAGCCCTCATTCTGCCGAATATCATCATCTGGTATGTAGGTTTAGATTACAGAATTAGCAAAACAAATACAGAAACAACAAGTGTTTGCCACTGATATGGCAATGTCCCCCGCTGCTAAAGAATGGAATATCTATATTTACTACTTTTTATTTTTTGGTCACATACAAGATGCCTGAAATGACTGGTGCCTGCATAATCACCCAATGTAGGCTGTCAACGTAATTGAAAACATTGGGTGCAATGTTTTATGAGATATCACGTGTAAATAAGTTTGAAAAGTGGTCAAAGTGTCGTGGTGACCTTGAAGACAAGGTCAAGGTTACCCAAATAAACTGGTGTCTGTGTAATCCCCCAATGTAGGTTGTCACCACATATGAAGACATTGGGTACAACAGTCCATGAGATGTGTTAACAAGAGCTTGAAAAGTGTTCAAAGTGTCATAGTGACCTTGTAGATAAGGTCAATGTCACCCAAATCGACTGGTGTCTGGGTAATCCACCAATGTAGGCTGTCATCAAATTTGAAGACATTGGGTACAACAGTTCATGAGATATCGGGTAAACAAGAATCTGAACGGATGAACGGACACTGCTGAATACATAGTCCCCCGTTCCACGTTGCGGAGAGGGACAATAAAGTATACTTGAGGGGAACCTCAACAATTAGCAAAACAAATACACAAACTATAAAGTGCAAAACCTTTGAATCACTTGCTGTCCTATTTCAGCAAACTGATGATGTTAAACCAAAGCCAACTCACAGTTAGGAATGTTGATTCCTGCAGGGATGCCACTGCCTCCGAAGCTGAGGACGTCTAGGGAGGTGAAGTCTGGCCGCAGGAACTTGTCCTTCTCATACGCTGCTGGCCATGGCAATAGTGCCAGCAAGTGTTCTGCACTCTCCACCAGGGATCCAAATTTGGCACTCATATTCTTGTTCACAACCGCAGCAAAACCTAAGCAGAATTACACACACAAATATAAACACCATATGATGTATAGTCCGTTTGGCTCAAAAGCGGACCGATGAATTGCAATCTAACATAAAATACTCAATGAAACACTGATCATAATGAAAACATCATACCAACTCTGTGAAGTTTTTGCAGAATTTATGTCCTAAAAATTAAAAAGTTGTTTAACAAACTATCATTAAAATATTGACACAGTTCACTATTTGTTACGAGGGGGGAGTGCAGAGAGAGGGACAGCCAGGTGTGCGAGAAAGGCTGGAGACGGCACAGCACAGGTTAATGAATCAATAACTTTGTCGGCACTTGTGTCCGTGCTTCTCTAACACCTGGCTGTCCCTTTCTCTGCACTCCTCCCTCGTAACAAATAGTGAACTGTGTCAATATTTTAATGATAGTTTGTTAAACAACTTTTTTTAATTTTAGGACATAAATTCTGCAAACAAAGCTCAGAGTTGGTCTGATGTTTTGATTATGATCAGCGTTTCATTGAGTACTATATGTTTATTAGTTTTTTAATTAGATTGCAATTCATCGGTCCGCTTTTGCGCCAAACGCACTATAGGACTTAAGTATACACAGGATCTCTCGTATTAGAAGAAACATAACTGATAAATGAAAAGAAACAAACATAGAGTTTCCCCTAAGTATAATGCTGATGTCTGACATCAGAATAAACATGACTGACAACAGTATTAACACAATGTTTGACATATGTGTAAACCTACCTTCAAATTCCCCCCTGACACCATAAGGGTCTCTATAGGACTCTATGAAGCCAATATATCTGAAACAAGACAGTCACAGGCTTCAGACAAGACATCTGTACAAAAAAAATATATATACTCTTTGAATGGCATTTAGAAGTTATACACAATATGGGTGGAAATTTGTGGACGTCAAGAAAGAAACAAAGAGCTTATACATGTTCACATGAGAACAACTAAAGTGATGACAGCTGAGTACTAGTATTAATATTTTATACTTACGTCTCTACTATAGGACCCTTGTTCTTTATCCAGAACCTGGAACCATCTTTGTGTGCTGGTAGTGACCCTGTTGTGAAGCTCTGGGCATACTCTTCCAACATTCGCACCTCATTCTCTGTGGCTGCATTTTTCTGGAAGGCAAAATGACTTTGGTTTAAAGCAGCTCTGAACAGTGTTTCAATCACATCCAGTAGGTCATTTTGACAGGCCTGGAAAGCCAAACATTATAGACATCACAGATGTCACGGACGTTTACCACTGTCATGAAACCCTCATGCATGATACTTATATCCCAGTATCAGGATGACCTAGATCCCTCAGAAATGATTCTTTCTCTTGTGAATAAACAGCATTATCAATTTTGGAGGATTAAACTCACTTTTTAAACATCTTTACATGCAATGCTGGCGAACATAGGTTGAATTCATTGTCTGTCCTTCTCAGTGTTATATTAGCAATGCCCCATACATAAGCTACAATAGGGGCTTAAAAGTTGTCATTGTACTTTGATCAAGTTAGAACTATCATGTTTCAATTCCATGACATCCTACTGTCTTCAGAAAGGGCAATCCATGAAAACTTAGTGGACTTCAAAAAGGTTTCTTGCATCATCACATCATATGAAATCCATTATTTAATCAAATCTGAAACACTATTAATTTTTGACAAAACACATACCTTGGCCTCGTTAAGGTTATCTACAACACGTTTGAGAAGTGGAGAGTAGTCTCCCCTGGTAACCTTGAAGGTGACTGGTCCGGCAACATCTGTTGGTGTAAACTTATGTTCTCCAAGCCCATTTTCAGATTTTACACCTGGAATATCTCCACTGGCTGGTGAGAAAGATGATGGACAGAAAATTATCACATTAGATAAACAGTTATCTTTCCTTCATATGCAAGTCCTGTTAGATAGCACTTTCATTTACACAGAACACATTTGGTGGCACATGTATTTTTGGATTATGACAAAAAACGTGTTCTGAACATAATTTAGAAGCAGACTTGGAATAAAGATGTAACTTTGTGTATAGCGTATGAAAACTAGGACATTATTTCGCTACAATAGTCATATAATACATTATCAATTACACAAATTTTACATAAATATTCATAAATATTTATTCTCAGCGATATTTCTTGTAATGCACATTTTAACAAGCAATACCGTAAAATGGATGTAGTTGTGCTTACCTGTTGTCTCGACAGAGGCTAGTCTGATCTCATAAACAGGGAGGCTAGTACGCTTGTCTTCAGTCTTGAACAGGCGCGTGTTATATGGACTTAAGTCCTGGAGGAGACAATATGTTATACCCAGATGAGGAAACACTAATATACTGTGATACATCACAGAATCAGTTCCATAAGTGTGAGGACGAAAGGTGATATTCAACACATGCTTACACATACCCTTCTGTATGTTTGACCGAGGCCTTGTAGTTCTGCTGATCAATATGATCAATACATGTCATGCAGAACTCTATTTTGAAGCCTTCATTTCTGAATGTCAGGAGCGATGATTTTCTACTAATGTGTGATTTTCTTAACATGCTTAAGGGAAAAACGTTTGTGAGTTTGTTCACCATAAAGTGTTTCGGTATGCTGAATAAGGCACTCTGTAATATTCCAGTTATATAACAACTGCCTCTTGATTACTGAGCCTAGACAAGATAATCCAGTGATGGATAACATGGGAACCAATGAACATATTTCAGATACAATGGCAAGCATTAATGGGTCAGAATGAGCACCCAAAACGGCTAGCCAGAATTCACACTGACATGTTACTGTCGGCTTAAGGTGACTTCACAAACCGTTCAGACAGGTCAGAGATATCACTAATGGATTTCTAAAATGTTTTGTCAAAAGATTAAAGGGACCAATTCTCCTTATCCCATGATAAAATACTTTTTGAGTTACATCATAACTCCCTCAAAACATGACTCTGTTCAAATTACTTTCCGTTTAAAGGGGAGACAAGGTGCCCTTTAATAATTCTTGTAAGATATATCTGAGAGAAGACAAATCACATCACAGATGATGTCTATGATATATACTTACCAGTTTATTCATAAATTCTTGAGCAATTTCCCCATCTCGCTTGTCACAGTTCTCTGAGAAGTAGGTCGTTGTTCCCTGAATGAGGAATATGATATACTTCAGCTGTATTTCTGCAATATCTCAGTGAATATTGTACAAGAGGTCATGTTTCTAACTAACAAGGTAATAACCCATCCTACTGACACTACAGCCAAAAGGCTGGTTCATCTCCATTGATTAATTTAAAGTTTATCAATATAAATGATAATGCCTTATATGCTATTGAATGAAAAATTAATGATGAAAACATGTTATACAGTTAATGATTGGCACATGCAATTGTTTTGAAAATGTTAATGATCAAGAATTAATACAAAATAGACATGTTACACAATTCTGATTATAGGCTTAAAATATACCACCAACCACAAACAGGCATACCACATCATGTCACACACTGGCCTGAGAAAATTTAAATACTCAATATATTTTCTAAATTTGTTCGACTCGTTACATAGTCGTGCCGTGACAGTAAGAAAGCTGTATAAGTACTTTCTCCCCAAGCCCCAGTTCCTTGTCCCTGGCTGCGAGGGAGTACATGCGGTCTTGGACGGAACTCCACAGGGACTGGATGCTCCCAGGGTCGGCAGCAGCAGCAGCACTGTTTAGGATCAACTTCTCCATCTTCTCCTGCACACAGAAACAATGTCATGCACTGAGTTGCAGGGACAAGTGACTGTTGCTGAGTCACATCAGCAATATATCTGTGGGTATTCCAGCAACAATAGTGGCTGATATCAGCTTTACCCAGTCATTGTGTTCATCATGATCAGCTATAAAAATTATCCAAACTAATAGAAAATATTCTTTGACAAACTTAACAGTCATGGGCAAAACATTTGTGAAACTGATTTCACATTTCTTACAACAACAATCTTGAACTTCAAAACTTATTCTCGGTAATTTCTCATCTGTTTCTTACCTTTGGCAAATTGGGAATAAACTTGCTGTCACCAAAAGACTTGTAGTTGCCCATATTGCAGTAGAAACCAGCCGCGTACATCAGGACAGCCTGGAGTGAAGTAAATGGCATACATAGCATCACAGCTGTAGGATCAGGGTTAGAATTGGTCTTCAGATACCCAAGCTGGTCATAGGAGGCAACTAATGGGATCAGATGTCAGGCATGCTCACTTGGTTGATACAGTTCATCGTATCCTGTCTAGATTAATGCTCATGACATCAATCACTGGATTGTCTGGACCAGACTTGATTATTTATAGACCGCCATAAAGCTGGATATTGCTGAGTGCAGGGTTAAACAACAAACAAAACAACAAACAAACACAGCTGTAGCCTTAGTTGTGTCATGCGACCGCCTCTGTGATGTAGTGGTTAGAGCGTCCGCCCGGAGAGCGGAAGGTCGCGGGTTCGATCCCCGACAGTGTCATACCAAAAGACGTTAAAATATGGTACTTGTTGGTCCCTGCCTGGCGTTCGGCATTAATGGGTACAACAAGGACTGGTCGGCTCGGAGTCAGTATAATGTGTCTGAGTGGTGTATTCATGCTTCACTGCGGCATGGTATCTCAGTGGGCTAGCACTATAAAACCAGCTTCAGTCTGGGCTAGTACAAGCAGCCGCACCTACAAATACACATGCATGCACGTCGTCATATGAGCGAAATATTCTCAAGAACGACGTTAAACCCAATTTCACCTCACCTTAGTTGTGTCATACAATTAGGGTTAGCTAAAATATTGACCATCGGAAATATTGTTAACTTAAACAACTGCTGACATGGAAATCATGTCAGTCATAATATTTCACATGAACTGTTCTGATGACATAAAGCACTCTATATCATATATAGATGGGGTTTTTATAGTTATCCACCAATGGCATGGAATTTGGACATTTATTTTCATTTTTGCTCTAACTTACTTCTCCATTATTATAATTCATCTCTATGATCATCATCTAGCCCTATACAGAATGATACCATATCAGCTGTTTCCATATTTGAACTCAGTGACAAATGTTAATTCAGCATGTTTAGAACAAAATCCACAGACCTTTTAAAGATTAACGACTTGATAGATAATTCAAGGCTCTAATCCTTAAACTCATGAACTAAATATATCTTTCTGTAGTTCTAAGAATCATTATGACAGTAGATTCAGATTTCTTCAGATTAATAAAGTCATATAAAGCTTGCTCGCTTACAATGCCATCCACTAAATACTAAAGCTAGCAAGAGGGGTGAATGAGGCCCACCTGAAACTCTTCCTTGCTGAGGCCATTCTGTGTGGCTACTGTCTCAAGGTCAGCTGTCGACTGTGCCCGGAACACTCTCTGCAGCAGGACGAAGATGCCTGGGGATTCTGGAGATGTCTGTAATATTGATAGACATGAACTGACACAGCTGGCACTCGAATCTGCTGGAACACCACCTAACACTTTAGTCTGCTGGGACACCATCTTACTGGAACACCAACATATACTTAATAAGTCTCCTGGGGCACCATTTTACTGGGACCACACCTTACACTGAAGCCTGCTAGGACACCACCTTACTGGCACACCAACTTACGGGGACCACACCTTACACTGAAGTCTGCTGGGACACCATCTTACACTGAAGTCTGCTGGGACACCATCTTACTGGGACACCACTTTACACTTAAGTATGCTGGGACACCATATTACACTGAAGTCTGCTGGGACACCACTTTACACTGAAGTATGCTGGGACACCATCTTACTGGGACACCAACTTCCCTTAATGTCTGCTGGGACACCACTTTACACTGAAGTATGCTGGGACACCACCTTACTGGCACACCAACTTCCCTATATGTCTGCTGGGACACCAACTTACTGGGACCACCAACTATATGTCTGCTGGGACACCACTTTACACTGAAGTATGCTGGGACACCACCTTACTGGCACACCAACTTCCCTATATGTCTGCTGGGACACCACTTTACACTGAAGTATGCTGGGACACCACCTTACTGGCACACCAACTTCCCTATATGTCTGCTGGGACACCACTTTACACTGAAGTATGCTGGGACACCACCTTACTGGCACACTGGCACACCAACTTCCCTATATGTCTGCTGGGACACCACTTTACACTGAAGTATGCTGGGACACCACCTTACTGGCACACCAACTTCCCTATATGTCTGCTGGGACACCACTTTACACTGAAGTATGCTGGGACACCACCTTACTGGCACACCAACTTCCCTATATGTCTGCTGGGACACCACTTTACACTGAAGTATGCTGGGACACCACCTTACTGGTACACCATCTTACAGGGACCACACCTCACATTGAAGTCTCTAGGACACCACCTTACTGGGACCACACCTTCCACTGAAGTCTGAAGGGACACCATCTTATTGGGACACCACTTTACACTGAAGTCTCTGGAGGCACCACCTTACTGGGATACCAACATATACTTAGGTCTGCTGGGACATAATCTTACACTTTTGCCCTTACCTGCAAGAGTACAATGAGACCACCATTGAAGGAGGCTTGTGAGATGTAGTGGGCGTAGAGCTGCTCCTTATTCGTCAGACTGTTGAAGGCATCCTCACAGTCCAGCAGGCAGATGCCAGTCTCATTGGACAGTACGTACTGGGACAGGTCAGTCATTCTACGGGAGTACTGGGGACACAAAACATGGAAAAACACATAATCATTTAAATATCCATACTAACTCTACACACTTCCTCTGTATTCACCTGAAGAAGGGGCATCAAGTACCTCTGAAACATTGTTATGAATGAATGAAAAACGATATTCATCGAAAAGGATCATATATTCATGTTCTTACAACTTCTAGTTCTAAATCCCCATTAAAGATTTCTGGATGGGGAGTATGTCCTGTGGACTCATTTTAGAATACTCTGCATATCTCTGGTCAGCAGCCCTAAACAATAACCCTTCATTTCTACCATGGACCAATTGATCCAGTCAGCTTTTTCAACATGATAGCAACTAAGAGTGAGTGAGTTCGGTTTTATGTCGCTTTTAGCAAATTTGAATACAGTGAGACCTCGGATACCCGTACCCCAGATATCCGGAAACCTCGCCATCCGGTCAATTTTTAGTAAAAAACCAATCTCTTACGTTATAAAAGTGACTGTCTATAACGGATATTCGGTTTCTGTTTCCGGACGGTACATTTTACAAACAAACCAGCTAAATCAACAAAAAATTAACTCACCTATCCGCACAAAGCTTTAATCTACCGCTAACCGTGTGAAGGGAAGTGCGAGAGTCCTACGTGTTTTGACACGAGACATGGTCGGCTAATCCGGATTAATGATCATCAAGGTACTGGTGGTGATTAGAAGGCCTAGCTAACACTGAGTTAACCATTGAGTTCTAACTGTTAAGTTGTTTATTCAGTCAAAGCAATAAAAGTGCAGTGCGTCGATATTCAAGTCAGTCGGTCTTTCAATTGATCACAAATGGCTAGTCAACCTACTAAACGCAAGCGCTACGCAGTGACAGCCAAGGAAAAGAAAGAGATATGTCTTTACAAAGAACAAAATCCCAAAGTAAGTTTTAATAATAGTATGAAGGCCTACTCAGCTACTTTGAGAACAATGGCGACTGTGAAAACCTGTTGTCCGTCGTGTTGCAAAGGAGCGGCACCCAGTGTAAGCAGTCCTCAATGAAAGACTTTTTCAAAACTGAATAATTGTAAAGGTATGATTGTTATGTTGTGATGCTGTTTTTGAATGTCTATACATGTACAATAAATGCTTGATGATCATAAACATTTTGGATTTTCCTTGAGGTGTATGAAAACCAAAAATCCAGATATCCGGATATTCAATTATCCGGACGATTTACGTAAAAACGAATGTGTCCGGATATCCGAGGTCTCACTGTATTCCAGCAATATCATGGCGGGGGACACCAGAAGTTAAACAAGCTGAAAATAGTCTGCTTTTCAGTAATGACATTACAGGCACCCAAGTCTGCAAACGCTGAAACAAAGTTTTGTCCATTCCTTTCACACCTATGGGAGAATCTGAATAAGAACATAGGTCCAGCAACCCATGCTTGTCATAGGAGTTAACCAAATGGAAACAAACAACAGTCAAACTCGGTGTTTGATGCATGTCATTTAGTCTCAATTACATTTATGATTGCCTGTGATGGAATCAGGTGATTGTCTGCTCTAGACTCAATTATTTATTTACAGACTACCAAAACACTGTTAGTAACTAACAAACAACACTTTTTTCACGCTTTTTGAAATGGAACTGCTGTCTTGTGTTGTATCTACTACAATACATCGTCTACCATGACAGCTGTATCGCAACATACCTTTAATACAATTGAAAATGAAACGTTATTAATTCAGTTGTATACAGTTGCAAAAACATTGAAATAGTCATCTGTGCAAAGTAACCGACCAATATTGCCTCCAATGGCTCCATATTCTGCAAAGCCTAAAGGCTGAAAATAAAGTTTTAGGAGTACATCTGATTGCATACACGCAAGAACATGTATGCGAAGGCAGAAACCGAAAGGAGACATTGTTACTGATTATGAAAAAACTTCAAATACTTGGAATCTGAAGCTGACAAGTTTCAACAAGACTTTTGTTATTCTCCTTAATTGATGAATCAAATTCTCTCGACGCAATGTGACAAAAGGTTGAACTATGCAAAGAGCGATGCATACTATATTGTCTTCCTAAATATGAAAAGTATTTAGCTTTCACCTGCACGGATCATAACACTCACATGTGGCACGATCTCGCACCGATCACACTTGCACCGGAAAAGGAAGGAAAGAAGGGAGATAATTCAGTTCCCCACCAAAACAATGGCAGCCGAGAATGCATTAAGCTATCGTTTTATCGCCCTTGAAATGTATATCAGCTATGCGAAGCGTAGACTTAACAACTATAGTCTGTTTGCGGTGAAAACGAACCGATGAATTTCACAGAGAAATTAAGATTGCGAATCCTCATAATTTTACCTTGCCATTTCAAAATTTAAATCTCAGATTTTTATTCAACTTAGGATAAAAGTTGTTTAACAAACGATCATAGTTTCAAATCGGTATTATTGGTTTGTATTACAAGGGGGTATGCACATTAAGGCGCCAGGCTACTGATCGAGCGAGGTTGAGGTGCCGGGATCGAGCCCACCTAGCTGTCAAAACAAAGAACAGAAGTATTACGTTTTTGGGTTAAGTTGCACCGTATGGCACCTGCATTGCCTTCTGTTATTAGCAGCTGGTCACGGCGTTTAGCCAAATCATGGGATAACACAGTGTCATCTTTATTACAATCGCTGCAACTCCCAGTGCAAGACTTGCTACACATGTCTAGTAGTGAATTGACTTTGTCATTTCATCATATACAGTTAATTGTTAGATCATCAGGAGTGGCTTCGGGAATTGTGGAATGACCAGGGTAATCCCAACGGTAATAAAATACGCACATATAGACAGTTTAAGTACACTGTTACTCCAGAACCATACATAACAGCTATACTGCTCAGATGGCACCGTAGCGTTCTGGGTAAACTTCGCTGTGGTACACTTCCATTAGAAATAGAACGTGGTAGATTTTCTCGTCCTGCGACGCCACTTGCAGACAGGCTTTGTCGTCACTGCAGTAGTCAGGCTGTCGAAGACGAAGTCCATTTCTTAGTTAGCTGTCCTTATTATTCTGATCTTCGGTATGATTTGTTTAGAAAAACTAGTATCTTATAATTTTGCTCAGTTATCAAACACTGAACAAGCTACACTCCTCTTACAAACAGAAATTATTGTTAATCCACTGGCCGCTTTAGTTGTATGTATCGGCGTAAGGTATCATCCCTATAAATTTCTTTCTTTTTCCTTAGGTCTTTCATATGTGTGATACTCCTTAATGTTTTAATCTTATATTTTATACATTTTATGCACATATTGTCTAGTGTATCTCATTGGCCATCTGGCCTGGTGTCTGTATTTTTCTATGTCTTTTTACCGTTGCCATTTTTTGACATGTACATTCACGTGACACATAAATAAACTATTTTGTCTGTCTGTCTGTGACCGGGTGTAAAAACATTGGAGTCAACTTAAAGGGCCACTGATCCAGAGCGATTAATGTTTCTCGACAACAGTCTAATTACGAAACCTAGCTGCAAACTGGTCAGCCCCTGCTCCCTCGACCGTGACAGATACGGGGACTGGGCTACTGTCCACCTTGGCAGAATTTCTTCAACCTAATCAGTGGGACATTGGGAAGGGTGGAGCTCCATCAGCAGATGCCGTTATTTGAAAATATCCCCGGTAGTTCTTGCCTGATTGTAATAAAATATCCCAGCAGTGTAGGCTTTTTCAGATGTTTTGATGGTATAGTGACTGATCCAATTTGATCCTATTTCTGTGTTTTTTTACCTCAATATTTAATCATGTAAAAATATGATGTCTATTACGTATGCTATGATATCAAAAACACACATTTGATATATTTGAATCCATAAACTAAACAACCCCTCTTTGCCATTGCTAAAAACATCTGAAATTTTACTTAGGTACTTAGGTATATACAGTTTTTTAACTAAGTACACAGCAAATGCTTATATATATTTCTTATGTAACAATGAAGTTCCGTTCGTATCCTCAAAACAGTGTCGGCCCATAAGTTGTTTTTTTCAGGCAATCAAACTTGCATGCAATACAGCGAATACTACTCTCTTGCTGTAACCCTTGTTTGGTGGTCAAGCTACACATACATGTATGTTTTTAGTCATCATTCACTTGATGTTCAGTCAATGAATTTATAAAAAGGTATAATTAGTGATAACACCACTCAGATTACCCGACAAAGGTTCCCATTTGGCATTTCTTGTGTCTAGAGTAAATACTCATCATCATAAATTGAGGTCTGATGTGGCAAATGTATTACATCTTATGTAATACGCGCATGGAAGTGCAGTAAGAGGAATTATCAGCTGAGTTACGAAACAAACATCGATCAAAGGATTAACCGATAACACGCTGATTAATTAATTGCTTTTATCCTGGACAGCGGATTTGTCAAAAGGTAGTGTTTATGTATGTAGATTCACTCATCTATACTGAATACACCCTGTCGTAAAGTGCCTGTGTAAAAACAACGTCCTTCCTTCAAAGGATTAACCGCCAATACATTGATTGATTGCTCATTATTGGCTAACTAAGTTACTTTTTAAAAGAATGGCGGACATAATGCAATTAGTTACCAAGTGTGCTATCTTGGGTGACCAATGAGACTATACATCACTGTGAAAAACCTGAAACGATAGATCACTGTTTCGCATATTAGACTGTTAAAAGACACGACATGGAACAGAATACTTTGTCAGCTTGCAGATGAATGGCATCTCATTCCTTTATGTGGATATTGATTGATACATTCCCCGAACAAGGTAGTAGCCTGATATTGTTGCTATAACTTTATTCTGTTTTAATTTTAATACTTACATTTTGTTTTTATTTATTTGTTATGGCATTCAACAGAATCATTATTTTTTTGCCGTCAAGTGTAATGAGACAGACAACATACACTAAGTCGCACTCAGGGCGTGTTTGAAATATGATACACGTTGGCAATCTATAAAATTCAGTATATATACATCTCCTCCTCTTCATGTATCATTCCTAGCTTGACAAGGTACAAGAATCTGTATCCAAACGTCGCACTCACGAAATAAAGAAGTTGTTATTCATAAAGTTTAATTTTGTACATGAAAGACCCAGGTAGATTTCGGAAAAGTGACAGAAATATAATATGTTCACTGCAGTAGTCTGGCACACAACGCAATGTAATCATGTGAATTTATTTCACCAAATACATTTGGTGAGCAAACCTGGGCATTGTATGACCAGCTTCTGGCGAAGAGTGAGTGAGTGAGTTTAGTTTTACGCCGCACTAAGCAATATTCCAGCTATATGGCGGCGGTCTGTAAATAATCGAGTCTGGACCAGACAATCCAGGGATCAACAGCATGAACATCGATCTGCGCAATAGGGATACGATCACAAGTACAGTATAACAAGAAAAGAAAATATATATAGTGATACATTCGCACGCGAGCAATCGCAAACAGATGAATGTGTCCACAAACACTATCAAAATACACTGGCATCTGCCTCGACGCTGAATCTATTTGCAAATATGAATTTACATAATTCATCAGTGTTTGGTTTTCCTTCAACAACTACCCCAGTCTACAGTTAAACGTTAGCGCGGATTGGGGAAACATATGCATGGGATTGCACGTTACCCAGCAACAACTAAAACAAGTCACAAGTTAGCCTACCTTGACCTCATCCATCTACTACCACTGCAAAATCAGTCATAAAACCCGATGTAGTCATTCACAATGGCGCCCAAAGCGTCGGGTCAGATAATTATTAAGCTCAAACAGCCACCAACGCGTCCACAGGTCATCGGAGCATGGCCGTCAGGGTTCAACAACTTCAGAATGAGAAAGGAAACATTCCATGGGTGACCTCCCAAAAGTTAGACGTCCCAAAAGTTAGACGCGTTAAAACAACAAAGGTTATGGTTGATTGCACTCAGGTTCACTACCTTCGTTATTAATGGAATACTCCAGATACTAGTATACTAATCCAAACACAAAGAAAAGCTATTATGGACAATGACAATGACTTTATTTGACATGAAAAAAAACAATTTGATTGTACTTTTGTTAATATGTTGCTTTACAACCAACCTATGTTTAAAAACATAATTATTAAGTGAATAATGATGAACATAGTAAAAGGTTAAAAAATGAGTTAAAGTTAAAAGAACATATATACACATTTATAACAATTTTTTAATATGGTAAAACGTGGCATTATTGTATTATTGTTTTTGTTTCTAGATTGTTTGATATAATTTTGTATGAATAAGATATTTAGTGATTGTTTTAATTAATTTGGGGTTTGTTAGAATGTTGAGATCAGAAGAGTTAGCATTGTTGAGGTACTGTTTTAAAGCATTGGTAAATGGGGTTCTTTGTTTATTATATTTTGAGCAGTTAAAGATTGTGTGGGCTAATGTTTCAGGAATTTTGAAAGTGATACATTTGCCGTTTGGATGAAAGTTGGTTTTGTGTAGATAGTGTTGAATTTGGTAGAGTGGATAATGTTTTCCTATTATTTGCCAGTTATAATTGAATGTTAACCCTGTACTTATTTATATATTTTATATTGTTTATGCTAGAAAACAATGCTAGGAAGGAAGTAACTCCTTTAGGTTGATGGAAACTCAACAACATAAAACAAATGTATAATCATGTTTTGATCAAAGTGAACATTGTAAAAACACGCATGCAAAATCTATAATCTTGTTTTGATTAAAGTGAACGTTGTGAAAACAAGTATGCAAAATCTATAATCCTGTTATGATAAAATTGAACATTGTGAAAACACATTTGGAGAACCCAGACAACATTAATATTCTGATCAAAGTATTTCTGTACAAACGTGAAAAACATCTCGTTAGTGTATGGGGCAGGTTCATTATATGTGTGGGTAAGACTAGGTTGTAAACACAGTCACGCCTGATTGATTTGTCTGACTTTTGGGACGTCTAACTTTTGCGAGTAAACCGTTCCATGTGATATGTAATATGCTGAAAGATGATCTGTCCCCCTTGCCAAATTCAGTAGAGGAACCACTTGATGTCCACAAGAAAGTTGCGATTGCAATCTGTTGGATGGCATCATCGGCTGAATACAGGACAGTTGGAAATCTCTTTGGTGCAGGAAAATCAACGGTATGTGTTTGTATTCATCAAGTGTGAAGCAATCATGAAAAATCTTTTTGCCGTATATGTCAAATTCCCTGAAGGAGAATTGTTGAAAAATGTTATTCATGGCTCCGTGCAGGTTACAAAGACCACATTCATACGACCACATTTGCTTACATGAGTATACTTTACACATATGTAAATATACTTACGTGAGCAATATTGGTCGTATGAACGCATTTGCTTTTTATGCAAATGTTACACACATAAGTAAATTTACACCTAGCCAGCACTAGGTGCAAATTTGCTACATGGTATAAGTAAAAGTTTTTGGGGTGTCAGGTCAGGTTGGCTGTTGGCGTATGGTTTCAATAGGCATGTTTTCAAGGGATAAGCTGCAATAGCTTACATAACAACTGGCATGGAGGAATCGACAACCTTCTTGGTCCATGGTGGGAGAAGAGTTCCTGTGTCACCCTCGATAAATATCTCGGAATATGCGAACGTCACGTGAACGTCCTGGCCAACCAATGTTAATGTCTGTGAACATGTGTATTTGTGGTCACATACACCCTGCAGAATCAAGGAATAAGATCCTTTATATTTAAGTATTGACCATGTGAATGTTCAGGGCAGTTATAGGAATATAACTGCCGTCTCAACAATCAACATGCACTCATTGGCGGATCCAAGGGGAAAAGTCCTGCAACACCCTATGAACACAAGTGCCCGCAGCAAACACCACCAACAGCCGCAACAACAATATTAACACGGGTAGCCCATTTTCAGCACTGTCCAAAGATTTTCCTCGGATCTTAACCAATTCGGAAGTACAATTGAGTCTAGTCTCTGCACACAATTGTATCAAGGGTGGCAACCTTAAACTGACTGACTGAGTTTGGTTTTACGCCACTTTCAGCAATATTCCAGCAACATCACGGCGGGGGACACCAGAAATGGGCTTCACACATTGTACCCATGTGGGGATTCAAACCCGGGTCTTCGGCGTGACGAGCCAACGCTTTAACCATTAGGCTACCCCACCGCCCCAACAACCTTAAACACTGCGCACACATGTATGCTTTCATCAAAAGCGGCCGTCCCAACCCCAACCTACTCAAACACGAGCAATACCAACTCGAGGCCTTTTCACCAACATCCATCAGAATCAGAGAAGCAGGTTTGGTCACTCTTGGAGGCGAGCGGTGACGTATGGGTTTTTCGGTTCTCCACGGAGATAAGTAATCAACTGTCATGTACAGTCTATCCTACAAAGACGAGTCCTGTATGAATGTGCACATTTCTGGCTTTTGTGAGTTTTCAATTAAACTGCATGAATAAACATATGTTAGATGGCTTATTATGTAGCTCACCAGACAGAATGTGAAACAGTATTCTCTACATTCCCCAACATCTTAACATGACCGACGCCTTGGGGAATGTCATGCTGAACCCCGTGTTATTGAGATTAATCGCTTTGGGTGAGTTCCATGATCTTTTTGAGTGAGAAAGGTTCACGCGAGAGAAACGCATTACTTGATGTTAAATGCAATTTGACAGGTGACAGATTCAATGAGTGGGCGATGCACTACTGCTGTTCTTGCTTTTCACGTTTCAAGAGCATACCCGTCATTGACTTTGTGGCATCGCTGCCCCGCATTTAGACTCGTAACGTCAATGTCACGGACATATAACTAGACGGCTTTGCACTTTACCAAGGTGTGCTCGACAACTCGATGTAGGCTTTGGCTGGAATACGAGTTTATTTATATGAACTAACGTTAACTGTCAGAACGAGTTTTGTTTCTCTTTAACGTGCTGATCAGTAATGGATTAAGAAGCCATGAACTGGTTACTATCCCGATTTGAAAATGTTGTTGAAGCATTTGTGGAATTTCAGCTTGGAATGGTCAGCCTAAGTGTGTTCGCAAGGCACCCAAGCCTCGATCGTGCTTTCGGGCTGGGTTTCACTACTGTCGCGCGTGTAACGATGGTGGAGTTGTCTCCCTTAACAAATATGTCTGCTTCCACGAACCGGCGTGACTTTGACACTGTACATTCATAACAAGATGCACGAATCGGCATTTTGTAAAATGATAACAATTTCAATTGTGTCTGGAAAGTTTTATTTATTTATATAAGGGACAGTTCGCGAGTGAAAGTATTAAGTTACTCACCTCTATGCCTCCAGTCAGTTCGTCTTGCGGATCTAAGAGTAAGATAGCCGTGAAGAAGAACCTAGAAACGATACTTGCGGAGGATAAAATAGTACATTTCCAACCGAGGTCAGTAAACTAGCATAGCAGTCTCCTTCCAAAGTGTCAGATAATTTGTAAATTCAATTTTGATTGAACTTTTAGGCTAATATAGGTCGCTGACTGCTGAAAAATACCAAATACCAAATAATGTTTTCGATTTAGTGTATTTTAACTTTGCACCATGCAAATCTTTTCCATGTCACCAGTCACACGTAAAACCACACATGCTAGAGCAGCTAGGAAAAGGGTAAAGGCCAACTGTGAACAACACTCCAACATTGAAAGTATTGGAACATGGATATCTCATCTTTGCTTGTTAGAAATTTAAATTGCTTATTTCAGACAATAATCTTGGTTTGGCTTGTATTCAGCAGTTACTGGCATCTGTTCATCACAGGTCAATTTCAGTCAGGGTTATTGTTCTAAGGGGAATGTGCATCGGATGTTTCCAAGGTATATATTACGTAAGCATCACACAACCATCCAGAGACCACATACCAGAGACCATATAAATATCTATTATATGGTCTCTGCACATACCGATATATATAGTCTCTGAACCAGCTTATGAGAGCAGACACGTAAATGCAGAATCAAGATATTGGATAAAACTGGTCATCTGAATAAACTAGGCAATTTATGAGTACATAGAAGTGTAAACTGTACGAATAATGAATTCATGAGCATTGATGTTTATTTTGTCTTAACAGATGCTTAGTATGAAGGTAATCAACAGATGACTCCACTGTACCTGCAGCCACAGATAGTCAACCATGACACTAACAGATATCATTGCTTCACTGAAAGACAACCCTTACTTTGGAGCTGGGTTTGGTCTGTTTGGTCTAGGGGCAGCAGCAGCACTTTCAAGGAAGTCTCTTCAAGCCGGTATGATTATGTTTCGTAGACACTGTATGATCACGCTTGAGGTATCAAGTAGAGACAAGAGCTACTTCTGGCTATTGCAATGGATCTCCACCCATGGTACACGTACGCAGCATCTCAGTGTTCAAACAACCTTCAACCAAACAGAGACTGGCAAGGTCAGCACACAGTTTGACTTTGTACCAAGTCCAGGTAGCCATTTTTTTCGTTATGGCAATAATTGGATCAGAGTTGAAAGAAATCGAGAGAAGCAGATGTTAGATCTGCAGACAGGTGTTCCCTTTGAGACTGTCACTTTGACATCAGTGGGCAGAAACAGAGAAATGTTCTTCGATATCTTAGACCAGGCCAGAAAACTAGCCCTGCAGAAACAGGAAGGGAAGACAGTGATGTATACTGCCATGGGGGCGGAATGGAGGCCTTTCGGCTACCCACGGAGAAAGAGGCCAATGTCATCTGTTGTGCTGGATAGAGGGATATCAGAGAAGATATTGGATGACATTAGAGAGTTTACTGAAAAACCAGAGTGGTACATTGAAAGAGGCATTCCATATCGCCGTGGGTATCTGTTGTATGGCCCTCCAGGTTGTGGGAAGAGCAGCTATATTGTGGCTTTAGCAGGTGGGTAAAAGCCTCGGTCATTCAGTAACATCCTAACTTATCCACTTATCTATGTTCTCTTTTGCTACATACTGGTGCCAGTGTAACGATACATCAATACAATATTGAATCCCTCTGCAAGTACCCATGATACAATACATCGATTTACAACGTCAGTATCATGATACATCTGATGCCTGATGACATTACAAGTCACTTTGGTGTTAAAACTAGAATATGAGATTTAGATTGATATGCAAAATTGTTGAACACCCATTTCCCAGTTGGCAATGAACGGCATAACAGTCATCATGCCTCCTAGTGTATAGATTTCTGCACAACAATATCCCATCTTAGATCCTTGACATTTCAACACAAATTATTAAGGTTTGTGATTCACATGCCACAAGAACAAATATCAACTTCTTATAGAAAAGTACTGTACTAGGATACAAATTGCATTGAGTATGTAGTACTTGTAATATTGAGATGTGTATTGTATCATGACCTCAGTGTGTCATTACACCTCTTATCATTACCCTGGACCCAGTTTTACCACCATAGCTTCTTTTCAGAAGTGACATCATCAGCACCATCTCTCTCATCGTCAACTGGGTTGGTCTGTAGCCCTGTGGTTTAAGCATTTGCATGTCTTGCTGGAGACCCGGGTTCAATTCTGTACATGGTTACAATGCATGAGGCCCATTTCTGTGTCTGCCATGATACTGCTTGAATATTGCTAAAGGCAGCATAAAACATACACTCACTCAATTAACTAAGAAAGTGTAATCCTAAATTTAATATGTTCCACACTCATGTTGCAGGTGCACTGGATTACAGTATATGTGTGTTGAACCTGTCGGAGCGGGGATTGTCAGATGACCGCCTGAATCACCTTCTCACAGTTGCCCCGGAGCAGAGTATCATCCTCCTGGAAGATGTAGATGCAGCCTTCCTCAGTCGTGACCTGGCCAAGGAAAGTAGGTCACCTATGAATCATATGGAGAGTCTTTGAATGGCATATGACACATATAGGAGAAAATGTATTAATGGTCTTGTTGATGTTTTGAGAGACAAGGTTGGAATAGTGACCATTGAATATAGTGAATGTTTTCTTCACTGGTTCAGTTCAGGACATCAGGATAGCAGATTGCTTTGCACATCAGTTGAGGGTGGCAATGATGACTTATTTTATCTGGGTGTGGTGGCAGTTGTAATGGATATACTGGCCTGTGTGTGTAGGTTTCCAGTAAACAGATGTTCTCAGTCCTTTTACAGTATTATGGAGGGACATCTCCAGGAAGGGTTGGTGTTCCAGAGATGCCAATCATTACGCTTTTGGCGTAATTATTACGCTTTTGACCATTGAATTATGCCATTACACTTAATCTGCGAAATTTACGCTTTTCAACTTGTTTTACGAAAAATCAATAAAGTGGATAAAATTTCATAGGGGAAGTGTTTTATAACGCACAGGTGCTGGGGTGCAGAAATGGCCTTGCACCGATAGGAATTGCTTACTCTTAGCATTGCACTCATTCCAATTAACTCGCAAGGAATTAAAGTATTTTGAGTCACATTACCAACAATTTTCAATTTATGGAGCTTCATCATGATTCGTCACATGTGTTTCTGTCTGGAATCTTCCTTTTGTGAAAACGTGTACCATTTTGAAGCGACTACACTTTCTAGGTCCAAATTACACTTTTTGACCTCAAGTATTACACTTAGGCCCAAACAAGGGTTGGCATCTCTGGTGTTGATGTTGGTTAGTTTCTGTCTCCATGGTGAAGTGGAATATCTGGTGTTGGGCAATGAAGAGCTCTGTTGGGTTGTTCTTGTTGTCTTTTATGGTAAATGTGTCTCCCCTTTGCGGTACCAACAGAGGGGTTGGAATGGTGCTGTGGAGGGGGGCAGAACAACGTCGTGAAGTTTTCAGTGATTAGTGGAAATAAAGGGGATCCCATCGACAGTCCATGTATTTGCTTGTAGATCCTGTCACGGAAGGTGAAATATGACGTATCAAAACAGCTCGAGGTCAGGTTGATGATACTGTAAACTGAATTGTTCTTATTTTTATGTGGTATGAAGGATTGTAACTATCAGTGTTGTCTCCCTTAGATCCCGCGGCCTTCCAGGGTATGGGTCGGCTCACCTTTAGTGGTCTCCTGAATGCTCTGGATGGAGTGGCATCAGCCGAGGCTCGTATCATCTTCATGACAACCAACTACATTGACAGGTAACTTCTGTTATCAACCAATGGTGTATCTGCTCCAGATTATTTACAGATATTGCTGATGAGGATGCAAATCAACACTGGTTCCCTCTTTAAGATGTGTCCCTTCATGGTGTATAGATGTAGAATCTTTACTTACTATGCTCACTAATATTTGTAATTTTTCGGCCACTGCAGTAGTAAATAGCTTTTGAAGAAATATGCTTATGTCTTTTTAAAAACTGTCATGCTTATAGATGTGTCCATTTGTTTTGCATACAAAGTAGTTCATATTTATCGGGCCACGTCAGTAGTAAATAACGTTTGAACAAGATGCATCCTTTAAAAAAGGCTTAGTCTTGCAGACATGTCCATTTGTGTTGTATTCAATATATTTCGTATTTACTTCCCATGCCTACATAATAGTTTGACTGTCTGAGCCACTGCAGCATTAAATAACTAAAAACAAGCTTGTCTAATGAAGTACACCACTGTCTTTGTAGACTTGACCCAGCTCTGATCCGGCCTGGTCGTGTTGATCTAAAGGAGAGGATTGACTATGCCAGCGAGCACCAGCTCCGGCAGATGTTCAGCAGGTTCTACCCAGACCAACCAGAGTCTTCATCTCAGGAGTTTGCCCAGCGAGTGCTGGCTGACGGTCGACCAGTGAGTGTGGCTCAAATACAGGGCTACTTCATGATGCACAAGGCAGAACCAGATCAGGTTCTACGCCAGATTGAGGAACTATGGACTATATGATTGGCATGAATATTCAACAATAAACTCAGCCACACTGTAGTATTGGGTGAACCATATTGTGATCATGATTTATGCACACGAGAAAACTTCATGGAAACAAATCATTGATGAGTCCAGTAAGGTCTCTATGTTGATGATGATGATGATGATGATGATGAAACAAAAGTGACCTGGAGCTAGTGACAATGAAACATGTGTGTGTGATAGTCTGTGTGCATGTATAAATACAAAACGGTTTGAATATATACACCTGGAAAAAGGTTAAGCAGAATTCTTATGTACCTTAACTTGCTTATAAACTGCTCAAATAATCTTTAGGACACCCATTTGTTCTATGTTTCTATAGTTCATCTGCATACAGAGTGGCTATAGTAATAGTAGAGAATCAGGTTGTCATAACTGTAGTAGGAATCCTTAACCAATTTTGAGTAGTTTATCACATGGTGCAGGTACAAAGAGGAAGCTGTTGTAAGGGTAGTCAAATAACTATTACACAATATCATCACAATGTACTTCAGTGTCTCTATTTGAAAATGAGTTTGACAGTTTGTAAACAAAAACAAGGTGTTTCCTAAGAACAAATAGCAGATACATGGTGTTTTGAATTGTTAATTGTACATGGAAATATGCTCTTAAAATCTTTAAGAGGTATAATCAGTTCTTCATAGTATTTGTTATGTACTTGACATATACTACTCAACATTGATGGAGAAAATGAATGTTTCCATTTCATTTAAATATCCTTAATGTTTTAAGAGTTGATTTTGTGCGAAAGATAAAAATCCCTATCAGTAGTGGAGCAGTATATATAGCAGTATATAATAGGGACAGTGGGGTAGCCTAGTGGTTAAAGCGTTCGCTTGTCATGCCGAAGACCCGGGTTCGAGTCCGTACATGGGTACAATGTGTAAAGCCCATTTCATGTGTCCTCACCGTGATGTTGCTGGAATATTGCTAAAAGAAGAGTAAAACTAAACTCACTCACCCATTCACATATAGCAGTATATGATAGGGGTGTTTAAATATCTTCAGGTGTGTATGTGATTTACTGTTAATGTGTTGTTACTGAAGTAAACCAGAAACTGTGATTTCCTTCAGCTGGTTGTGTTTTGTTCGTGGAGTTACCAGCTCTTTGAAACAGAGCTGCGTTGGGGCTTTGTTAGAATTTGAAGGATGATTTGGGCATGAATTTTCTCATGTATACAATACTGTACTGTTGAAAATTGACTCAGGTAAAATGTCAAGTTTGGTTGGTTGGTTGTTTTGTTGGTTAATCCTGCACTAAGCAATATTCAAGCCATATGGGGGGCGGTGGGGTAGCCTAATGGTTAAAGCGTTGGCACGTCACGCCGAAGACCCGGGTTCGAATCCCCACATTGGCACAATGTGTGAAGCCCTTTTCTGGTGTCCCCCGCGCCGTGATGTTGCTGGAATATTGCTAAAAGCGGCGTAAAACCAAACTCAGTCAGTCAGTCAAGCCATATGGTGGTGGTCTGTAAATAATCCAGTCTGGACCAGACAATCCAGTGATCAACATCATGAGCATCAATCTACGCAATTTGGATACGATGACGTGTCAACCAAGTCATCGAGACTAACCATTCGATCCTTTTAGTCGCCTCTTACGACAAGCATGGGTTGCTGAAGACAATTCTATCCCGATCTTCACCCCTAAAAAAAATAAAGTTTTCACAAGCGAGCGGTTTTGATCTAGTGGAGTTATCTGAACAAGTAAAAATGTTTGTTTCCACGACACTGAAAAGTATAAACACCCAGCCAATGACCAGGGCCCTGATTCTCGAAACGTTCGTAGCCCTAAGAATTCTTAACTTTGATCGTAGCCAATGTGTTAAGAGTGGGCTTAAGAAGTTCGAGCGCTACGAACGTTTTGAGAATAGCTAGCCAGGACTGTTATGTACTGATATTACACTTGATTATTGTCAGGCTGGGAATCACCACTGACACTATAATCAGTACATGGAGTATATGTCAGACTGGGAATCACCACTGACACTATAATCGGTACATGGAGTATATGTCAGGCTGGGAATCACCACTGACACTATAATCGGTAAATTGAGTTTATGTCAGGCTGGGAATCACCACTGACACTATAATCGGTACATGGAGTATATGTCAGGCTGGGAATCACCACTGACACTATAATCGGTACATGGAGTATATGTCAGGCTGGGAATCACCACTGACACTATAATCGGTACATGGAGTATATGTCAGGCTGGGAATCACCACTGACACTATAATCGGTACATGGAGTATATGTCAGGCTGGGAATCACCACTGACACTATAATCGGTACATGGAGTATATGTCAGGCTGGGAATCACCACTGGCACTATAATCGGTACATGGAGTATATGTCAGGCTGGGAATCACCACTGACACTATAATGGGTACATGGAGTATATGTCAGGCTTGGAATCACCACTGACACTATAATCGGTACATGGAGTATATGTCAGGCTGGGAATCACCACTGACACTATAATCGGTACATGGAGTATATGTCAGGCTGGGAATCACCACTGACACTATAATCGGTACATGGAGTATATGTCAGGCTGGGAATCACCACTGACACTATAATCGGTACATGGAGTATATGTCAGGCTGGGAATCACCACTGACACTACAATCGGTACATGGAGTATATGTCAGGCTGGGAATCACCACTGACACTATAATCGGTACATGGAGTATATGTCAGGCTTGGAATCACCACTGACACTATAATCGGTACATGGGTATATGTCAGGCTGGGAATCACCACTGACACTGGGCTAATCGGTACATGGAGTATATGTCAGGCTGGGAATCACCACTGACACTATAATCGGTACATGGAGTATATGTCAGGCTGGGAATCACCACTGACACTACAATCGGTACATGGAGTATATGTCAGGCTGGGAATCACCACTGACACTATAATCGGTACATGGAGTATATGTCAGGCTTGGAATCACCACTGACACTACAATCGGTACATGGAGTATATGTCAGGCTGGGAATCACCACTGACACTATAATCGGTACATGGAGTATATGTCAGGCTGGGAATCACCACTGACACTATAATCGGTACATGGAGTATATGTCAGGCTGGGAATCACCACTGACACTATAATCGGTACATGGAGTATATGTCAGGCTGGGAATCACCACTGACACTATAATGGGTACATGGAGTATATGTCAGGCTGGGAATCACCACTGGCACTATAATCGGTACATGGAGTATATGTCAGGCTGGGAATCACCACTGACACTACAATCGGTACATGGAGTATCCACCCTCCCATGGATGATATTTGCAATGGTTTCCCTCATGCTTCTAATCAGACATCTGATTTTCGACATTTGGATCCTCTGAATTCCTGGTGGAATGGGCGCGATGGGGTAACCTAGTGGTTAAAGAGTTGGCTTGTAACGCTGCAGACCCTGGTTTGATTCCCACACAAGTGCAGTGTGTTAAGCCCATTACTAGTGTCCATTAGTGACTTGGTCGACACATCTCATCGTATCCCAATTGCATAGATAGATGCTTATGATGCTGATCACTGGGTTGTCTGGTCCAGATTCGATTATTTTCAGACCGTCGCCATATAGCTGGAATATTTTTGAGTGTGGAGTTAAACAACAAACCAAACCAAACCAAACGTGGCACAGTTCCTGGTCGAGTTCATTCTAGTTTGACATGGAGGGTTTCCAGCTCTCACTGGGCCCCGAAGGTAATCCAAAAGGGGTTCATTTGGGTTAAGATCAGTGTTTCTCAGAACATAATTTTTATTGTATTGTATTGTGGTTGAAGGTGTCTTGTCATTATGAGGTGTCTGTCTCATGTCATACAACAAGCAATAACCTTGTCATACTATAATGAAGCGGTTGTGACCTTGTCATACATCAAGCAATAACCTTGTCATACCGTAATGAGGTGGCTGTGACCTCCGTCATACAACAAACAATGACCTTGTCATACCATAATGAGGCGGCTGTGACTTCCATCTTACAACACGCAATAACCATGCCATACCATTATGAGGCGGCTGTGACCTCCGTCATACAACAAACAATGACCTTGTCATACCATAATGAGGCGGCTGTGACTTCCATCTTACAACACGCAATAACCATGCCATACCATTATGAGGCGGCTGTGACCTCCGTCATACAACAAACAATGACCTTGTCATACCATTATGAGGCGGCTGTGACCTCCATCTTACAACACGCAATAACCATGCCATACCATTATGAGGCGGCTGTGACCTCCATCTTACAACACGCAATAACCATGCCATACCATTATGAGGCGGCTGTGACCTCCATCTTACAACACGCAATAACCATGCCATACCATTATGAGGCGGCTGTGACCTCCGTCATACATCTCGGATATCTATTACCCTGGACTTGTTTTGTTTGTTCAGTTACCTCCTTTGTGGACACTTTAATATTTATCAATTTTCTTTCATTCTTTAAAGTTAGAATTACAGGTATGGCTTTACCTGCAGATAGCTTTCATAAATGAACTGACTGAGCAACAATTCATCTTCACCACGGAGCTTGATAATTCAAGGGCATACAGAAAAGCTATATTCATGTTTTAATGGTATAGTTTTGCGTGTGACACAGGAGCTCGCAGATGTAGAGACTATGAGCTGGGCGTAGTCTTGACTGGCATGCCTTTCTCCCCACACGTGGAGGCCTCTGCTACCTCAAGGTCAACCTTGAAGCACTTCGTCTTGGAGAACATGCATCTGGAAGACAGAAGCTCATTATTACTGGAAGATCATGGTGTATCTGTGAATCAGTAAGTAAACCTTTTACATGCCTTAACAGAGGTATATATCTGTGGTTGAGTCCTGGTAGGAATTAAGGCCTAAAACAGTCTATGCTTAGCGTAAGGAGCGACTAGATAGATCGGTTAGGCAGACCGATCGATTGGCCGACTTGGTTGATTACACGTTTTTGTATTCCAGATTCATGGATAAATGTCTGTGATGTCTGCTTTAGATTCAATGTCTGCCAACCGCTGTATTATAGCTACTTTTTTCCAAGAGAAACTCTGAACAAAATCTTGACTGATTCTGATGAAACTGACTGCACCGTTGGAAGATATGTTACCTGTCCCTGTTACACATCTACCCTTGTTATTGCAGTGTTGGTAATGTTAAAATCTGCCCTTGCTATTGCCATGTTGGTAATGTTAAAATCTGCCCTTGATATTACCGCCCATTACACTCGAACCCGGGTTCGATTCCCCACATGGATACAATGTGAGAAGCCCATTTCTGGTGTCCCACGCCCTGATGTTACTGGCATATTGCTGAAAACGGCGTAAAACTAAACTCACTCACTCAGTCATGTAAGAGAAGACCTCGTGCAAGACGCGGATATGGACACAAGAAATGAGCTTTCAGAGAAAGGTAAAATATCAGTAATTCTGTGGACCCTTACTGGCTTTTGTAGATTTTGCCATCATTTCCACAGATGTCGGCTGTGACGGCCGTTCCGCAGTCGATTTGATGGATGTTGTTACAGAACACATCTTTGATGACGGCAAATGCTGGGTCCACGCCGGTAGGTTTAACAGATGTAACGGCAGCAGTAGTTGGGGCGCCACCAGTAGTCGGGATATCATCGGTAGTCGGAAAGCCACCAGTAGCCAACATGCCACCAGTAGTTGGCATGCCATCAGTACTCAACATACCACCAGTAGTTGGCATGCCATCAGTACTCAACATACCACCAGTAGTTGGCATGCCATCAGTACTCAACATACCACCAGTAGCCAGCATGCCATCAGTACTCAACATACCACCTGTAGTTGGCTTGCCATCAGTAGTCGGTATAAAACCAGAAGGTGCAACTACTGGCAGGGGACAGTCTCCTTTATTCAGCATGGACAGCGAATGGTCTTTGCATCTCGCATGGGCAAAGACACAGCTGAAATAGAAAGGAGCCCTTAATGTTCTCTTCATATTATTTTAGGACACTTGGTTTCATCTGAGACGATGTGGGACCTCGACATGCATTATGATCAAACCACGTTGACAACAACATCGTTTAGTTTGTTTTTTGATTGATGGTTTCGTATTAAAGTCGCACTCGGCAATTTCCTAGCTTTATGGCGGCGGTCTGTAAATTGAGATACGACGACATGCATTAAACCATTAAACGAACCCGACCATCCGATCACGTTAGTCTCGTCTTACGACAAGCTGAAGGTCAGTTCTAATCCGCATCCTTACGAATTACATTGTTGTGTGTTTTTGACGCCCAAAGTTTTGTTCAACAAAGTAAATGTTTTTGAATACGTCCCTGGAAGATTTTCTAACCTCTAGACCGCATGAGCTTCCCAACTCCAACCCCAACCCCTCACTGATTGGTTGACACGTCATCGTTTCCCATTTACGTAGATGGATGCTTATGCTGTTGGATTGCCTGGTCCAGACTCGATTATTTACAGACCGTGGCCATATACCTGGCATTTTGCTGAGTGCAGCGTGAAACAACAAACAATAAAAAAATCTATTCCACTACACTTTTTGACAGTTATATGTTGATGCCTAAAGTTGTTTGGCACAGTATGTCAAGTGTCTATTTATATAAAATGATGTGAGATTCCGGTGCCAAGCGCGCCACATATGTATACTTTAAAAGTTCTGGAATTACCCATACAAATTTGAGTTACACTATGCTGGAAAGGTCCATTCCGTCAACAAAAAGGACAAGTGTAAATACAGCGCTGCACTGCCACCCTATTGGTTGTCAACAAAAACAATGCAATACCCTTGAAAAAATGTTCCATAATAAATAACCTGGCCACATAATAGTACTCACAGTTAATGACAAATCTGCACTTACAAGTTATTGTACTGCACCACATCTGTCCCACACAGTCTCTCAGAGTGGCCATGCACCACGTGTGTGCTGCAGTCAATTGTCAGGAGATGCTGACACAAACGGTCATCATAGTGCTGTGTTATTTCGTGGAGTTCGTGGACAAGAGGGTCGGGATTGGGACACTGCATCTACAAGAATAGCGGCAACATGGTTATGGTGTGAGGTGAAATGGAGATTAGGTTAGCGTTGTATTTATATAGCGGGGTGTGTGCGTGCGTGCGTTTTAGCGTGTGTATGTGTGTGTGTTCAAATCCGGGCATATGCTCGTTTTATAGAGTCAGCTGAGATCCGACGTTTAACTTGGATAACCTACTCAGAAACAACATATGCTGTATATTGACTCGGTGTCGACCTATCCTTGTTTTGCCCGATTCAGGCCAAGGCGGTTAAACAACAATTTTCCACCGTTTAACACCTTTTGGTATATGAATCGAACCACCGATTTTCAGCCCGACGGCTCTATCCCCCCACACCACAGAGCCGGGTTAAAATTAAAACCAGAGGTATCTAATCTACAGTTAAACTACCTCAAAGTTCACCTCATATTGCCAATAGCAGCGTTAAGCAAGAAGAAAAAACAGGTCAATGAGTGTGGTCACCCATACTGTGCGGCTTGGGACAATTCCGTCTCATTTTCCTCTTTAAGTACCTCCCACCAAGACACCTCCCCCCTACCGAAGAACGTAAAGCGCGAACATTCGGCATACCAGTCTCAATGCGCTGCGTCTGATTTCAAGTAGTTCGGTCAGATAATTCGTGTAACTAAACATATACCCAACATACAGCTAACTGTGTTTAATCATATTATATATCAGCCATAGTCCCATAGTATCTGCAATATATAGGGGGAAATATGTGTGAAACATTATGAGAAGTTGTCCCACTTGTCTTTTAGCTATACCGTTTATACCTAGTCGATGCCCAGTCGAAAAATGGCCACGAAAGATACACGAGCCGCATTTCGGCATGTCCGGGGAGTTCCAACTCCCCGCTTGTTTATGGTGGATCACTGAAATGCAAATTCTTTTCCTGTTTCCCCAAACCTCTATCTCCCAACATTACCACATGTACAAACCATATTGTACGGTTTTGTCTTTTTCCATGCATCGCGTTAGCGACCCGTTCTTGGACTAAGCCCTTTTTCCCACAAAAAAAGATCCTGCATCAAGATCAATTCACTTACCATGACAACTGTGATCAAAGTACAACGGGCAACAGAGAATATATTTTTCTGTACATTACTATTTAAGGCTTAAATTCGGCAACTCGTCTGTTTGTCCTATCAGACATACCCGAAAACGTATCAAAAAGAGTTTGCTCTAAATGTGTCTGTGAATACTTACAATGGCAGAGAAGCAGAAACACGACTGTCGACAACATGGTGGACATTTGGTAGGACTGTGTTCTGTTATCTTTGGTGTGAGTTCACTTCTGTTTAATATCTTTGATTAGGATCGTGAATATTATTATCAGTGGCGAATATTTATAACCAGCGTGAATTGAATTATGCCATAGTACAGTAAAAGTAGGACCTAGTAATGGCTTGGCTGAGTATCTATGGAAATTATCATGACACCTCGCTACATTAAGGAAAGTAGTGTCATGAACCCATATGAACAGGTGTCATGATATGCTTGAACAAGATCTAATGAGTGAGTGACCCCGCTGGGAACCAGAAATGATCCAGAGAATCCACAAGATGGCGATCCCATAAAACCTCCATCATACAACAAGCAATAATATTGCCATACCATTATAAAGTGGCTGAGTCACCCTCAATACAACAAGCAATAACTTTGCCATTCCATTATGAGGCGGCTGTGACCTCGACCTTGCCCTTAAAAAGTTTCACTTGCATCCCAAGTACATTCCCAAGTACACTTTCGGTGCCCTTGGTTTGGTACCTTCTGATCTCTTGGCACAGATCAGGAGAGTACCCGGGTTCTCCATCGGGAGCACAGTCCTCTTGACACTATGGGCAATGCAGAAGGTTGCACTGTTGGGGAACCTTCATATTCTCCGGAAAGTACATGGTGGGTTCGACTTGGCAGTGCTTCCTGGGAGAAGTCCCATTCGCTGTCTGGGCTGCGTGTAGAGGGGGTAAGGGCCCTGAGCTGATGATGAGCCTTACCACCCGACTGCGCCTTGATCACCCAAACCCTCTTTGCTGCATTTGTTATCATAATCTGTAAAAAGAATATGCAAAATTTGTATTGTGCATTTTAGGATTAAGGAACTGAAACACTCCAAGGCGCTTTATAGAAAGCGTCACAAATGTGCTACTGAGTGTAGGTTGATTTAAAGAGATGGGTTTTCACACCCTTCTTAAAAATGTCATAAGACGTTGAGTTTCTCAGGGTAGATGGTAGATCGTTCCACAGTGTTGCTGCAATCGTGTTGAAGCATCTGTCACCAAACATAACAGTTCGTGTTTTAGGCACAGCGATCAGAGATGCAGATTGTGATCGAAGAGATCGCGCTGTTTTCATAAGGAATGACGAGCTCTTTGAGATATGTTGGAGCAGTGTTAAGCAAGGCCTTGTATATGTACATCAAGATCTTGTACTGGCACTAGAGGTGCAATGGCAACCAATGCAAGATCTTCAGGATCGGCGTGATATGGTCGTGTGTCTGTGTGCGAGTAATGAGTAGCGCTGCACTGTTCTGTACTCGGTCTTTGAGAGACTGCGGCAGTCCACACAGTAGACACAGTTAACATAGTCCAGTCTTGATGTGATATGTGAGTTGACCAAGGTTCTGCAGGTGTCCTCTGTAAGATATTGTCAGATGGTGCCAAGATTCCTGATTTGGTAGTAACAGGATTTAGAAACAACATTGACCTGCTGCTCCATTTTCAAGCAACTGTCAAAATATACCCCGAGATTCTTCACCGAGTCAACAGCATGGATTCTGTTGTTGCCAAGTTGTACCTCAAGCTCTTGGGTGTTATTAGTCTGATTCTTGGGTCTCAAGATTATCAGTTCTGTTTTATCCTGATTTAATTTCAGCATGTTGGAACTTGTCCAATCGTTGATATCAGCTACATGTAGACATGCCTCCAGTCTGCTGGTGGCACTATCCCAGTTATTGCAAGGTGGTATAACTTTGTAAATTTGTCATCTGCATAGACAAGGTGTGGTAGATCATAACGACGACATATTTCACCCATGGCTTTAGAGTATAAGCAGAAGAGGACTCGTCCAAGTACGGATCCTTGTGGTACGCCAAAGTTGAGACATTTTTCTCCTGAACATGGTGATCCGATTGTCACGCACTTGTAGGACTGGATCCAAGTGAGAACACTGCCTTATACACCATAGATGTATCGATGTCGACTGAACAGTATGTCGTGGTCGATGAGGTCAAAGGCGGCTGACTGGTCTAGAAGCATCAGTGCTACGGATGTTTTGTTGTCAAAGGCCTGTGCAATATTGTGGTGAACCCTAAGAATGGCAATCTCCTTAGAGTGTCCGATTCGGAAGTGAGTTGGGTTTTGAGCCGCTTTTAGCAATATTCCTGCAATATCATGGCAGGGGACACCAGAAATGGGCTTCACACATTGTACCCATGTAGGGAATCGATCCCGGGTCTTCGGCGTGACGAGCGAACGCTATAACCACAAGGCTACCCCACCGCCTCCCGATTCGGGAAGCTGATTGAAAGTTATCATGGAGGGGTGTGAGTTGCAAGATGAAGTTGGAGACGAGGAGACAAAACTTTCTCCAAGATTTTGGACATGAATGTTAAGTTGGACACTGGTATATAATTCTTCATTGTCTCTTTGTACAAGCCAACCTTCTTCAGCAATAGTCTGACATAAGCCCTTTTGAAACAGCAGTTGGGGCGGTGGGGTAGCCTTATGGTTAAAGCGTTGGCTCGTCACGCCAAAGACCCGGGTTCGAATCCCCACATGGGCACAATGTGTGAAGCCCATTTCTGGTGTCCCCCGCCGTGATGTTGCTGGAATATTGCTAAAAGCGGCGTAAAACCAAACTCAGTCAGTCAGTCTTGAAACAGTCAGAGACTTGTGATTTCATCAGCGATTTGTTTATGATTAATGTGATCAGAGTGAGCGATAGCTTCTGTATGTATGTTGGGAGGGGATCAAGTTCATAAGACTTCAATGGAGCCTTCAGAAGGATTTGGGAACCTCATCCATGGTAACTGGTGTGAAGTGTTTTATATGTTCACGAACAAACTCAACAGCCGCTCCCATAACAGACATCAAGAACATCTGACTGTACAGAAGACGTCATGTCTCTTGTCGCAGCAACCTTTGTAGTTAGGAAGTCGTTGAACTTGTTGGCCAAGGCTGTATCAGATAAGCGGGTTGGTAGGATAGTTTCACATGATTGTCCCATAAGATTCTTTGTAAGCTTGAACATTTGTTTGTGATCTGTACTGCATTTATCACAATAACAGTCCTTTTTGGTTTTGATGAGACGTTTACTGACTAGTTTGCACTGGTCTTTACAGAGATGATGATGAATACACAATTTGGTCCGGCGCCATCGTCTCTCAGCCTTTAGACGTGCATGGTTCAACTCTCTAAGCCCATCCGTGTACCATCCGTGTACCAAGGAGCATCAGTTTGGTTAGTTTTCTTTGGAGAGGAGCATGTTTCTCGATTAAAGTCTTGAAGCCGTTGTTATAAGACTGAATGAGCTCATTAAGTGAACGATAAGTGAGCTGCAGTTCAGTAGACATCGCAATGTCCTTGGTGGAAGTCGGGAATGGAGATGGCTCTGTATAGACAGAATCTGATTTCCTGCCATACAGATCACCGCATTATGAGGCGGCTATGGTTGTTATATAGCTATAATATACAGCAAATCCTGACCGATCCGGACGAACCTGAATGCACCTTATGCAGATATGTTGCCTGTCCCTGTTAAATATCTTATTATTGCCCTGTCGGTGATATTTAAAATCTGTCTTTGTCATTAACCTTTCATGATGTTAAAGATCTGATGTTGTTATTGCTCTAGACTGTTGGTGATGTTAGATCTTCACTTGTTATTGCCCAGTTGGTGATGTTGAAGATCTTCTCTTGTTATTGCCCTGTCGGTGATGTTAAAATTTGCCCTTGTTATTACCCTGTCGGTGATGTTAAAGTTCGTCTCTTGTTGTTACCCTGTCGGTGATGTTAAAGTCTGCCCTTTATTATTGCCCTGTTGGTGATGTTAAAGATCTACTCTTGTTATTACCCTGTCGGTGATGTTAAAGATCTGCCCTTGTTATTGCCCTGTTGGTGATGTTAAATATCTACCCTTGTTATTGCCCTGTCCGTGATGTTAAAGATCTGCTATTGTTATTACCCTGTTGGTGATGTTAAAATCTTCCGGTGTTATTGCCCTGTCGGTGATACTATAGATGTACCCTTGTTATTACCCTGTCGATGATGTTAAAGATCTTTCCTTGTTATTGCCCCGTTGGTGATGTTAAAGATCCAACCTTGTTATTGCCCTGTCGGTGATGTTAAAGATCTAACCTTGTTATTGCCCTGTTGGTGATGTTAAAGATCTAACCTTGTTATTGCCCTGTTGGTGATGTTAAAGATCTAACCTTGTTATTGCCCTGTCGGTGATGTTAATCATCTGCCCTTGTTATTGCCGTGTTGGTAATGTTAAAGATCTTCCCGTGTTATTGCCCTGTCGGTGATGTTAAAATCTGCCCTTGTTATTGCCCTGTCGGTGATGCTATAGATGTACCCTTATTATTACCCTGTCGGTGATGTTAAAGATCTACTCTTGTTATTACCCTGTCGGTGATGTTAAAGATCTACCCTTGTTATTGCCCTGTCGGTGATGTTAAAGATCTACCTTGTTATTGCCCTGTCGGTGATGTTAAATATGTAATTATTGCCCTGTTGGTGATGTTAAAGATCCTCTTGTTATTGCCCTGTCGGTGATAAAGCTGGTGATGTTATAGATGTACCCTTATTATTACCCTGTTGGTGATGTTAAAGATCTACTCTTGTTATTACCCTGTCGGTGATGTTAAAGATCTGCCCTTGTTATTGCCCTGTTGGTGATGTTAAATATCTACCCTTGTTATTGCCCTGTCCGTGATGTTAAAGATCTGCTATTGTTATTACCCTGTTGGTGATGTTAAAATCTTCCAGTGTTATTGCCCTGTCGGTGATGCTATAGATGTACCCTTGTTATTACCCTGTCGATGATGTTAAAGATCTTTCCTTGTTATTGCCCCGTTGGTGATGTTAAAGATCTAACCTTGTTATTGCCCTGTCGATGATGTTAAAGATCTTTCCTTGTTATTGCCCTGTCGGTGATGTTAATCATCTGCCCTTGTTATTGCCGTGTTGGTAATGTTAAAGATCTAACCTTGTTATTGCCCTGTTGGTGATGTTAAAGATCTACCCTTGTTATTGCCCTGTTGGTGATGTTAAAGATCTAACCTTGTTATTGCCCTGTCGGTGATGTTAAAAATCTAACCTTGTTATTGCCCTGTCGGTGATGTTAAAGATCTGCCCTTGTTATTGCCCTGTTGGTGATGTTAAAGATCTAACCTTGTTATTGCCCTGTTGGTGATGTTAAAGATCTAACCTTGTTATTGCCCTGTCGGTGATGTTAATCATCTGCCCTTGTTATTGCCGTGTTGGTAATGTTAAAGATCTTCCCGTGTTATTGCCCTGTCGGTGATGTTAAAATCTGCCCTTGTTATTGCCCTGTCGGTGATGCTATAGATGTACCCTTATTATTACCCTGTCGGCGATGTTAAAATCTGCCCTTGTTATTGCCCTGTCTGTGATGTTTCCAATATATTTTTGATGACCGGTGTACCCTCTCATTCATCTAAGTGAAATACAACTAGCTTGGTAGTATTTACGCCTGTAGTGGCATTGCTGGAACATTGCTCAAAGCGGGGCAACGCCACCGTCATACAACTAGCAACCATATCGTCACACTACAGATGGCTGTGACCTCTGTCATACAATAAGCAATGATCTTGTCATATCATAATGAGGCAGCTGTGACCTCCGTCATACAACAAGCAATGACCTTATCATACCATTATGAGGTGGCTGTGATTTCCGTCATACAACAAGCAATAACCTTGTCATACCATAATGAGGTGGCTGTGACTTCCGTCATACAACAAGCAATAACCTTGTCATACCATAATGAGGTGGCTGTGACCTCCGTCATACAATAAGCAATGACTTTGTCATACTACCATGAGGTGGCTGTGACCTCCGTCATACAACAACTACCATGAGGTGGCTGTGACCTCCATACCACAAGCCATAACCTTGTCATACCATTATGAGGCGGCTGTGACCTCCGTCATACAACAAGCAATAACCTTGTCATACCATTATGAGGCGGCTGTGACCCCCGTCATACAACAAGCAATAACCTTGTCATACCATTATGAGGCGGCTGTGACCTCCGTCATACAACAAGAAATAACCTTGTCATACCATTATGAGGTGGCTGTGACCTCCGTCATACAACAAGCAATAACCTTGTCATACCATTATGAGGTGGCTGTGACCTCCGTCATACAACAAGAAATAACCTTGTCATACCATTATGAGGTGGCTGTGAACTCCGTCATACAACAAGAAATAACCTTGTCATACCATTATGAGGTGGCTGTGACCTCCGTCATACAACAAGCAATAACCTTGTCATACCATTATGAGGCGGCTGTGACCTCCGTCATACAAGAAATAACCTTGTCATACCATTATGAGGTGGCTGTGACCTCCGTCATACAACAAGCAATAACCTTGTCATACCATTATGAGGTGGCAGTGACTTCCGTCATACAACAAGCAATAACCTTGTCATATCATTATGAGGTGGCTGTGACCTCCGTCATACAACAAGCAATAACCTTGTCATACCATAATGAGGTGGCTGTGACCTCCGTCATACAACTTACAATAACTTTGTCACAACATAATGGGGCGGCCGTGACTTCCTCCATACAAAAAGCAATAACCTTGTCATACTACCATAAAGGTGGCTGTGACCTCCTCCATACAACAAGCAATAACCTTGTCATATCATAATTGTCACCTCCTATATACTGTGGTCGGAACATTTCAAAACGTCAATATTAAAAGGAATAATTCCCTTTTTCATGGTCACAATCGCTCTCAAGACATGTCTTTTACCTAATCAAAGTATTATCTTCAGAGGCACTGAAAGTGGACACTAGAAAACCGATACATTTCTTTCTCAGTTGATCTAGTTCCATTCAATAAATGGCTACAGAACAAATTCAAATATGCCTGTAACAAATTCAACACAACTCAGACATTTATTACCCCGGATGTTTGTCCCATTAGCTTCTTAATGGCCACTTTAATATTTATCGGTTTTCTTTCATTCTTTAATGTTTGAACTACAGGTATGGATTTACCTGCAGTGCCCATGTACCATTCATAAATGAACTTACAGAACCCCTAATTCATCTTCACCAAGAAGCTTGACAATTCAAGGGGCATACAGAAAATGTTGAACAAAAGCAAGCTGTATTCATGTTTTAATGGCATGGTTTTGTGTGGGACACACGAGCTCGTCGATGCATAGACTATGAGCTGGGCGTGGTCTTGACTGACAGGCCTTTCACCCCACACGTGGAGGCCTCTGCTAACTCAAGGTCAACCTTATAGCACTTCGTCTTGGAGAACATGCATCTGGAAGACAAGCTCATTATTACTGGAAGATCATGGTGTATCTGTGAATCAGTAAGTAAAATGGTTACAGATCTCAGCAGAGGTATATATCTGTGGTTGAGTCTTGGTAGGAATTATGTCCTCAAACCGTGTATGCTTATCGTAAGAGGCGATTAGATAGATAAGTTGGACAGACAGATCGAATAGCTGACTTGGTCGATTTTATGTTTTTGTATCCCAGGTGCATGGATTGATGTTCTTGATGTCCATCACAGGATCGTCTGATTCAGACTCCGCTATTTGCAAACCGCTACCACTACAGTATTGCTGATAACGATGTTAAAAAAAAACCTGACTGATCCGGGTGAACCTGAATGCAGATATGTTATCTTTCCCTGTTAAAAATTTGCCCTCGTTATTGCCCTGCTTGTGATGTTAAAAATCTGCCCATATTAATGCCCTCTAGGTGATGTTAAAAATCTGCCACCTGTAGGTGATGCTTTAAAAATTGCACTTGGTTTTCACCTGTCGGTGATGTTAAAAATCTGCCCATGTTGTTTATTGATCTGTAGGTGATGTTAAAGACTTTCCCTTGTTATTGCCCTTGTTGTTTCGAATATAATTTGGATGACTGAGGTACCCGCTAATTCATCTACATGTTTCATACGTGTAATACAACCAGCAAGGTAGAATTTATCAGGTACATGCACATCAGCAAGACATGTCTGCAAGCCAACATACAGGGCGGTGGAGTAGCCTAATGGTCTATGGTCCCGGGTTCGATTCCCAACTTGGAAGCCCATTTCTGATGTCCTACACCTTGATATTGCTGGAATATTGCTAAAACTAAACTCACTTACTCACACTTTAAAACTAGAATATTGCTTAAACACTACCCAGCAGGCACATCAACGTTGTTTCAACGTTGAAAATAGGTTGATCCTCAACGTTGAAAATAGATTGAAAATAGGTTGTATATGAAAGTTTTTTTGACGTAGATATCTGACGTGGAATCAACGTTGAAGTTTGACCGATTATCAACGTTGAAAAAAGGTTGATCCTCAACGTTGAAAATAGGTTGTATATGAAAGTTTTTTTGACGTAGATATCCGACGTGGAATCAACGTTGAAGTTTGACCGATTATCAACGTTGCGAATAGGTTGATCCTCAACGTTGAAAATAGATTGAAAATAGGTTGTATATGAAAGTTTTTTTGACGTAGATATCCGACGTCGAATCAATGTTGAAGTCTGACATATTATTAACGTTAAAAATGGGTTGTTCCGTGGTTGTGTCTGGGAGGTATTACACTTTCCTTTAAATAGACTCGCATTTCATCTTTAAACTACAATAAAGTAGCACCAAACTCCTGCATCCAGCTAAAATACCCAAAAAGCTACCTGCAATAAACAGTGTTCAAACAGAAAATTGCAGTAAAAATATTTACCTGATAAAATACTTGGTTAAAATGCCACATTCAATATAATGTTCATTTAAGTTTTATGTCAGTTGGACGTATAATTCCAGTAAGAAGAAAAGAGTATTCCAAATTAAGAAAAACTATTTACTGTTGTATTGTTACCTTGAAAAGGTGAAAATTGTCACGAGAAGACATTTTGTCTGAATTTCAGCTCTTAGACAGACCTCTGAATAAACACAATGCAATTACTTTCACCATGAAAGGGATCCAAGATGACCAGGAACTATACCTGAAGACAGCACATAAAACAAGTCACTTTTCATGAAATCTTTATGAACACACACGCACACAGAAAACGTGGTTTAATGCATAATGTAAAACATCACACATGACATAGTCTGTAGGTGATCTCTGTTGTGCTAATAACACAATATCATCTGCATATAGCATCAAAGTGACATTTACGCCACCAATTTCAATACCACAGTTCAGATTTTTCAACACAATTACAACTCCAAAAACAAAATTATCAGCTCCTCTTCTTTCTGCCACTCCGTGCCTGGTGGTCAGGTGGATACTTCAGAAACGTTCCTAACTTTCTTGAAATTTGCTTCGGATGCATTCCCATCTCATTCCCTTGAGATAGGACACATTCTGAAATTTTATATTTAAATACATGAATAAGTTATATGGAAGATATATTGTCTTAAATGATTCAAGTATTTGTTTAATCAATCACTTGAAAGGTTCATTTCACTGCTGTAACTTGGCATGTGAACATATGAACGAAAAGTGTAAACAATTTATATTTTCAACCGAAGGAATGGAAGTTTTCTTAAACATTTTCAAAGAAAATCCTCAATTGCAAGTTGATTATTTAATTAGACTATGAATTACCGGTAGGATGAATTAGACGATGCTTTACTGTCATATATTATTTGCTATGGTCATGATGAAAATGCTGCACTTGGTAATTAACTTACCAGAGATGATTGAATACAACCTTGTATTCTTAAAAGAAAACTTGCCGTTTTGTCCATCAACATTCATTCTTGACATCAAATTGTTTGACATTGTCCTGCAAAACAATGGAAGATTGTTGTTATTCTGTCAGATTTAGTTTTCTTTAGAGATTCTCGGAAATGATTATTTCAAATTAATAGGAGTTGAACTGATGTAGCAATTTTGCTACCAGGAGTCATAAATTGTAACAAAAGCCATTTTACATTAAATGATAAGAAAACAAAATGGGTGGTGGTTCACAGGTCAAAGAACAAGTCTATTGTGGGAGGTCTCCCAACACCATTTGTTCCCAAACACAAGGAAGTATGGATCATGGAGTTCTGAAAACAATAATGAGCTCTCATAAGTATACAATATATTCTCTATTATCTACTCTCTCTCTCTGTCATTTGTACACTCATAAAACTCAGATAAATAACTTTTTTTATAATTCATATATGTTTACACTTAATCTCTTATAGGAACGCTTAGAAAATCTCTCATATAATGAATTATGTGTGCGTATTATCTGCGACGTCATAACTATGCTTCTCTGAATCATGAACAATAAAATAATGAGATTAAACTCTACATTGTCAGAAATAATCTATCATACCATGAATAATAAGACATTGAATAACATCTCTTACAACTCCAATCTACACTCAAAAAGACTTAAATGTACTCGTAAACAAACATCGCTGGCTAACGCAAATTCTTGGAAACAGTGCATCTCTGACTCTCAATTCCAAGAAATGGAGGTCCTACTCTATTTGACCAAAGGTGACAGGTGGCCAAAACATATTGAAATGTAGGTCATACACTGAAAATAACTCTGATTTAAAACACTACAAATATACACCTTCTCTAATATACTCGATAGATGATCTTAACAAGGAACATGTACATAAAATGCTGATATCTAACAACACCTGTACTTTATATAATGGACTCTTCCAAATCTCAGTATGTTTCACTGCACACATATTAGATTGCAAATAATGAAAAAACCTACCCTTTGACAATAATAAAAAAACATCATATTCAAATTCTACAGCTGACCAAATACCTGAAGAGTGTGCTTCCCAGCAATAAACATCTCTATATATCTATAAATGTATGACTTCTGTCCTCTCGCGTGCTATCTTGCATCCAGCTGTTTACGGCGGAAAACAATATGGCGCCAAGCAAGGGAGTGCTCATTAAACTAAACATCTCCGGGAGAAGTCATTGTCAATTTTTTCTCTTAAATGATCAACCTTAATATATAAATGAAAATAAAGACCAACTATTATCACCAAAAAAGACCAAACATTATCACAAATATTCAAAACAGGTGGTAATGAAAGAGCATTATCATCTTTCTCTTAAACTTTGTGGTGATATACTGGAAACAAGTGAAATGTTAAAAACGTGTTACCATAGCCTTGCTCCTTTTATGTGATCCACAAAATTGCTGCCACCCAGTCTTCGAAGATGAGATTTCTGCAAATTCCATTAAAATAATCTTATTTCATAATTAAATGTTCCTTACATTAAAATTACTTCTTTTGTATGTAAGATTTTAACCTTTAAGAGACATGAATTATCATATCCCTTCCAAACAAGTGTAAGAATGAAAGTCTGTGGGTGCAGTTTTGTTAATTGTCCCATCAAAGAATCATTAGTGAAGTTACACTTTTCGTAAATAAATAAAAGTTCAAATAAATTATATACAATTTCATCCTTAACAAAGACTTTCACAAGACATTTTAAAGTGAAAATTTTCGTTGCATTTCCTTACGCCATTCTCCACCACCCCCTCCCCCCCCAGTAATATACATATGTTGATAGGGTTCAGGGCGTGCTCAATGCATCATTTACTGATAGATCTATTCAAACGAACAAATGTTCATAATAATGGGATGCAATATAAAATGTTGATTAATCCTATCCGATTTTGTATAGCTGCCCTTAGGGACCGTTCATAATGTATGGCTTTGGGGTGATGTTGATTTTTATGTACAATGTGAATTACACCGCCCCTAAAAGTGTATGAGTATGTACAGAATAAGAGACGGCCCACCCTGCATGTCATGTACATTATCTATGACGCCCTATCCCCTTCCCATAATTTCTAAACATAGTGCGTGTGTACAAAAATGCTGACCCATTAGCTCCCCAGAACAAAATGGGTGACACCCCACCCCACCCTCCAACCCTTACAATCAACACCACCACCCGCAGCCATATATTTAATTATGAACGGTTCCTTATATTGATGTACTTCATTGATTATTTGAAAATGTATATTTGCAAAATTCAAATCAGGTGATGGGTACGAAAGGAAATCTTATTCGATTATATAATAAATTATATATGCATGCAAATATATTGAAAAATAACAAAACAAAATTTTGAGAAACATGTACTGTGACATACCGGTAACCTTGTGAGATAAAACATGAGCCCTAATTCGGAGTTTCTTGCTACTGCTAGATTTAAACGGCATTCCTACGTTTTCATTATACATGAAGGACATACTTACCAAATAAACACCAGCATGCCGTGAAGATGGTGAAAATAGAACGATATTGCGTTGAACTTCGCCAAAGTGAACTGACAACGATCAGCTGCCTTTGCGCGCGCGATAATTGTGCGCATGTCCGGATATGGCCAAACGAGGCGATCGAAACAAATTGTCGGGAATTATACAATTTTCACAGTTTTGTGGGAAAATATCAAATGTAATGCAATTTGGATAACTGATGACTTTATACCTAAAACTGCGATTTACGTAATATTTCCGTCCGTCGATCGATGCACAATCAAATAATATATAAGATTATATCTGTCACTAGCTCGATGTTGATCTTTTATGAAAATAATGTTCCGAAATGATAGTTGCTAAGTTGGATACCTATTACCAATATGAATTATGTATCAAATTTGCCAAGGAAACAATTAGTTGACATTTTGTTGGTTCCTTACGTTGAAACAACGTTGACAACTAAACGAATCTCGACTAACTTTCTTTGGTCGCATGATAAACGTTGAATCAACGTTTATGAAAGGTTGATCAACCAAACAACCAAAATTCAACGTTGATTCAACGTTGATTCAACGTTGTGTGCCCGCTGGGTAAGCTCACCCACTCACTCACTCACTACAACTGGTATAAGGATAAACACTCACTCACTCACATGAAAGTAATTGTGTTGATCCTTACTGGCTTTTGTAAATGTTGCCATCATTTCCACAGATGTCGGCTGTGACGGCCGTTCCGCAGCTGATTTGATAGATGTTGTTACAGAACACATCCTTGATGATGGCAAATGCTGGGTCCACGCCGGTAGGTTTAACAGATGTAACGGCAGCAGTAGTTGGGGCGCCACCACTAGTCGGGGTGTCATCGGTAGTCGGAAAGCCACCAGTAGCCAACATGCCACCAGTAGCCAGCATGCCACCAGTAGCCAGCGCGTCACCAGTAGTAAAGGCGTCCCCAGTAGGTGCAACTGTTGGCAGGGGACAGTCTCCTTTATTCAGCATGGACAGTGAATGGTCTTTGCATCTCGCGTGGGCAAAGATACAGCTGAAAAGAACAAGATATTTGTTTGATATTTCTCTTCATGTTGTTTTAGGACACATTCTTTCATCTGAAAAGATGGGGGATCTCGACATATCTTCTGATCAAACCACGTTGGCAACAACATCGGTTGGTTGGTTTTTTGTTTGGTTGGTCTGTAAATAATCGAGTCTGGACCAGACAGTCCAGTGACTGAGATACGATGATATGCACCAACCCATTCAATGAACCTGACCATCCGATCCACTTAGTCGCCTCTTACGACAAGCATGGGATAGGTCAGTTCTAATACGGATCCTTAGGGGTAACCACATCTCAACGTACTTTTAGGTCAGACCACATTGGTCGCAGCATGGAAAGGATCTCAACATGATTTCTGATTAAACAATAATCAGCAACTTTAAGTGAATATAATAGTTACTAAAACAGATTGTCCCTTGAATTGTTTGAAAAATATTTATAAATGCTTCACCACCCGTGAAGATCCGGATTAAAATTGATCTTCAGCAACCCATGCTTGTCGTAAGAGGCGACTGACAGGATTGGCTGGTCAGGCTCGTTGATTTGATTGACACATGTTATCGTATCCCAAATGCGTAGATCGATGTTCATGCTGTTGATCACTGGATTGTCTGGTCCAGACTCGATTAATTACAGACCGCCGCCATATAGCTGGAATATTGCTGAGTGTGGTGTAAAACTAAACTCAGTCAATCAATCAATGTTACTTATACCATCTTACTTTGGGAAAATTCTGGGATAAACTACGCTGGAAAGGCCCATGTAATTGCAGAACCCTCCGTCTAAATATAGCACGATTGATATTACAGCACAGCACTGTTCCCTACTGGTGTCAACAAAAACAATGCAACACACAATAAATAACTTGGCCACATAATAGTACTCACAGTTAATGACAAATCAGCACTTACAAGTTATTATACTGCACCATGTCTGTCCCACACAGTCTCTCAGAGTGGCCATGCACCACGTGTGTGCTGCAGTCAATTGTCAGGAGATGCTGACACAAACGGTCATCATAGTGCTGTGTTATTTCGTGGAGTTCGTGGGCAAGAGGGTCGGGATTGGACACTGCATCTGCAAGAATAGCGGCAACATGGTTATGGTGTGAGGTGAAATGGAGAAAAGGAGGAATTTCTCTGATGACATGCTTTCCCACTCATGCATATGAACGGCCAAGCTAGAATGTGTATTGGACAACTGGTACTTGTCGTAAAAAGGCTGCTATCGAGATCGGTATCTTCCCGGGGTCTCCTCATAGTACAGGCACCTTTTGTTCATATATACTGAAGCAATCAGGCATGTCAAATCGCAAAACAAAGGGATTACTTGGGGACCGTATCAGTATTAACACGTGACACAAAGTTGGAACTATTATTTTTCATTACAGTAACATACTCAATAGTACTTATTTTATAAAATATACAATTTATCTTAACTATATGTACACACACGCTCATTCAAAAATATCAAAAATGGAATCAGCAAATTCCATCGAAGGATTTCATCATTGATGTGTCAATACTCCTCTTTGGGGGCCTGCTAGCACCATGTAGAATCTGAACTATTGGCGTCTCAGTGGGGCTCTGCTCTTTCCGGATAAGATCAATGAAGCTATATATACTGGGATGGTTCTGGCCAAGTTTGCTAAGTCTTGCATGCCAGCCTTCGACAGGATTTGTGGTCGCCAGCATGGACGATGAAGTTTTCACCAGACAAGGTCTGAGTGTAGTTGTGGGGAAAGTTGAGACGATCCCTTTCCTTATAGCAACATCACTAATTCTAATCCTCTACAGGCTGCCTGCACAGAGAGGATAAACCATCTTCCTATAACATTCATAATACAGACCTACCAAAAGGCAGACCGCTTAAAACAACACATTTTATGGTTGGTTGCATAAGGCTTAATTAAGCTGTACCCTTGATAATAATGGTATGTGCCCAGAAAAAAAGACATTAGGTACTAACTATAGTTTTATCAATTCATGTAATCAATTATGATTTTTAAATTAAGACATATTGCATCAACATAATATGTACATCAATATATATTTGACAGATCACATTACCTTGCGAATATTATCAAAAACAATAATTTATATACATGTACCTATCAAGCATATGAGACCAAGCACCATATTATTTTACATCACGTTAGTCAGTGCACAGATAAGACTTATTAGAAAGTCACTTGAACATCATCATTTTGTCCTTTCACCTTGTTCTTGGCATACAGGAAGACATCAAGAAGGGTGATCGGGAAAAGTCGTAGGAAAAAAGTCAGGGAAAAAAAGTCATGTGAAAAATAACTATTAGAACTATCATGTTCTCCAGTTATATACTTTGTTTATACTGAATTTTATAAATACTATTTCACTTTCATCTTCAAGTAATCTTAAGTAATAAAAACACTCTGTTCTCCAGTTATTTGCAAAAACTAAATAAACAACAACGTCCTATTCTCCAGTTATTTATTCTTGTATGATCTTGAGTGTTTTCTTTATGAACATGATGTAACTGGCCTCCAACATGTAAATAAGCTTCTTGAGGTGAGCTTATGCATAGTGTGAAGTTAGATGTCGGTGATGATCTTCACTTTTTATTAGTTCTGTAAACATCCTACTATTGAAAAAACTGTTTATCTAATGAAAAGTGATTATTCACCGCTTAACTCTAAAGTTGCCAAATTTATCAAAACTGGACTTTGTTCAATGTTATAATATGTATCAATTTGCTGTATGTTCTCTGTGTCACTATATGTGATTTTTTAGAATAATATTCGGTTCTATTCTGTTCTGTTCAGTAAAAGGATTAGTAATATGTTTTGAGAAGGGCACAGGAGATAGGAGTGTGTTGTTACTATACGTACCCTGTAGTGACTCTAGGTCAGCTCATTAATTAAATAGGGGTGGACAGCATGGCTCAGCTAATTAGTGTACTCATTGAGTCTGTCTTATGGGAGGTCTGTCTTTTGGGAGTGAACCTCGGGATCGGGTGGTCAAGCATGTTGAGTTGGTTGATGCGTATCATCGTATCCCAAATGACCAGAGACATCATGTTCACTCTCTTATGGAGACAGCCAAGTCAAGCTATTACAAAGCTGCACTGCAGGATGTGGATGGACAGAAGGACGTGTTCAGGATAGCTAACAGGCTTCTGTTTAAGGATAATTCCCTGACTCTTCCATCTCATACATCCCTTGATCAATTAGTCGACAAGTTCTCAGACTTCTTTTCTCAGAAGATTTCCACAATCAGAGACTCACTATCACATGATGACGCTCCACACAGTGAGCCCCAACCAGCAGCTGCATTTCCATGCCTATCCCATTTCCGACCAGCAACAGAAGCAGAGATTGTGAAACTTGTTTCTAAGTCACCGACAAAGTCATGTATTCTTGACCCTATACCTACATGGCTTCTTAAGAACTCTCTGGATACCTTTGCCCCTATATTGACCTCTGTTGTCAATAAATCTCTTCAGGAAAGTATGACTGACTGACTGAGTTTAGCTTTACGCCGCTTTTAGCAATATTCCAGCAATATCACGGCGGGGGACACCAGAAATGGGCTTCACACATTGAACCCATGTGGGGAATCGAACCTGGGTTGTATTTGCAAGAGCATGAACAAGCAGAGATAGCATCAATTCTGTGACAGAATAGGGAAAAGTCCTTATATGCTACAAGTTGTATTTGCAAGACTGACTGACTGACTGACTGAGTTTAGTTTTACGCCGCTTTTAGTAATATTCCAGCAATATCACGGCGGGGGACACCAGAAATGGGCTTAACACATTGTGCCCATGTGGGGAATCGAACCCGGGCCTTCGGCGTGACGAGCCAACGCTTTAACCACTAGGCTACCCCACCGCCCCAGGAAGGTATGATACCGGATACATTGAAAAATGGAGTTGTAACTCCACTGCTGAAGAAGAAAAGTTTAGATCAAGAGCTCTTAAAAAATTATCGGCCAGTCACAAATTTACCATTCACCTCACAATTGATTGAGCGTGTGGTCACAACAAGACTCAAGGAACACATGACCTTAAATGGGTGTTTCGAAGTCATGCAAGCAGCATACCGGAATTTCCACTCCACGGAAACCGCACTCGTTAAAGTGCACAATGACATACTGAGAGCCGTAGACAAAGATGGTGCTGCAGTATTGGTTCTACTTGATTTGGGGTAGTGCCTTCGATACTATCGACCATAGTATTCTGATGCATACACTTGAGACCAGGATGGGTATTAGAGGAACTGCTCTTCAGTGGTTTGAGTCATACATAGCAGATAGACATCAATCGGTGATCATTGATGGTCACATCTCCAGTCCTAAGGATCTTGCTTATGGCGTGCCCCAGGGATCGGTTCTTGGACCTCTACTTTTCACTATTTATACTTCTCCTCTAGGTGATATCGTCAGATCCTTCAACCTTGGACTGCATTAATATGCTGACGACACTCAAATTTACATATCATTCAAACCCTTACTTTCCTCATCAGCTGTGTCTTCATTTCTCGCCATTGAAGAGTGTGTCAGCTGCATGAAAATCTGGATGTCGTCACACTACCTCAAACTGAATGATGATAAAACTGAACTCATGGTTTTACACCCTAAGCGTCTCCAACCCAGTATCTCTCTTCCTAAATTCACCCGCCGTGATATTGCTGGAAAATTGCTAAAAGCGGCGTAAAACCATAATCACTCTCACTCCTAAATTCAGCATCGGTCAGTGTGAGATTCAGCCAAACCATGAGGTGCGAAACTTGGGAGTTATTTTTGATTCCTCACTGTCCATGGAGCCACACATCAATAACATCTGTAGAAGGGCGTACTACCACATTCGCAACATCGGCATGATTCGACGATACCTGGACGTCAAGACTAACAGCATCTCTTATTCAGGCATATGTAACATCTCGTCTTGACTACTGTAATGCGCTCCTTGTGGGTCTCCAAAATTATCTTATACACAAGCTTCAGAAGGTGCAGAATACTGCAGCCAGATTGGTCTCTCAGTCAAAGAAATCAGACCACATTACTCCCGTTCTTCACTCACTTCATTGGCTTCCCGTCCACTACCGCATAAAATATATAACTCTACTCCTTGTTTTCAAAAGTTTACATGGTCTAGCTCCTCAGTACCTCTGTGATCTGTTCCACCGTTATACTCCTGTACGTTCCCTCCGATCAAATGACCAGTGTCTTTTGACAATTCCTGTGACTAGGACAAAAAACATATGGTGACAGGTCACTCGAGACGGCTGGCCCTCATCTCTGGAACAATCTTCCATCTCACCTCAGAACACAACCAGATTTAGCTGTTTTTAAATCAAATCTAAAGACGTGTCTCTTTGCTGAAGCACTTGAACTCTATGTGATATCTAGACCATCTTAGAGCCAAAGCGTCTTTGAGCGGTTTACGGATATTGGCGCTATACAAGTATTTGTATGTATGTATGTATGTAATAGATTGATGCTTATGACGTCAATGACTGGAGTGTCTAGTCCTGATTGATTTTCACAGGAAATTGTCATATAGCTGGAATATTGCCAATAGCGGCGTCAAACCAAAATTTAAACAAAGTCTCCGAGCTTGGTCACCCGTACAGCAAGGCTGGGGATAATTCCAACTCATTTTCATCACCCGCCCCCTTTACGTACCATATTGTAGAAAGTCTGAATGTATCACTTCAAGTAGTTCGGTTAAAGAATCCTTTAATGAATAATGAGTGCCTCTATACATATACCCAACATACAGCTAATTGTGTTTAATCATTCAGTAAGTAAGCCGAAGTCTAATGGTATCTGCAATACATATGGGGAAATATGTGTGAATCCATATGCAATTCTTTATCTATCCGTTCCCGTTTACGCTTTGTCGATACCAAGCCACACAAATAGTTACGAGGGGTTCACGAGCCGCTCTTCGGCATGTCCTGGAATAACACGAGTTGCTCACGAATGATCCCACTCCCCGCTTGTTTATTGTGGGGCACAGAAGTGCAAATACATTTCGGGTTTCCCCATATCGTCCTATGTCGCCGTGAACATCTATCTTCCAACATTACCACATGTACAAACCATATTGTATGATTTTGTCTTTCTCCATGCATCGCATTGACTTATCCTTTTCCTCCCACAGAAAAACAGCCTGCACCAAGGTCAACTCACTTAACCACGACGCTCAGATCAAAGAACAACGAAACAGAGAATATATTTTCTGTACATAACTATACTGAAAGGTAAAAGAAACGTCGTATGTAGACGGGGTAGTAACTGGTTGAATGGATCACTCTATGGTTATAATAGGAAACAAGGACACAATGAAAAGATAACAGACGTTATTTTTGACAAACATTTGTTTATTAAGGCCTTTGGTGTTGTTTGTCACATCCTATTCACCGATGACGTCACTGGAAAGAACCGAAGTCAATATCGGGTGTGACCACCGTTTGCATTCACAACTGCAGCACACCTCCTCACCATAGAGTGCACGAGGCGATTCACATAGGCCATAGGAATCCGAGCCCACACCCTCAGGAACGTTGTGCGTAGTTGGTCCGCAGTTGTTGGCCTTGGTCTAATGTCATTGAGGCATCTTTGGATCTCATCCCACAAATGCTCTATTGGGTTGAGGCCTGGGCTCAGGGCTGGCCAAGGCATGGTTTCCACATTATGCTGCTGCAGAAATGTTCTAGTGAGTCTGGCGGTATGTGCACGCGCATTGTCCTGCTGGAAAACATGACGCCGATGACGTGCACAAAACGGCACAACATGGGGTCGTAGGACTTGGTCGATGTACCGTGCAGCTGTCACACCATTCCCTCTTCCTGGACCGAGATTCTGGAAGATAACCCGACCGATTTTCTAGTTAAGTCCGATTCCACCCCAAACCATAATGCTCTGACCACCCCAAGCGTTTCTCTCCATCACACACTCATCATTGAAGCATTCTCCTCTGCGACGCCAGACCCTAGTCCTCCCATCAGCCACAAATACGCAATAACGACTTTCATCGGAGAAGATAACAGTTCTCCACTGTCTCTGATGCCAGTGTTGTCGCTGTTGTGCCCAGTGTAGACGTTAGCGGCGGTGACGTTGCGTTAGCACTGGACCCAGGGCAGAACGTCTACAGCACAGGTTGCGGGCTTGAAGGCGTCGCCGAACGGTGCGGTCACTGATTGCTCTTTGGTGGGTGCCAATGGTGTTTCGAGCTGTCTCTGTTGCCATGTTGAACCGGTCTTGCAAGTGGTGACGGACGATCTGTCTGTCCTGGCGACGGGTGGTTACCAGGGGACGACCACTACGTGGACGGTCATCTGTGCTGTTGGTGGTGTTGAACAGTTGACGGAGACGTTCAATTGTTCTTACAGAACAATTGAAGTCATTGGCGATGACAGTAGCACGTTGACCTGCATGGAGACGTCCGATGGCCTGTTGTCGTTGATCCCTTGTTAACCTCGGCATAGCTGCTGTAGTCAGGAAACGACTAAAGGATCGGTAGTCAAGCTGGGAATTAATACCCTGTATGCGCACGAGATGCACGTGCAGTGTGCTTTCAATGTTGCGTTTGGTTGAGCTGTTCCTTGTCCAAAAACAGTGAAACTTTTTTAAACCATCCAAAAAGTTGGTGTGTTGTACAAACTTATCAACTAGTGTTCGAATCATGTTGTTTAAATGTTGTTTTCAGTCATCAAAATACATCATTGATACCAAATCCATAATCTGAAAAATACGACGTTTCTTTTGCCTTTCAGTATATTTAAGGATTAAATTCGGTAACGTGTCTGTTTGTTCTTTCACACATACCTGAAAATGTATCAAGAAGAGTTTGCACTAAATGTGTCTGGAATACTTACAATGGCAGAGAAGCAGAAAAACGACTGCCGACAACATGGTGGACATTTGGTAGGACTGTGTTCTGTTATCTTTGGTGTGAGTTCACTTCTGTTTAAATTTTTTTAGAGCGTGAATGTTATAATCAGTTGCGATTTTTTTAACCAGCATGAATTGAATTATGCCATAGTACAATAAAGGTAGGGCCTAGTAAAGGCACGGCTGAGTATCTATGGAGATTATCATGAGGCCTCACTACAATAAGGAAAGTAGTGTCATGAACCCACATGAACAGGTGTCATGATATGCTTCAACCAGATGACTTAATGAGTGAGTGACCCCGTTGGGAACCCGGGTTAGAACAGGTACTAAGCAATATATGCTGTTTGTAAGAGGTGACACAATGGATTCGATAGTCAGACTCGATTACTTGGTTGATGTAATCGTACACGGAAAAATGGCAGAACACCAAATACCACCCGTAAAGACATGAGGACAACATTTCGGAACCATGTCCGTTTCAGTGCCACTGTAAAGGTGCAGCAGACTCTAAGACTGACGGGGGCGGTGGGGTAGCCCAATGGTTACAGCGTTCGCTCGTCAAGCCGAAGACCATGGTTCGATTCCCCACATGGGTACAATGTGTGAAGCCCATTTCCGGTGTCCCCCGCCGTGATATTGCTAAAAGCGGCGTAAAGCCAAACTCACTCACTCTAAGACGAATTCACATATGGTGATGTCGGACCTGCAAAAGTGAGTGAGTAAGTGTGATTTTACTCCGCTTTTAGCAATTTTCCAGCTATATCACGGCGGGGGACACCGGAAATGGGCTTCACACATTGTACCCATGTGGGGAATCGAACCCGGGTCTTCGGCGTGACGAGCGGACGCTTTAACCACATGGCTACCCCACCGCACCGACCTGCAAAAGACTGAGCGTCATATTGCAAATTCAGCAAGCACTTCCCAGGGCGGAATATATTCCACTTTCATAGATAATTTGGCAATGACATTTGACCAAAAACAGATGAGGCACATGATGATCTAGTTCTGTCTGATACCGCCAAAATCTTGCAACGATTTGTTGAAGAGACCTAAGTTCATCCGCTGCTTGTCAACTTTCCAGAGATCGTAGAGACCCCTGATTTGTTTGTTGACTGGCCACAGCGAAACTATTTGCTCAAATGACTCACGTTGATTTGTCGAAACACCTCCATGGCATCAGAAGAATGTCCACAACAAAACTAAATTTCACAATCACACAACTTCTTCTGCGTTGGGCTTAAAGCTTTTTATCAATCAATCCTCATATATATTTCTCTGAGAGGGGCACGGGTGGCCTAGTCGTCTAAGGTGCCATATTTCGCTGTGCAGAGTTGCGTACCTTGGGCACTCCAGGAACCAACGATTAAAGGTTTGAATCCCAGGTTGGCCCTGATTGTTTCCGGGTTTGTCCACACCATACAAAAGCTCGTGGGTTTCACCCTGGAGGTAAACGTATAAGACTTCGTGACTTCCCCCCGCTCTGTGCTGACACACCGCCCTAACTGGAATACTGTTCAACATAATTATACGTAACTCAGCCCAAAGAGCATCATCTGCATCTTTAAAACTGTCATAGTTGGATATTGAGATGTTATTGTATGACTGACTGACTGAGTTTTGGTTTTACGCCGCTTTTAGCAATATTCCAACATCACGCCGGGGGACACCAGAAATGGGCTTCACACTTTCTACCCATGTGGGGATTCGAACCCGGGTCTTCGGCGTGACTAGCCAACGCTTTAACCACTAGGCTACCCTAGCGCCCCGTTATTGTATGAACTAAATATGATGCTGAAGTGTTCATGACTTAATTTGTTCTCATATTAGTTCAGTTTACATCGTCACTGTTACAGTTCCTGTCAGACCATAGTTTTTATAAATTGTAGTCCCATGTGTTTGGTACCACTCACGTTGTCTTTTAAAGGAAGATCTCAGCTGTCTGACGTTTTCACCCATTCATGTCACTACACTGATGCTTGTGTTACACGTAATGGTTATAATAATAGTCATTTATATTGTGCATTTTTCCATGGGAGAATACAACCACTCGCCAGTCAGGCGCTCAAGATTCAAATTCAGACTACCATCTTATCATGCCAGATCCTCAATTTACTGCTGGGTGGACAGAGGCAATTTTGAACAAACTCACTTGCCTAAGATGAGACCACATGTGCTTCGATGTGGGGCAGGACTGAAGTCCCAGAAACTCTCAGGAGTCAAGCTACCAAACACGGTCACCCATCTGAGACTCTCCACAGCCAACGTTGCATAACTTACTGATAGTCACCTGAACTTAATGCACAGGACCACTCACAATAATGTAAGAATGAACTGTGAGGAAATGAGAGGGCTGGACAAGTGAGGGCCATATGAAGTGATGATCCCTGCAGTGTGGACTCCTGGGAGAGAGTACTCAGCTTGGCAGGAGAGTCAATAAACATACATGTCATTTCAACCTTTTGACTCATGGTAGACTGACTGAGTGAGTTTGGTTTTACGCCGCTTTTAGCAATATTCCAGCAACATTACGGCGGGGGACACCAGAAATGGGCTTCTCACATTGTACCCATCTGGGGATTCGAACCCGGGTCTTCGGCGTGACGAGCCAACGCTTTAACCATTAGGCTACCCCACCGCCCCTCTCATGGTAGAAGAACTGTTCTTAATTGATGAACCCAGCACCTGCAGGGCCAATGTTACGCTTTAACCATTAGGCTAAACTTTTTGGTGTGATTGACCCACCGCCCCTCTCATTGGTATGGGAAGAACTGTTCTTAATTGATGAACCCAGCACCTGCAGGGCCAATGTTACTAGTTAATGGGAACTGATCCAACCAATGTTTTCTCTGTGCAACGCTTGTAAACTTTGGTGTGATTGACTGCAATTAATGGGAACTGATCCAATATATTTTCAGAGTGTAAGGCTTGTAAACTTTGTTATTGTCCAACCAATTTCTCTGTGCAAGTGTTGTAAACTTTGGTGTGATTGACTGCAATTAATGGGAACTGATCCAACCAATGTTTTCTCAGTGCAAGGCTTGTAAACTTTGGTGTGATTGACTGCAATTAATTGTAATCACAATTGGAACTGATCCAATGTTTTCTCAGTGCAAGGCTTGTAAACTTTGGTGTGATTGACTGCAATTAATTCTCAGTGCAAGGGTTGTAAACTTTGGTGTGATTGTGATTGAACTGATCCAACCAATGTTTTCTAATGGGAACTGATCCAACCAATGATCCAACCAATGTTTTCTCTGTGCAAGTGTTGTAAACTTTGGTGTGATTGACTGCAATTAATGGGAACTGATCCAACCAATGTTTTCTCAGTGCAAGGCTTGTAAACTTTGGTGTGATTGACTGCAATTAATGGGAACTGATCCAACCAATGTTTTCTCTGTGCAAGGCTTGTAAACTTTGGTGTGATTGACTGCAATTAATGGGAACTGATCCAACCAATGTTTTCTCTGTGCAAGGCTTGTAAACTTTGGTGTGATTGACTGCAATTAATGGGAACTGATCCAACCAATGTTTTCTCTGTGCAAGGCTTGTAAACTTTGGTGTGATTGACTGCAATTAATGGGAACTGATCCAACCAATGTTTTCTCTGTGCAAGGCTTGTAAACTTTGGTGTGATTGACTGCAATTAATGGGAACTGATCCAACCAATGTTTTCTCTGTGCAAGGCTTGTAAACTTTGGTGTGATTGACTGCAATTAATGGGAACTGATCCAACCAATGTTTTCTCTGTGCAAGGCTTGTAAACTTTGGTGTGATTGACTTTGGTGTGATTGACAACCAATGTTTTCAAGGTTTGTAAACTTTGGTGTGATTGACTGCAATTAATGGGAACTGATCCAACCAATGTTTTCTCTGTGCAAGGCTTGTAAACTTTGGTGTGATTGACTGCAATTAATGGGAACTGATCCAACCAATGTTTTCTCTGTGCAAGGCTTGTAAACTTTGTGCCTGCAGTCACTGTCCAGACTAACTCTTAGTTTTGTAGTGCTAGCCCAGTGAGACGCTGGAGTTGAACATGGATACCCCGGGGGCCCAGGTGCTGGTCTCCCAGCTCGCCATTCCTGGGGTTACTGCTTTACCACCATCTTTCAACATCTTTTGCAGGGGTGGAAATAACCCATTGCCCGACGCCAAGTCCAGTGGGTTTTTTCTGTCGGGCCAGCAAATTTGTATATCACACTGTACTGTGTCCAGTTGACTTTCCAATATTAATTATGTTGTTTATTTAAAAAATCAACAAGAAAACAACTGGTATAGTGGAAAACTTCTCAGGGCAAGTGATTTTACATGTGCGCTGTACCGGTGTACACTAGCAATTTTAAAGTTATTTCCACCCCTGTTTGGGGAATATGTAGCCAGGGTTCGAACCCTGACCTTCTGCTCTCTCAGATGCCCTATCCACAAGAACATGCACAAATTCTTTCAGAATCAATCTAGATAGACATGATGTATCCATGAGGGAAAATGGTTTATTTACAGTGATGAAAATACTATGGCAAAACTACACAGGCGATGAAAGGCAATATAAAGCAGATTGCACTAAACTTACATGAACATGAAGTTCAGAAGGTGCAGTCTGACATATTGCACGTGAACACAGCAATGGACATAGACGAACGAGTGTTATTTCACCAAACTGGTATCACTTGTGCAAACATACAGCAGCTGACAAAATATATAGAACAATAACATTTGTCACTGTTCTAACAAACCGAAGACTAAACATTCTCACATGTTTAATTATTTTTATACCTATGTAAATCCTTTAGATGCCTTTTTATTACCTACGAGGTCGAAAATATCGGGGTTCATATTTTTCATACCATGCCCTTGGGCAAAATATGGCTTTGTCATGGTGACGTGAAATCATGAACAATGCTATGATGTCACATGTCTTCTATGACATTGCGTTCTACATGTGACGACGACAGGTAGCCAACCTGTTTGAAAGTTGATTTGGGTTTATTTTCCTCAATTTGACGACTTCGGTAATAAATAGAATATTATATTCGAGCCCATATCATACTATTTTTACGACACTCGTGCCTAAATATCGGTATATCCTTTGTTTTCTCTCGGGAAATACAAATATAAAGGCAGTCGTGTCGTAAACATAGTATGAAATGGATACTCATATAATATCCTCTTTATATTCTTACCTCTGTTTATATAAGCGAAACTTCTAAAAATACCTTCTATTATCATTGATGTTCAACAATTCTTTTAATACAGGTTTCAAAATGATTTCCAACGTTATGAAAAAGACATGTAACCACTAAATTTCTATACTGCACATCAGAAGCACTCACTATATGTTATGTTTATATATGGTTTGTTTTCCACAATACTGTGTTTTGGTGTAAAGTTTTCAGTGAACTCATGAAAATAATGTTTGCAACGTTACGCATTTGTTTTACAATACATCAGTTCATGTGTAAAGAGTACCTTTAAACAGTATGGAACATTTAGCAAAATCTAGTCTAGAACAGTGACTGAAGAAAGTGGCTACATTTACACTAGTGAGTCTAAACTTTTGATGGGTAGTATAATACCATTTAATATCATTTGCAGTAGACTACTTGATTGTACTGCAATAAACATGATACACACAAATCATAGCAAAGAATCAGGAAACAGTCAACATACATCTCTTCTTGCCAAGCATACACAGGTACGTACAGTCAATAACATATTTGCACATCGTAAACTTCAAGTGACTTACAAACACTATTTCTTTAAAGCCATACTACTGGTTTCTTAATATCATCTACCACTGCAACCTGAAAATGTACACAAGTTATAGAAACATACTGCATACAATGTATTTAAGTCGCTGATCAAAAATCTTGTGAGTGACGCCTCTTGAAACAATATCATCATGAAACACTTAATGACACACCTACACAGGGGATGTCAATGACATTATAAACCATAGCTGCATTGATTTATTGTGGCTAATGAAATAATGGTTTGATAACATATGGGCAAACCATTTAAGACAAAGAAACGTGTACTTTCCTTGATAGATACCTTTAACATCTTCTCCAAAAGATCCCCTGTCCTATAGCTTCGTCGTAGCATAAGGAATAATTAACGTAATATTTGACAATCCAGCTAACACGGCTTCATTTGACAGTAAATCAAGGCCTAAAGTGTCTCCCAATTCCAAAGTTCAGTTGATAGGTTGTAGTCTTGTTAGAGAAGGACGATATAACCATCTTTAGAAAAGAAAGCAAAACCAGGCATGGAAACCAAATATCAGCAGATTCTGACATAACAAAGGGTCACAACTCTGCATGGACAATGATCATGCCTTATACACTAAGGCAACTAATACTTAACACACACAAAATTCTCATCAGCTCGACATTATGGGACAGATAAAGGTGAAAACCTATTTGGTCTTAATTATGTTACAGTCAATGATTACCCATGCATTATGTGTGTCTAAGTCTGTCACGAGTCAAACCAAACAACCTCAGAATACAGTGGTCCACTAAACATTCTGGCCCCAACAAGGAACAATAATCCACATGCGACGTTAATGCATTTATCAAACTCTTTCGTACCAGGGCTATCGATATCTTTAAACAAGACTGGCATTCATCTTTATATGAAAGTTCAAGATATGATTGTTATCGTGAGTTTAAATCTTTACTTGAACCTGAGTCGTATCTGTACAACTTACGTAGTAAAAAAGCTTCGGAATGTTTTCATACGCCTGAGACTTGGCCTAAATGATTTATATATCAATCAAGGAAGATATTCATCTATTATAAAATCACAAAGGTTCTGTCCATTTTGTAATACTGTAGAGAATGAATTACTTTCTATTTCTTTGTCCTGCATATAATGATTTAAGGCAACTGTATTTTCCACAATGGCTACAATCAAATATTAATTCTACAAAATTGTATTCAATACTTTCATGTAAAACATCCCTATTACAATATAAGGTAGCTCTATTTATTTATCACACACTTATATTCAGAAGAGATTCAATGTAACGTGTGTGTCGCATGTTGTATATGTTGTACATATCATACATATTTCTTTTGTATATGGGCCTCTGGCCTTCATGCAATAAACTGATTGATTGATTGACATGGTATTTCTGGGGATCCTTGGGGTTTGTTCCTATGGTATTTGAACCTCAGGGCCCCAAAATCTTCAGCATCCGACTTCTGAGTCCCCCCATAAGGAGCATGGACCACACAACCTTTTTGCTTAAGTTTATACTCAACATATACTGCCATGCCAGCAGTTATTTCACATTGATCAAGTTTATGTGTTAGCAAAAACACCAATGAAATAAGACAAAACAAAAGAGCAAAAAAGAAACCTGAGAATAACAGAAACAAGTTTCAGAAATGTGAATTCCACATCAGATGGTTAATGAATGTAAAAAAAGAAAAGTATTTATAAAAAAAACAAATCACCAAGAATCTGTTACGGTAAACTAAGTTAATAATGTGAACCATATATGAACTGACAGATTTGACAGACTGACCTTGGTTACTGCAGTTTGCTTTATATTTCAGTCGAAATGCTTATAACAAACTACGGTTATAACAAACTACATTACTAGTCCCTTTGAGTCCCTTTAACCACAGTTTACTGTACATGATATGTTGTGGTCTTTTTTGTTGTTGTCCATCTAGGTCAGGGGTTCAATTTTTTTTTAAAAAGTCAATTGCCACAGGGCAAGTGACTTTAAGATAGTAACTTGCCCTGACTGATTTTCCACTTGCCCTGATTTTATGAAATAATCATGATGATGTAATTATGAAGAATAAATCAACATGGTATTTGATGTTAATGTTTACAGGACTATTTATTGAAAAGTGATAAATAGCAAAGAAAGATAACTCTATTTTATTATCATTGGGAAATTTAATAGCTACATTTTGAGCAGATATGAAATTAAATCCAAGTTTATTTGCAGTTTGAAACCATAAATGGAAATTATCTAGTAGCCCACGGACAAGTAGGATACCATTATTTGATTGCCCGAAATGAAAACTGACTTGTCCCGGGCATCGAGCGTTGTTTTTTTTTAACCCCTGTAGGTGTTTATATAATGAGGGGAAAAAAAATAAGGGATCACATGAAAGCACAAGTGTTCCTTTATTTTTGTCAAGGTTTCTTCACAAGCGTTGTATCGCATCACTTGTGAAGAAACCTGGAAACAAATAAAGGAACATGTGATCCCTTATTTTTTCCCTCAGTATATATGCTGGTGAAATTTACCTGGGAACACAAAGCTAAACAGCTGAAGAAACAATAAAGCAACGAAGTAAGCCACAGAGTGAAATTGTTAGTATCAGGAATGCTCCTATCACCCATGTTCTTGTGTTATCATGTACAAACAGGATGTCATATCCATCACAACGGTCAACATGTTCCCTTATTTCTTTTGATCAGTATATACACATTGAGCACTGATACAGAATGGTGTTATCGTTTCCGATTGAGGCTAGGTGTGGTTTGAATAGAAGCGTCAGCGGCAACTACTTTCTTTCTCCGTCTTGTTGTCGTTTTCTTTGCGCTGGGCGGGGATCTGGCACCTGTGAGGGACAAGGTCAGAAATGGGCATCAGTTGAAGGCATAAAATAGGAATGGGAGATCAGTTTACGTTTATTTAATTTGGGAATCATGGTCAGATGAATCAGTGAGAGAATAGCAAAGTTGTCCAATATATGTTTTAACTAACCAAACATTCAGCTGAAGCTAAGGATAAGGGTGAGGGTTAGATAAAGTACTGAGTGAGTGAGTGTGTAACTGAATGGTCGTCAATGGAGTTCCACTAATGCCACCTTGAACATAATTTCAGTCATAACCATTATTTGGACCCATGAACATATGTTTATAGCATGTCTTAGGCATGACTTGCGTAAAGATAATTTGGTACATTTTTATAGTGTTTTAAGGAGTTGTCACATCTTCACAAAATATCTCATTAGAAACATACAACATTCCGTGTCTGTACACACTATGTGAATTTTTAACATTACTATATTATCTTGAATATGTATGCATTAATTTAGACACAATGTCATGATTTCGTTCAATGTATGTACCATATTGTTTTATCTGTTTGTTCTATGTTGTTCTGTATCTGTCAAAAAAATTCAAAACATTTTGCAGTATATTTCTATATTATTTTCCACTATAACATGGTGTGACAAGATAAACAAACAACAACTTCAACCTCACACCCGTCCACAGTAGCATATCAGGTGAGATGAACAGTTATACCACAGTTTCCAAACAACATGAACATAACACAACAAACATAAATAGGGGTTAATAAAACAGTAAGAAACAAATCATAAGTGAAAAACATTCACATCCTGATATGAAACTTTGTGTTTCCAACACATGCACTAAAATAACAGCCAACACATTTCAGTTGCAGCCATCACCTGGCATTGCATTTACAGTAACACAGTACAGCTATCAACATGCTGAAAGTGTTACCTGTTTGTGTTCCCTTTGTAAATATCATCACAAATTTTTTTTTACTATCATCTCCCATTTCAGGATATATATACAACATACATTGATATTATTCTAGTCTTCTTTCTGACATTCACCTTGTTTTCTCTGTCCATGTGCATATTTTCTTTGGATATGCAACAAAGCTCAAACCAGTTTCCCCATGTAAATAGTCATTCAATAGAGATATTTTAGTTTATGTCTTCTCAAAGATCTCGAAGCCATTTCTGTCAGAAAAAAGCATGTTTTCTTGTTTGCAACAAAAAGAAGATCTATGCCTCCTTGTGTTTAGAGTTTGGGAGATTTGAAAGTTGTGTTATGATGGAAGTGGAACCTTGTGGTTACAATGTTACAACATGGTGGATGATGGTGTCGCTCCCTGACAGCAACCTATTGGTGTTTGTGCTATCAACCACATGATGACAGTTTCAACTGTGTGTACGTGCGTGTGTGCATGCGTGTTTTATACAGGGAACATGGTGTCCCAACGAGCATGCTAAGTTAAACTGTTTGGACAGAAGGTTTACATCAAATATCAAGACTTCTGTGTTGCTGACATTAACTAACAAACTATTTGTAAAGATAACAACTCTTAATTTTTGACACAGGTGTCTGATCTTCCCTGCGCCCTGTCCCATCAAACAATCTAAACGCTAATGTGATTGTAACAACCAAACTTTACCATGGGTGCAATCTCTTTAATTGTTTGATCAGCTTTCTAGAAGTTGGTAAGTCAAAAATGAAACATACAACGTTATGGATGACAACTTGTTTAATGCTTAGAGCGATGTTTCGATGTCACTTTTAGCTTGATAATGGTGTAAGAATCTACATCGATATGTTACTCTATGCAACAAACAAGAAGTTGTTATCCATAAAGTTGCATGTTTCAAGGATCTCTTTGTAGAACAGGGCCTAGATTTTCAAAGCTCTCTTTGCGCTAAGATAGTCGTAAGTGCCATACATTAACATTAACTTACGACTATCTTAGGGCTAAGAGAGCTTCGAAAATCTAGGTCCTGGGCCAAAGGTGAGGTTGTACCAACTGATCTTAGTTGTCAGGTGATCGAACCGTGGCATCGGCTTCTGAAAGTCGTAACGCTGCTTTGTTCAACAAAGTAAAAAGCCAGTTATCCTTCTGTTATATACCCAACCCTATATCATGACATTGCACATATTCCCAAACCTTTAGCCTTCTTCGCAGTGTTGGCTTGCTTTGGTGTCCCAGCCTTTGCCTTAACAGCTGGACTCTTAACTCTGGCAGCAGGAGACTTTCGTTGTGCACTTGCTTTTACTCGTGGTGTTGTCACTTTTCTCTTTGGTGGCGATTCACTGTCATCAATGTCATCATTGCCTTTCCTTTTCCTTCCCTGAAAAATAGATTCCCAATGAAGAACTATCCTTTAAGCAGTGAGGTGAGGTGAGGTGAAATTGGGTTTTACGTCATGCTTAAGAATATTTCGCTCATATGACGATGTGCATGCGTGTGTGTGTGTATGTGCGGCGGCTTGTACTAGCCCAGACTTAAGCTGGTTTTATAGTGCTAGCCCACTGAGATACCATGTCGCAGTGAAGCATGAATACCCCACGCAGACATATTATACTGACTCCGAGCCGACCAGTCCTTGTTGTACCCATTAATGCTGAGCGCCAGGCAGGGACCAACAAGTACCATATTTTAACGTCTTTTGGTATGACGCAGTTGGGGGGGGTTGAAACCCGCGACCTTCTGCGACGCTCTAACCACTACACCACGGAGGCGGTCCTTTAAGCAGTGGGTGTATTTTTCTATAATATAATTACAGCTTATTGGTTGGTTGGTTGGTTGGTTGGTTGTTGTTTAACGCTGCACTTAGCAGTATTCCAGCTATATGGCGGCGGCGAGGAGAGAATAAATGCAGTTTGTCGTAGTGTCAGTGTCACTGTGTCCTAGAAAACAATAATCTGCCCTGGAATAACTACAGGGAGACAAGCTAAGGTAACTGAGAACCTATTCTGCCATGGTTCAATTTGAGATCCAGGAGTATTGTCTAAACATCTCTTGCACTGTATGTAACTTCTTTGGTGTACCTTGGCTGCTGTTGGTTTGGGACTGGTAATGGCTACACCAGACAGCTCCAGGGTCCACTCATCCTTCGTCCCCAGTTTGGTCAGTCCTCGTCGGAGCACCTGTCTCAGGGCATTGTAGTTAGGCTTCTCATCATAGTCAAGCTTCACTATGTTGCTGAGGTAGCTGCTGACAGCGTCTGGCAAAGCAGCAGTTACAGAAATCAAACCTCTACTACATCTCTATCACCTCCATAATCCTGTATTGTGGCTATCATTTAACTAATAAAGTTGTTACAGCCTCCATCAATGTTACATCCCCTGGTGATGTTACAGCCTCCATCAATGTTACATCAGCTACATCTTACAGCCTCTACCAATGTTACATCCCTTACAGATGTTACAGCCTCCATCAATGTTACATCCCCTACATGTTAACCTACATGTTACATCAACTACATGTTACAGCTTCCATCAACGTTACATCACCTACATGTTAACCTACTTGTTACATCACCTACATGTTACAGCTTCCATCAACGTTACATCACCTACATGTTACATCCTCCATCAATGTTACATCCCCTGGTGATGTTACAGCCTCCATCAATGTTACATCAGCTACATCTTACAGCCTCTACCAATGTTACATCCCTTACAGCCTCCATCAATGTTACATCCCCTACATGTTAACCTACATGTTACATCACCTACATGTTACAGCTTCCATCAACGTTACATCACCTACATGTTAACCTACATGTTACATCACCTACATGTTACAGCTTCCATCAACGTTACATCACCTACATGTTACATCCTCCATCAATGTTACATCACCTACATCTTACATCACCTACATGTTACAGCCTCCATCAATGTTACATCACCTACATGTTACATCACCTACATGTTACAGCCTCCATCAATGTTACATCACCTACATGTTACAGCCTCAATTAATGTTACATCACCTACATGTTACATCACCTACATGTTACAGCCTCCATCAATGTTACATCACCTACATGTTAACCTACATGTTACATCACCTACATGTTACAGCCTCCATCAATGTTACATCACCTACATGTTACATCCTCCATCAATGTTACATTACCTACATGTTACATCCTCCATCAATGTTACAGCTTCCATCAATGTTACATCACCTACATGTTACAGCCTCCATCAATGTTACATCACCTACATGTTACATCACCTACATGTTACAGCCTCCATCAATGTTACATCACCTACATGTTACATCACCTACATGTTAGAGCCTCCATCAATGTTACATCACCTACATGTTACATCACCTACATGTTACAGCCTCCATCACTGTTACATCACCTACATGTTACATCACCTACATGTTACATCACCTACATGTTACAGCCTCCATCGATGTTACATCACCTACATGTTACATCACCTACATGTTACATCACCTACATGTTACAGCCTCCATCAATGTTACATCACCTACATGTTACATCACCTACATGTTACAGCCTCCATCCATGTTACATCACCTACATGTTACAGCTTCCATCAATGTTACATCACCTACATGTTACAGCCTCCATCAATGTTACATCACCTACATGTTACAGCCTCCATCAATGTTACATCCCTACATGCTACATCACCTACATGTTACAGCCTCAATCAATGTTACATCACCTACATGTTACAGCTTCCATCAATGTTACATCACCTACATGTTACAGCTTCCATCAATGTTACATCACCTACATGTTACATCCTCCATCAATGTTACATCCCTACATGTTTAAGCCTCCATCAACATTACAGCTTCCATCAATGTTACATCACCTACATGTTACAGCCTCCATCAATGTTACATCACATGTTACATCACCTACATGTTAGACTCCATCATCACCTACATGTTACAGCCTCCATCAATGTTATCATCATGTTACATCCATGTTACACTCCTACATGTTACATGTGCCAGACTCCATCACTAATGTTACTACATGTTACAGCCTCCATCAATGTTACATCCCAATCATGTTACATCACCTACATGTTACATACAGCCTACATGTTACAGCCTCCATCCATGTTACAGCTTCCATCAATGTTAAATCACCTACATGTTACAGCCTCCATCACTGTTACATCACCTACATGTTACATCACCTACATGTTACAGACTCCCATGTTACATCACCTACATGTTACGGACTCCATCAATGTTACATCCCTACATGTTACAGCCCTCCATACATGTTACATCACTTACATGTTACAGCCTCCATCAATGTTACATCACCTACATACAGCCTCTACATGTTCACCTACATGTTCAGCCTACATGTTACATCACCTCACCTACATGTTACAGCCTCTAATCAATGTTACATCACCTACATGTTACAGCCTCCATCAATGTTACATCACCTACATGTTACATCACCTCCATCAATGTTACATCACCTCTACATGTTGTTACATCACTCCTCCATCATCAATGTTACATCACACCTACATGTTACAGCCTCCATCAATGTTACATCACCTACAGTTACTGTTACATGTTACAGCCTCCATCAATGTTACATCACCTACATGTTACAGACTCCATCAATGTTACATCCCTACATGTTACATCACCTACATGTTACATCACCTACATGTTACAGCCTCCATCAATGTTACATCCCTACATGTTACAGTTACATGTTACAGCCTCCATGTTACAGCCTCCATCCATGTTACAGCTTCCATCAATGTTAAACCTCAGCCCTATCAATGTTACATCCCTACCAGCCATCCATCACCATGTTACAGCCTCCATCAATGTTACATCATCCTACATGTTACATCCTCCATCCATGTTGTTACATCACCCATGCCTTCCATCAATGTTAAATCACCTACATGTTACAGCCTCCATCACTGTTCCTCATCTTACAGATATTCATGTTACTCCACAGCTTCCATCAATGTTAAGATCCCTCCATCAATACATGTTCCACTACAGATGTTACATCCACTACATGTTACATCCTCCATGTTACATCACCTACATGTTACAGCCTCAATCAATGTTACATCACCTACATGTTACATCCTCCATCCAATATTACATCACCTACATGTTTCAGCCTCCATCAATAATGTTACATCACCTACAATATTACACAGCCTCCATCAATGTTACATTTCCTACATCCGTCCATCTACATCACCTACATGTACAACCTCCACATTCCACCTATTCCACATGTTACATCCTCCTATATTACATGCCTCCATGTTACATGTACATATGTCAGCCTCCATCCATGTTGTGTGTGTTGGCCTCCATTCTTCCATCCATTAATGTTACACTTCCATGTGTTAAAGCCTCCAGCAATGTACATTCTTCCATGTTACAGCCTCCAATGTTACATTCCTTACATCCACATTGTACCAATGTTACAGCCTCCTCTGTTACATCCCTGTTTACAGCCTGTCCACATGTTCCATCACCTACAGTGTTACAGCATCCATCGTTACATCCACCTACAGTTGTTGCAGCCATCCAATGTTCATCCACATGTTACAGCCTCATCAATGTTCCACCACCTACCTGTGCCTTCATCATGTTACATCCCTAGGGCAGCTGTTCAGTGCTACATGTCCTACAGTGTTGCAGGTGTTACATCCAGCTGTGTCCAATGTTACATCCCATCCTACCAATGTCCACAGAAGTTATGTCTACCAATGTTACACCCCCCTACCAGTGTTTCCTTGCCCCTACAGATGGCCTCTGTGTGTTCCTACCTGTTACATGTGTGTCAGCCTCTACCAATGTCTCACAGTTGTCCTCCAATGTTACAGTCTACAGATGTGTCTTACTAATGTTACATTCTTACCAATGTGTCCAGCCTCTACCAATGTTCCATCTCAGCTGTGTTACATCCTCTACACGGTTGTGTTACAGGCTCAATGTTACATCGCCTCTACCAATGTTACATCCCCCTACAGATGTGTCTTCAATTTTCCAGTCCATCTGTCTACCAACATGTGTACATCACTCAATGTTACATCCCCAATGTTACATCCACCTACATGTTACAGCTCCCTGCATGTAACAGCCTCTATCAATGTTACAGCCCCTTCCATAAGCACTCTATTACAGCCCCCCATGCTGTTACACCATGTTACAGCCCCTACACAGATGTTACATCACCTACATGTTACAGCCTGTACCAATTTTACAGCCCCTACAGATGTTACAGCCTCTACCAATGTTACATCCCCTTCAGACATTACAGATCCAACATGTTACAGCCCCTTCAGACATTACAGATCCAACATGTTACAGCCGCCACAGGTTTCAGTTGCAACAACCACTCCATCCTACCTGCAGCTTCTCCATCCACACAACACGCCTTCATCAGGGATGGTATGTTACGCATGTACCTGCAATCAACAATCTGCAATATTTTATCCTATCTTTAAAAGTGGTAGAAGTTAATCAAGACTCCCAAGGTGGGGAGGGAGGGAAGAGGGAGAGACAGTGGGGTGCTGGAGGAGAAGGAAGAGGAGACCAATAGTTTATCTGGTATCAAAGGCCATATGTATTGTACATAAGATAACGCCTCGGTTCAAGATAATGGTATGTCACATTTAGGAGTGAGTTCATGCAGCTTCTTCAAGTCTTACTTTATTTTTGAATCTTGGACATAGTTTGGGTCAGTGAGTCTGTCCTCCCATGGTAACCGTCCACACAGCCACTGTAGCAGACAGTAGCCTAGGATTTCTACATCTCCACGCCGGGACGGGACTACAAAAACAGAGATAATTAGACAGTTATGGTCTGGTCACATACAGGTAGGACTTGGATGTTGGAAAAACATCAGGTGATCTTTCTAGGACTGAGGCCTAACAAGAAATAATTAGTTTTCGGAGCTTCATCCAGTTTAGTTTTGTAGGTAATATAAGTCGAACTCGACTTTTTGTCTTACACATCTTCCTGGCAAACATGGTCCATGTATTATCACATGCCACAATGTGTGGTGGGATTACTGAACACTGAGTTTGACACTGACCAACACCCTTGTGAGCATCCCTGCTTGTGAACTCAATGGTTCCATCGTGAGCTCTCTTCGGGTCCTCCTTGTACTCCTTATGTTTGTTGTCTGCGATGTACCGGAATGCCAGCCCGTAGTCCACCAGGTACACCTTCAGGATTTTACACAGACTTTTAAAAATGAGAGTCATTTTCAATATTTGGGAGTCATGAAAAAGTTAATAATTCTTTGTGTTAATCATTCTCAGAATGTAACTGTCTATGTCACACCACCAAATGAAACTACAGCATTGTTCAATTCAAACAGCCAGGATTACTGTCTTCTCTGAGTTCTCTGGAACAATCTGACAGCTCTGTAAAAGTCAGACTATCATCGGACAATATCATTTTTTGCTTATCAAATCGATTTTATTGAACTGAATAGACCGATCCAGTCTCGGCCGATAAGCCCCGCCCACTTCGTTTTTGACGTTAGGGGGGACAACCACTGGCAAATCACAATGGCGTCACCGCCGGCTAAACGTTACGTGATTGCGAACGTTGTTGATGAATTCTGCTTGTGATACTTTGGTATCCGTCGTTTGTGAATGTTATTTAAAGAGGCAAGTTATACGTATGTGATTTTTAATATATTTTAGCTGGCAGATTACAACTGGCGAGTGAAAATGAGTTACATGCCCGCTGAAAAAGCGTCTCGACTAGCTGCTGAGACTGTAGGAAGCGTAATTTCTTTTCGACTCAATTAATCTATCTGGCAATTCACCTCCGTCACAGATATTAGCAGGGAAAGGATAGCTGAATTTTGTTGTTTGGGTTTATAATTTTTAAAACTTCGTGAACACAACCACATGGTCATGTTGCACATCGTTTAGGGTATCTATAAATAGATTATCAACACTGCGCTGCGGGTTTTTACTTATCCGCTTATGTTGTTCAAATTTAGTTCAATAATCTGAAAACATGGGTTTCTATCTTTTAATGAATTAAGAGAATGGTAAATAAAAATCAGAAAATATTTCCCGCCTACTACTTCATGCACCTTATTTGTCTGTACAATTAATGTTAACAAATCAATCACAGCATAACCTATTTGATCTTATTTGGAAATCTGGAAAAGGTAATTGGGCTTGTAAACAACATGTTTCCATGACTGATATCTGGACATACCCAGAAGCAAATATTCAACAGCTGATCTGCAGCAACTCTCAGTAGAGTTTCTCTCTGTACACCATGATAAAATGACACTGAATATAAGGAAATCATTTTTTTAATCATCAATTCCATTTAATTTTCTATATGTACTTTGTTGTGGAATTCTAATTTACATACAAACTTCCACAATACTGGACTTCATGAACTGCCAGCGTTTATGTACAGGTATGTCACAGCACCAGAACACAAAGAAGATCCAAGATACAGTCTGCACCTGTACACTAGCTGACCCATCTTCCAGAAATAGGAAACATGTGATGCAAAATTTTGGAACAGAGAATCCACAGTTATTCGAACAATTAACTAGCATTGAAATAGAATGTTACACAAAATACAAATGTAGATCTATTGTTTTTTCATCAGAGATGTTTAACTGCTAACTACTAGTGTAAATAAGGTGCAAAGAATATATCCTATGTTCAAAGCCTTCTGTCAATACAATTATTGCTTCTTAATTAAACAATGATAATCTTTGTTTTATTAGATCTGAGACCATATCCCTAGAGGACATAACACTGATTTTGATCTTTTCCTTTTCTGAGATACTTACTGGTGTCATAAAATTATAGTAAAGTTGATTCAAAATTTGGTAAAAGTCATAACAAAGGTTTAGGAAAACAGACATGAAAATGTCCTGAAGCGCTCACCTCCTACAAACCTGTGTGCAATTTAATATGAAGCTCATTTTGCAAATAACCATCAACAAACCTTGAACAATTTGTCCAAATCCACCATCTTAATAAACACTAGCTTTGGCTCAGTCTTCAAATAGTAGTAACCTCCTAAAAAACATATGATTAATCAGAAGAATTACATCAAATATGGGTTTAATATATGTTTCAATCTTTATTCCATTACATGAAAAGTCACCTGAGATTATTGAAAGTTATTCTGTTCCAGGACTAGATAATGCCTGCCCAGGGTTTGACCAAAATGTAGCCTTTGCTTTTTCAAATATTCTGGATGTTGAAATAACTTTAATGAGTTATGATACTAGCAATCACTTTCAGAATTATCTTATTAGTAAATGTAGTATTTAAAAAAACCATGTAAAAGCAGGAGCCAAGAAACTAAGTTAATACCAAGTGATTGTCCTGCCTTGATATGTATGGTGTTTGTTTGCCTAGTTCTGCCTTAAAATCTAAAAATCTGATATGTCAATCAATTAAATAATTATTTATTATTGATTAGATTATTATTAATTTTATTTCCCTTAACGTTTACTAAAAAAAGCAAGATTCTGAAAACATGTACCTTGATATCATTTCCAGTGAATTAATCAAAATTACAGTTGTAATATTACTCCTAAAATGTACCATTATATGTGAATAATTATGTGGTAACAAAACTTCAAATAATGTTCTCATAATTAAGATATACACTTTATTTCACTCTGTCCAATACTCCAGAAAGTCACTATTCTTCTCACATAGTTTTCAGATTCGATCAACCTGGAGGATGGTAATTCAGGTCAAAGTCCCATGCAATTCTTTTATAAAAATCTGAAATATTTAAAGCATGGTTTTATAGGCACTCATATGAACTAATTTTGATACTTGGATATTGCATGATAGTCAACTGCTGACACTGACAATATTTCCGTTTGAATAAAAAATATTACTCATCGAATATTTTGCTCTGTTAACAAGATACTGTAGGCCTTCAGATTGTGCTTATGAAACTTAAAACATCCTAAAATGTGTGACAAATTGAAGAATATCTAAGAGCTTAAGGGGACAATATCCGTCACATTGTTCTTTCATGTAACATGTTTTGCTATTTCGGTTGAACCTAACCGAAATGAAAATTTGTTTACATTGTGTCACGGCTTTCGCCTGTCTCTCTTGAGCTTTGTGGCGTACCAACTCAATACCTAGTAGTGACTAAAACGTGAAGCAAAAACAATTTTGTAGTTACAAGAATTGTCCGTGTTTATAACACTTGCAAAGTCTTAAACTGCTATTTGTTGTCATCAATTGGTAATGATTTTGCACATGTGCAAAAGTGTGCAAATTGCAAATTCTCATCAGCAGGCAGACGTAGGTTTCCTGAACGATGGTGCAGACATTTAACTGATCGTCAGGCCTATCGCGTTTCTTGATCCGCCTCCATTTTTGTTGTCTTGACCGTAATGGTTTTGTTAAGGTATACATCAAATCGCAGCAATATGTAATAAATATAGCGAGTGTAAATGGCATAATTTGAAGCACATCGCTTTCGGATGCATCGTTTGACCCCGGAAATAAGTCTGACAAATCCACACAACGCGCCCGGCCTGCTGATTGGCCAAAATTGACGCATGCGCCAGTTTTGATTGACAGACTGGATCGGTCTATTGTAAGGGCCACCCATAAAACTTACGTCAAGCTTGACTCATATGATAATATTTTGAGAGTCGTTTACAAAATTGTTGCGTCAAATACGCAGGAATCAAGCGTCATGTAAAACCCTGTACCTTGATCCGTGATAGCGACAAGACAAGTGAGTGTCCTACCCCATTTGTTTACCCCATCATAATGATAATGGAAAGTTTCCAAAAGCAATTTTTCTTGAGCAAATTCACTTCATGACTGAATTTATTTTGTCTTTGTGTGTTGCAATGTGTGAAGTGAAAGTTAAGCTTGTCCTGTTTCTAAACATTGCAGAACCTATTTTCTTACCTCACTGTTTTCGGTTTTGCCGTTCTTGTATCCTTGTAAAATGTTGCCAGCCTTGATGTCTGCATGGACATACTCGTGCTCATGGAGATACTCCAGACAGTCAAGCTACAACATAGCGTAGTCCTGTGGGTATCAGATCAGCTACAACATCCATCATTAACACTTCCCATCAGTTGGATCAACAGTGATGCAAACATTACTTTGGTGAATTGTTCATGAACTTTTAACTGTCATCTGCAGCAACAACTTCATTGTATCTGACTGAAACACCTGACTTGACAGATGCCATTATTATTAGAAGTACTTCTTCCTCAGAAACAGGTTCCAAAATGGAACCTGGACCTGTTGAAGGCTTATTGGGTTTATAGTTATGTTTCAGCATGTCCATCATCCTCTCTATAGGTAGACACTCTATACTAAAACCAAAGAGGCAGGAGGTTCTAAGGCTAACCATGCTGACAAGCATTTAAGACAGCACAAATGCAATGCTTACCATCCGTATACCCAGACAAAGCACTGATTTTGGAGTAAATCTCCTCGATGCCTCAAACAGCTTCTGTAGGTCTGTGCTGAACCTCTGCATGACCATGAAGCGATACTCCTTCCCGTTAAAAGTGTGCAGGCCAGAACCAATATACTGTGGTATACCCAGGTACTTCAGCTTATGACCCCTCAGCCAGGCATCCACTGAACATAGGTAAAACAACATCATTGCCAAAACTGATGACAGTCATGTTACATCTGAAAATGTTTGATTGATTTGTTACCCTATATCGCTGAAATTAAACCTAAGGACTCCTTAAATTTCAGACTCTAAATATTTAGGCTATAACAAGACTCATTGTTACTTCATGAAAACAGTGCTGTTACATTCATCACATTAAACCTGTTATGTTCAGATAGATCTCTCCTTTTAATAAGCAATTAGGAAAATCACTGAAGCAATCTTACGAAAATCTTGTTTACATGCCCTCTGGTAGAAGTGGAGCTCACAGAAGAGTGGGCCATTATCCTTGGGTTCCTGGAAGAAGTAAAGTTTATGAAAAGACAACAATTCCTTCACATACCCAGACATTAAAAGACAACCCTTCTTCCAGACATTCTCAACCATTTTTCACTTTTAACCATTCTTTAAATATTCAACCAAATAAGGCTTTTAACAAGAACTAAGTTCATAATTGTTTGTTTTATAACACCATCTTCTATGTTCACTGCTGTATGATGGCAGTCTTCATATCACTGAGTCTGGGCCAGACATTCCAGTGACCGAAATCATGAACATCAACCTATGCTATTGGGATACAAAGACATGCATTACCAAAGTCATTGAGTCTGACAACCCAAACCCACTAGTCACTTCCAGAGCTACAGAAAACTTTTTGGGTCATTGAGTTATATACTTGCTTGTGTTCATCTCAATTGGGTATCCTAATTTTCCTTTGAGTAAGCAAATATATTGTACAAACCTCACTCAAACTCAATTGGGTTATTGCCTATTTCCATTAATTGTAAAAATATAATAAAGTTTAAATGTTGGTTTACGTGTTTGTTATTTGTATTTGATCTGTAATATGAGAAACAATAGGAAAGACTGCAAGTTGCCAAGTTCATGTGCGGAAATAGAATCTCTCAATGTACCTCAGTTATTTGATCTGTCCTCGGTAATCTCTATCACATTTTTGTGTGTAAGCATGAAAGATCAAATTTATTGAGTATTTACAAAAGTTCAAGTGTACTTGTACGCAACAGACTTAATAGGAATTGAGTTTTCACATAAATATTTGCGTAATTTACGCACATACGCAGCTTATCTGTACCTCTGCACTTCTAATGGTTTAGTGTCAATGCTAAAGACTTGTTCTAACTAGTGTTGGGAATGAGTTTGCTACTTAAAGTGATGACTAACATATCATGAACATAAACCTCCCAGAGTCTGCAAGAAATATTCAGTCATGACTTTTCAGTAAGTGAAGTGAGTTTTCTAAGAATTAAACCCGTTTTCAGGCCCTGAAAACTTCTGCGATATGTTCCATCGTCAAGTGTTTCAAACTCTAAAACAGTAGGTCCAAATTCGTTAACAAGTGTTTGAATATGGGAAAATGTGATCGATTGCTTGGTCGTTTGGTCACTGCGACCAATCTTCGATCATTTCAAGTAATTGGACCACCATTAGTTCTAACCCAGATCTGCATGGGGCCTTACATACCGGTAATTAATTTGGACCACTGGCTTTGCTAAATGTACTCACAATTTTCACAACATATGGTGCAGTGTTTCCAACAGAGCTCTGAGCCTCATCAGCTGTGGAAAACAACCATGTAATACTAAATATCCTGTGAAAGTATTTTGGATATAATATCCATTTTGAAGTCTTTTCAACCGCAAACAAAGGTCATTAGGAGATGACATCTTCCCCTGATCTGGTGACAGTCCGAAATGGAGTTTGCCTACATATACCCTGGTTTTGGTTCATTGCAATGGATACTTTTCAAACAATAATGCTGTTCAGTATTTTTCAGTAGCTTATATCATCAAAAAGCAGGAAAGTCAACTTGTTATCATGAAAACTATAACAATATAAAAAGAATAACAAAAATCACCAATAAGCACCAGATCAAACTTCCATAGGTGATTACCTTTCATCATGCTCACAGCATGTTTCATTCTAAATCAAAACATTTTTTCAAAATGTGTGAAACACTGCACACGTAACTCTGAAACAGCCTCATAATGAAAACCAGGTTGTCTATTCAAAATAACAAAATATCACATGTAGGTAAAAAAATTACCTGTAATAGTACATCCTAACCTCCTTAACATGTTCAACCTTACCTAAATATATGAGTCCAAATCCACCTTGTCCAATCACGGGGCCTAGTTTCCACTGTTTTTTCAATACATCTTGTAAAACCTCGCCTTTTGGGAAGGTTTCAGGTAACTTGTGACCTTTAGGAGCTTTAGGAGCTTTAGGGGCTTTAGCTGTAAATTGACAACATTACACACCTGAAAGAATTTGGTCCGTACAACCCTGATAACTAAAGTGAAGACTCAATTTGCACATGCATATTTACCTTTATTACCGTAGTAATTAAAATAATTAATCTAATATTTTGAAATTGTGCAGTTAGTGAACATAAAACTGGCAATAATCTCTTCACCTGTTCACTCATGCATGATATTTGGAAAATCAGGCTTTAAACAATAATGTAAAATTTTTAAAGTAAAATTGATATTTTATACTTATCCTGACTCATGATCATTGCTTATCTCCCTCTTCTATGCAAATGGTAGTGGAACACTTGACTCCTTTGTAGTTGCCTACAGCGGACATAAAAGCACACTCACCCATGAGTTACCTCCCTTTCCCCACGTAAACAGTCATGTGACCAGCCTTACTTGTCACTCTCGCCTGATTTTCTGCCCATGCACCTGAATCTACTGTGAAATCCGAAGTGTTTCCAGCGGGGAGGTTGGGAGGGCTTGTCCTCATGAGTCAAGATAAGTATAAAATATCAATTTTACTCTAAAAATTACATATTTTCCCTTATCCTGACTCATGATCTTTGCTCATAGAATCCTTCGGATTGGTGGTGGGTCAAGCCACTTCCTGGATTCAACAGCTGTCCTCAGCAGCCCTCCATAATTGATGATATAGAACAATTTCCATGCAGAGCTAGTGTTAACGCCAGTGCTCTGACTTTGTGTGGGTTGGAAGCTCTTGGAGGTTCTAGTCCTGCTGCTTTGTAGGCTCTCAATATAACGGCTCTCATCCAGAACGATATTGTCGTTCTTGAGACTTCTACTGATGTCACTGTAGATAACGGGATGAATAGGTGCTTGAATTTTCTTCTCCTTGTTTTAATCTTTTGAAGATATATCTTCAGGGCTCTGACAGGACACAAGGATAAGTCCTGCGTATCCTCTGGTCCGAGGATCGTAGATAGCGCTGGTACATGAAACTGTCTATCTGATTGACCAGGTAGTTGATTCTTGGCAATAAATCCCATCTCAGTCCTACATGTACTGCAGCATGGTGCCCCGGGTCGAATCTAGTTCGTCCAAAGTCCAGCGCATGTATCTCAGACATTCGAACTGCCGTGGCTAAGGCAAGCAGGAACAGTCTTCTGTGTAAGCAGCTCGAAGGTAGTCTGTTCTAGAGGTTCGTAGGCATCGTTCATGAGATGACGTAGAATTACATTCAGATCCCAGGCCGGTGCTCTGAATTTCTTTTGCTGGTCCTCCAGTTTAAAAGATCGCAGCAGAGCAAGTAATTCTGGTACTTTAGTCAACTTGATGCCTGACTCCATAGTGATAACTGTACTGATGGCTGCCAGATATGTGGATAATGTCAAACCTTTCAGATGTCTAGTATATCTAAGATGACATAGATATTCCACCACTTGAGGATGAGTAGCGTTCATAGCTGTGAAGCCTTTCCGCCTTGCATATGTCTCAATCTTCTGCCACTTGTCTTCATACAAGTTACGAGTGGATCTGCGTAACACTAAGGTTACTGCCTTTGCTGCTCTGGCGGAGTCTCCTCTTTCCTTCAGACAGGTTTGATACAGTCCACACGTGTAGCTGGAACAGTGTTGGGTTCCTGTGGACTTGCTTGGTGTGCGGATGTCTGAGTAGGTTCAGCCATTCTGGTAGTTTGAGGGTTGGATTTCCGAGATCTTCTATTAGGGTCTAGGAACCATACTCTTGCTGGCCAATGGGGTGCGACCAAAGTCAGTTGTAGCGCCTGTGTCTGTTTGATCTTAAACAGCACTATCTTTCGGTAGTAAGATCGGAGGTGGAAACGCAAATGTGTTTAGTCCTTCCCATGATATGCTCAGTGCATGTTGCCCAGGTTTGGGGATCTGGTACTGGTGAAACAAATGTCTGTAGTTGTTTGTTGAACCTGGTGGCAAACAGGTCTATGCATGGGGATCCTATTTCCCTTATGATGAGCCGGAATACTTCTGGGTGGAGCATCCATTCCGTGGGTAATGGACAAAGTGGTCGGGAGAGAGTCTGCTAGACCGTTCTTGGCTCCTGCTATGTGACACGCCTTTATCTAGATGTTTGCATCCTCCGTGATGTTGAACAACTGGAATCTGAGCTGCAATAGGCTTGGCGATCTTGTTGATCCTTGCCAATTTATGGAGAATGCCACTGTTGAGTTGTCCGTGTGGACCCTCAGTATTCTGCTGCTCAGCGAACTCGACCATAGTTGTACGGCATTGATCACAGCTTTCATTTCCAGCAGATTGATGTGAAGATGCTGTTCTGTCTCCGACCACTTCCCTGATGTAACCTGGTTGTTGAGGTGCACACCCCATTCCTATAGCGATAAACACTGGCACTGCGTAGATCTCGATAAAATTTGATGCAATAGTTGGTTGAGTAAAAGCGCACGTAATTCTACGCTGCTCATATAAACCTTTTGAATAAGGGTTGCTCCAAGTGTAAAATCTTGTTCAGTGATATTAAACACGTATTCCCATTGTGGATAATATAAGCCAGCATGACGAAGACGTTCGCCAACGTAGTCTTCAGATGTAGATTTGTGAGGTGTAACAAGTTCGCGCAGGTCAGAGGGTTTGCGAACGTTGTCAGTAGATGTGAGGTTCCGTCAAGCCTTCGCCTCTTCCTCGAACCAACGTTCCATCATGGCCATCATTTGGTTAGTACATTGCCTCATGTATTCGCCTGGATCAACGTTCTGCGCTGACTGAAGCTGATGCGGCGTTGATGAAGCGTTCACAAACGCTGATGAGTTGTGTGCTTCAACTTCGCTACGTTGAGAAGTTAGTGGTTGGTCGTCAAACAGCTGGCCCGCTGTTGTAGTTTCAGGAGACGATCTAGTGGTCATGGAAGTCGACTGTGTCACCGATCTAGCAGGTACTTCAGGGAGAAATAACGGTGGTTTATCAAACACGTCTACTTCGTGAGGTGGAATAATCTCCTCGTTAAACGATCTCTGATGCGTTGCCTTACTAGGTCGTTGATATCGACTCCAATCTAGCTACAGATGCCCTCCTCTGAGTCGTAGATGATTAAGAAGTCTTCTTCTTACTCTGAGAAGGTGTCAACTCATGGTAGCAGATCTCTTCTTCGACCCCCGTAACAGACGACTGCCCCTGCAACGTACTCGACATAGCACTAGGTTATGTATTTCTGCAGTAACAAGCAACATACGGTTACCGGCTTGATCTCCAGATTTATCAACCGTGACTTGTGATGACTTCCTCACCCGACCCATGGCTGGTCTATAGATATAAGACAAATATTGATTAAACTGTAGATTTGATAAACCAATACAATATGTACAACGCAAGGTGGAAGAACATGGTTTAATGCACTAAGGGCATTGGGGGTGAGGATAAGCCACAGATAGCCGGTGCCTGCAAACACTGCAAGATTTCCTGAAATGTAAACAAGTTACATTACAAAGAAAATATGTCACAAAAACAAATAATTTCTTCAAAATTTTACATATAATACAAGCTAGATATAGCCAAATACCATGCACAGCGTAATTTTTATAAATAGAGGATCTAGATATAAAGGATATATGCTGTATACGGGACTCCAGTGCTCGTCCAACCATCCGCTGGGGCGAAAAGGGAGAAAGTGACAAGTAAGGCTGGTCACATGACTGTTTACGTGGGAAAAGGGAGGTAACTCGTGTTTGAGTGTACTTTTACGTCCGCTTTAGGCAACTACAAAGGATTCAAATGTTCCACTACCATTTGCATAGAAGAGGGAGATAAGCAAAGATCATGAGTCAGGATAAGGAAAAATATTGTATTTATAGCATAACATGTGCAGACATGTGTCTGCTAGTACTAGTCCAGAATGTCAGTTTTATAGTGTTAGCCCACTGAGCTAGTGTGCTGGAGTTTGATGTGGATACCCCACAAAGACACAGCATACTGACTCACAGCCAACCCAGGGATTAATATAGGATGATAGGGCTGGCTAAAATGATTGATAATCAAGATATGGTTGCTAGGAAAAATGAGTAATGATTATCGATATGAAAATTGTGTTATCCATAATATCGTTCATTAACTTTTGTGACAGAAAATAGTTTTAATTTTCTCACACAATATACAATTTTAAGACTTTATTCATGGTCTGCTTTTAAATTATGTTCAGGAGGCTGTAATCCATGCAAAACATGTCACCACTCACCAGTGATGCATCTATATCCATTTCTTTCAGACATTTTTGGCATTTTTGCTGAAAGTTACTCCTATGATATTTATTGATAATCGATCGATATCTAGCTTACGATTATTGATCTCTGTGATCAATATTGATAGTCAGACTCATAGGTAGACAGAAAATTTGCAATTTGAACAAAAGTGGGAAAAAATCTGGATATTTTCAGAACTGGCTATTTAAATAATTGTTTGATTGGCAATCCAGGCATAAATACACATTTTGTTTGAAATCATTGCATATAAAACAAGTGTTTGCCACTGATATGGCAATGTCCCCCGCCGCTAAAGAATGGAATATCTATATTTACTACTTTCTATTTTTTGGTCACATACAAGATGCCTGAAATGACTGGTGTCTGCATAATCCGCCAATGCAGGCTGTCAACGTAATTGAAAACATTGGGTGCAATGTTTTATGAGACATTGCGTTTTGAAAAGCGGTCAAAGTGTCGTGGTGACATTGAAAATAAGGTCAAGGTCACCCCAATCGACCGGTGTCTGTGTAATTCCCCCAATGTAGGCTGTCACCAAATTTGAAGATATTGGATACAACAGTGTATGAGATATCACTTTAACAAGAGTTTAAAAAGTGGACAAAGTGTCGTGGTGACCTTGAGGATAAGGTCAAGGTCACCAAAATCGACTGTTGTCTGGGTAATTCCCCAATGTAGGCTGTCACCAAATTTGAAGACATTCGGTACAACAGTTCATGAGATGTCGCGTTAACAAGAATCGGGATGTATGTACGGACAGACGCTGCTGAACACATAGTCGCCCGTTCCACGTTGCGGCGGGGGACAACAACACCTACCAGAAATGAAGATGTGAATGGCAAATCATATGTCCAGTAATATTTCATCTCAAATTTCAATTTTTCATTGACAAAGTTTGTTAATGCATGTTTATTCATAGCTGTATTCACTGAAGGAATACCATGTAGTTTTTTTCTGCATATAATACTGGAAATATTGTTTGTCCAGAATATTCACTCTTCTAGCATTACACTATTGTACTCAAGAAAACATGGTATTTGTTTGGGGCTGAACTCAGCAACATTTCAACTGTGTGATAGCAGGATATGGACAATGGAGCTTGACCAGACAAACCAGTGATTAATATTATCAGCAGAAAGTCTAGTTTCTTGGGTAACAGTGAAATTCTGGGACATGACGACTGGGTGAACTGTATGCCCACATATGCATTGGGTGTTGGAGATCTGCGCTGATGAGGATTCCAAACCTACTAACAGCAGATCCTGGCATGTAAAAGAACAGCAACCTCTACATCTATGGATCACCTGCATGCACACACTGTGTGTACAACCAAAAGACACGGAAACAATGATAAATCATCAGGGATACAGACTGCAAACAAATCTCTTCTCACCAGCAGGTTTTGGTGCCCTGGGCATTTTGGTGGAGCAGCAGACTTCAGTTCAACAGGTATATTCTGCAAAATATAACAAACTATTGCTAGAAAATATATAAAATGAAATGCAGTGTCTTCACATAATCTGCTGGCCAGAAAATGTAATTTTCCTGATAAAACTGATATTTTATACTTATCCTGACTCATGCTATATTGCTTATCTCCTTTTCCCTTTCGACGGTAACGTGGAAACTTGAATCTCTGTTCCCAAGAACAGTCAAAATGCACTCACTCACAAAAGCCGCCTCATGTGACCTGAGCCATGCTCTCAATACTCTGTCCTAAATATGCCCACACTTGGGCCCACAGTGAAGCCTGTTGTGCTGAGTGAGTGAGTGAGTTCAGTTTTACACAGCACTCAGCAATATTCCAGCTATATGGCGGCGGTCTGTAAATAATCGAGTCTGGGGGTGGTTTTTTTTGTACTTCAGATCAAGAATTAGGATAAGTATAAAATATCAATTTTATCATAAAATTTACACATTTATCCTTATCCTGACTCATGCTATATTGCTTACAATCCAGTACAACTGCTCAAAGGCGCTTTGTTTTCCCTCTATCATTGCATGTCCATCACAACGGCACATCGTATTTTTAATCTCAACTCCCTGGGGAGCATACAACTCTTGCTGCCTACTAGGTGCACCGAGTTAATGTGGCTTTCCCATCTTACGAGGTACCCATTCACAGCTGGGTAGACTGGGACACATAGTCACAGTACTTTGTCGAAGTTTACTGCAGGTTGCTGTACCCGCACCTAGGTGTTTGCACGTATTAATGTGGCCACCATCTGGTCATATACCAACGGATTCGTGGGTTCTTTTAAGTGCACAGGGTTGTTTACTGTACACTAGGGGTTGTGACAACATTCAGAGGCCCAGATAAGCTGCGTATCTGGGTAAAATACGCATAGAAAATTTCCAAATTACGCATTGAAAAATAATTGTTGCATACCAATAACATTTAAAATGTTAGATACGCAAAACGTTTATAACAAATGTGTACGGAATATATTTATAAAAATCGCTTGCGTAATGAAAAAGACATCGATTGCTATCAAGTTTTACTGTTAGTACACGACTAGTGTTGTACTGTCAGTACAGGATGAGTGATTTTTTATGAAATGATTTCCATTATATTTCAGTTGATTTTTATTAGGTATGACATAAGGCAGAACATACCTGCATAGTAAACTTACTCAATGACATAATACTTAGGTGAGTAAAATCACTGAAATACCCACATATTTGAAAGCAGTGGGTAACGGAAAATGAAATACCCGCTCAACATTCATAATACCCACTCCAAAAAAATACAATGGGTACAGTACCCACATGAGCTAAATCTTATCTGGAGCTCTGAACACTGAAAGAGTCTGCACACAAAGTTGACTCCAAGGTTTTTTACACCCGGTCACAGGTGGGGTTGATCCCGGCACCTCCAAGCTTGCTGGATTACTAGCCTGGCACCTTAGGCAGCTCGCTCACCGCACCCCCAAATAGGTGGTGGGTCAGCCACCTAACAGGATTCACTGTGACTGTTAGATCAAAATAGCGTCTGAACAAATACCCCCCTGTGAAATCTTCTTCCAGCTTCTTCTACTGCCAAAAACATCCTTATGATAATTTGGGGACCACCAGAAGTAAATCGTGTAGATTTCGTGGATTTTAGATAAATTAGCATGCATGTCAACGTGATAAGGGCAAGTCTCTCATCGTCTGGCTGGAATCGTAAGTTGTTGTGCTACTACTAGGGGCCAGGAGACCGTTTCACAAAGCTCTCGTAGCCCTACGACTATCTTCACATCTCAATGAGGTGAGGTGAAATGGGGTTTAACATCGTACTTAAGAATATTTCGCTCATATGACGACGTGCATGCAAGTGTATGTGTGGCTGCTTGTACTAGCACAGACTTAAGCTGGTTTTATAGTGCTTGCTCACTGAGATACCATGAAACACATTATACTGACTCTAGGCCGACCAGTCTTTGTTTTACCCATAATGCTGAGCACCAGGCAGGGAACAGCAAGTACCATATTTTAACGTCTTTTGACATGATGTGCCTGGGGATCAAACCTCCGATTTTCTGCTTTCCGGGCATGTGCTCTAACCACTACACCATGGAGACATTGTCTCACACCTCAATGAAAGCTGAGCAAGGTGATATTTCATTATACTGACAACCATTAATTACTTCCCATGGACTTTTAAGTGTATTTTTTTGCCTTTTTTAATATCTCATTACATGGGTACACAGAGGTCCACTCTATGGTACACATATTTCAATCAGACAGTTATTCCTGTGATGAGGACATATTCAAGGTTGGTACAGGAATCACAAAAAACATGGGACATTCATCATATCAAGTGGGAAACTTGAAGCATACACAACATCGACCTTCAGCAACAAAACAAATAGTTTGAATGTCAGCTCTAAATAAAGAAATACTTCCTTAATCCTAATCGTGCTCATGATGAAGCAAATATTTACACTGATGACTGGTGGCGTAACAAAATGGCAATACTGTATAGTATTGTATCGTGATACAAGGTACACAATATAATACATTGATTGTACGACAATAATAAGATACATAACAAGTTATATTGGTGTAAAAACGTGAATAAGAATGGAAACTGCAAGAACCAGATGCAGATTTAGCAGATTATCTAGTACTTCCTGGTTAGAGATAAATACAATGTGGTAGAATCGCCACTGCGCCCCAAACACCAATCCATCATTCAAGTGACACAACACACTAGCATGGGTAAACACTGCTGCTCAAAAACATAAATCAATGAAAATTATTAGACTGAACTATACTACATATCAAAAGTTTAGACTCACTAGTGTAAATGTAGCCACTTACTTCAGTCAACTGTTCTAAACTAGATTTAGCAAAAGATTCCATACTGTTTAAAGGTACTGTTTACACATGAACTGATGTATTGTAAAACAAATTCGTAATGTTGAAAGATTATTCTCATGAGTTCAATAAATGATGAAAATCAGTCAAAATTGGCGAACTCTTACCAAACTTTTACACCAAAATGCAGCTGTTCACATGCATGATATCTGCACATGCTTTTCAACAATTTGATGCATGATCCTCATGCAATTCATCTGCATACGGTTTGCAGTTGGTTCCCCCTATTTAATGGAAAAATTCATCTTCATGTAACCACATATATATACATAGCATATAGTGAGTGCTTTAAGTGAGTCTAAATATTTGATGGGTAGTATAGAATAGGCTAATCAGTAACAGAGTGAATAAACAAGTGGGCCCGTTTGCAAGTTTTGTAGTGACCTTTGCTAGCCGAGTTTACTGTTGAATCTTGGCTGCAAAGCCAAAAATCAATGAATACTATTTTCGAACCCTACTTTCACTTTGTTTGATGCATTGGACCGTGAAGATCAGGGTTTGAATTGGAATTCAGCAAATCATTCTTATCTGAAGAGGCAACTAATGGGATCTGGTTGACACATGTCATTGTATCCCAACTGCGTAGACCGATGCTCCTGCTGTTGATCACTCGATTTAAAGAAATATTTACAGACCAGCGTCAAACAACAAACAAACACACACATTGATGCAGTATAACAAAATAAATCAATCCCTCTCTCACAAATGCAAATTTAAAATGGTTGCAAATCAGAATGTAAACCAGTTCATGCCTACCTATATTTACTAAGAATGTTGTATCTGGGAACAGATTTTCAAAATAAGGAAAAGCATAGTTCTATTCGACAGATAAATTGCTTTTTGTAGCGTTGCAATCCACAACTTTCACCCTCTTTCTATGACTTCAGACATAAACTTATCAACATTATAGTCTACTGAAAGAAGACATATTACAGATGGCCTGGTCCCATGGCTATTTCATACACAATTAAAAGATTTCAACTCACGGACAAATGTACCGACACACACTCATTTCCTTCAAAACAAGCGCCACTGTGGGGAGATAAAACGCCCCCGCCGATTGGCCAATAAGATACACATATCCAATCATAAATCACATTGCACAGATGGACCGGAAGTGGCGTGACGCAAACCACAAAATGGAGTATTCACGAGAAAGAAGCAGATGAGTTTCCAGAAATGCTAATTTCTGTGTGACTGTCTCATTTTAAGTAATAGACGTAGAACGAAATATGTAGATATGACAATGACAGAACCCACTAGCCATTCCTCTGACACTAAAACCGAAAATGGTCAGCTGAAAGAATTTGTCAGTGCTCAGAAAGATGTCCCGACGTCGTCCTCAGGACAGGAAGTAAACAAAGTAGCTTACCAAAGTGGGGGAGGATCCCAGCCTTGCGAGGATGGGGGTCCCCTCATGCGAAATGACGATTCAGACTCGTCATCTGAAGAGAAAGCGTTTGAAGAAACCACAGCCAAGTTTGAGAAACGCGGAGTTAAGTTTCATGAAGGAATTGTCGCAGGATACAAGGACGCTCCCGACCCTTGGAAGGATGGTAATAAGCATTCAAGAAATCTTCTGTATACATTATCAGACTATATCTGTTTTTCTCCAAGTTATCCTTGTCAACAGCTGACAATAGTTGATTAATGAAGTACCCCAAGCGTTTTGGTCACCTAGATCTGTGCATGTTGTCTGATCACATTTGTCTGTCAAGTGTCATTAGTGATAGATCTACAAAAAAGATTTTTATAAAGTGTTTATGAATATTTTATGATGTTAATTTTCACACTATATTCCAACAGCTGTTCGAGCTGATGTTATTTTTTAACTTGTGTCAGCTTTTTAACACATGTTACAACACTGTGCCAGCTATTCCTAAGATTTTTGTAGCTTATAGCCTGTACAGTACTTACATTGCTCTACATGGACAAGTGAATTACAACCATGCTCTTAACTGCACACCTTTTCCCTGTGCTGTATTCTGACCTTTCACAATTTAATTCAAGACACCTTTGAGATACATTTACAGGGCTCCAGATAAGGGCCGTATCGGCTTATGTACGGATAAAAAATATGCACGATACGGTAGGAAATAATTTAGAAAACGTAGCAGATACGCACCACAGCAATGGTGTACGGTCTTAGAATCATTTACAGACGTATTTATCTGAAAAAAGTATTGTTTATTGACCTGTTTACACAAGAGTAGCAATGTTGTGGTGCATATATGAAACGAAACACAAGATTACTGATAGTCCATTAGCTTCCATTCAGTACTCTAAATGTACACTTAAGGTTTTCCAGTACTCAATATTGAACAAATAAGGAGTACGTACTCCTGATGTTGAAAAATTATCTGGAGCCCTGCATTTACAAGACTCTGTCATTGGAAAAGTGAATTTTTTTCTGAACCTCTGTGAAGCCGTTTGTTTAAATCTCAAAATAAACTCAGTGTTTTGAATTAATGATTCACAAGAATACTTTATTGTTTATAAATATCACTGTTGTCAGAGAAATGTAAATGTATAGCTGAGAATATATAACAAGTTTTATGGATAAGAAGTTGCTGAGATATGTTCATATGTTACAAGATGTGGTCAGGTAATGTTAATCACTATTGAACATTTGAGATTAGGGCTGCGTATTGGCAAATAAATTGTATTGCAACATGGTACCCGTATCCCAATACGTATTGCGATATATATTGGGAGCCTAAGTGTTTGACAGTGACCAAGTGAGTGACATTGATTGTATATGCAGAGCCTTTTTTCTACATACAAAAGCCCTAAAAATATACTTGATGGTTGTGATGACAGAAATTTTGAATTTAGATTTGATTTTGAGGGATTGTATGTTCATTTTTATAAAATGTATGGTATGTAAAGGATGCTGTTTTGTCAATCAATAACAATGGAAAACGTCAATGTGAATGAAAGCCTGTGTAGATGTGAACTTAAACCATAAAGATAATCACAAAACTTCACATATATTTCATTGCCTAAATTGCTAATATACCGGTTCTGAGAAAAAATGTTATCATTTGAAACTGAAAGTGAAAGGCGTATTGTGATAGACTGGTATACCGTTAATCGTGGTAATACCATGCAGTCCTATTTGAGATATTCTTACACAAGTTGACTGCAGCTGTAGTCATTGTAGCAGAAGCTGGCTATAGATAATGAGATATTTACCTAGGTTATTTGTTTTCTTTGGTCTAAAGGTCTCAAAGCCCATAACTGTAGCAACCTTATCGCTTCAATGATTGTAACTCTATAGTAAGGAATGGGAGTTAAGATCACCTAGCACTAATATGACTTTGTGCAATGAGGCCAGGTTATTAAATGAGGGTCCCAAACTGCAAAAAAGGAGTGGCACTAAAAAATGAAATATCAGAATTCATTCCTTAACATGCATAGTAAGTTTCTGCATCTCTGTGTATGCACTTGTTATTTGTTTTGCATATGTTTACAATTTTAAAGCATAGATGTTAATGTCTGAATTTGAATTCTCAGTTTCAGCATTCCCAGTGTTCACGAATGGTGTTTCAAAGTAACAGGACATTGGGTCCTGTAAGTTTCAGATGTCTGTCTGACCCACTGAAAATTCACAGGGCCCATAGAATAAAATTAAACACACATTTCAGATTTAACATTTCTTATAACTGGCATTGAAATTATTAACAAACATAAGATTTATTAACAGCAAACAAGTGTCACATGTCACATATAACAACTTCAGTCAAAATCATTGTGAAATATACAGTCAGACACTGGGACTGTCAGGTTGTAGACTTCTATCGGACCGTTGGCGAATCTGCCGAATTTGTCAGAGTGTCAGACGCTATTCGTGAACACTGCATTCCATATTTTTATGTGCTGCATTAAATACGATTTTGTTATCGACTGATTATATATGGATTAATAAATCATACATAATTTTATATTAAACATGCAATCAAACAGGACAATTTTGAAACATGTTTTTATTGTCCTTCTACATTTGTTCAAAAGATATATGGATTCAATTATTTACAAAATGATTAATTTTGTTAAAGTGGTATCTTTAGACTAGTTGATATGTGCAAAGATAAAATGAAATGGGTATTTATTAATTTGTTATTATCAAATTACCAAAATATATATTATTGTATCTTAACAAGCAGCTGTTTGAACGTGTTGAACATTTACTTTAGTCTTTTAACAGTAAGTAATGCAGCACACAACATGATATTCTAAAATATTCTGTAACAGCAATGTGGCCAATGAAAATGATGATTGAACCATGTTACTAGATATTTGTCATGTAATTTGAAATAGGTATGAGTATTTTCTACAATATAGAGAAAGGGGACAGCAGGATACAGTGACAGTCTGCAACTTACCCACAAGTCCATGTCTAGTAAAACTGTGGTCAGTTTAGTATGATCATATAATTCTGTATGAAAACACTTTTAGGTATTAATCATGTTGATGCTTAGAGCCAATTTTAGGCTAGTCAGTATGTTCAGCTTTGTTGAGGGATGACATCATTCATAAGATGGCTGTTACCTGTCACATTTCACTGTACGATGTACATAGATAGACTTTATTGATTCAAGGATTAAATATACAATAATGAATCATACACGGAACTGGTATCCATGGTATCAGCTGATCAGTCTGACAATACACATATCACTTTGTGTCTGTTTCCCGTTCAAACAACCACCTGGATGAAAACAGTAAATACATACTGCCACTGACTGTTTTTAACACAGACCTGTGTCCACTGAAATATACAACCCAGTTAAATCCCTGCTGTAGGTAGGTGTGATGAGAGTCATTAAAACGTGAACACACTTGTCATTTTCATTTGTGCTATAAACCTGACAAATCTTATGAAAATACGAGTACAAATTGTCTATGAATAGCTGAATATTCTGACGATGTTGACATTCCCTTCACTCATTCAGTGTGAGTTTGCCTGCTTCCTACTGAAAAAGGTTTCATTTCCATAGAAACCATGGCAACACATGACTGACATATGGCATTAGATATTAGTTAGAGATGTGAATGACATAATATGATTCAAACATTGTTTACCAGGGTTTAAGGGTGCTGTAAAGTAATGAAATAGTGTAGTGTACTACGTGTAGTGTACTTAAAGATGTAATATTTACTTTTTGATAGAAACTTTATAATTCTTGTCTAGAATTAGGCACAAAGTATATTTTTGTTTGTCCAGGATGCCATATATGTTTTCTGTATCCATTCACCACATTTGTGCATACTGGATACATATTTGTGCGTTGTGTTAAGCCGTGTGTTTTGAACTGTTGACTGTTAACCATTGTTTACAGTATGATACATGTAGAGAAAGCACAAATTCTTTTAACTATATCACTTGACATGCTAAGTATTTTTTGTCAAATTTGTGCCGATGGAAAATGATAGGGAGTACACAGTATTCAAGTGTCTTCTTTCTGTCAGAGCTGGAAATATCCTGGTTGTAATCAGCATGATAAGCAGAATTGGAGGTGATGCTGTAATCAACAACTAAATCATAAATGACTGTTACTATCTTTAACCAAAGGGATTGCCACCATACAAATGCAGTCTGTCTCGAAAGCTTTTGAGTCTACTATCTACGAGCCGAAATTTTGCTCTTAAGATTATTTTTAGTATATTTTAGTGTTATTATATTGTGTTTTGTTACCTTATCTTACTGACCAGGGTTTTACAAGACTTGGCTTTGGACTTGTGAGTGAAGTCATCCACTGCAGATGTTACTTTCACTTACATTGCCATTTTCCTAATGTAGTTAATGAATATATACTACTTACACTTTGCTAAGGATCACAAAAATTCCCATTTAAAACTGGATAAATAACGGTATGGTAACCCCTCTTTAGGCAAACAGCCACTTTAATCTAACCTTATGCACTTGATAGATGAGTAACCATAAAAATGGTTTTCATGGCACCAATCGACCATTTTGCAAATCATGGAACGAGTCATTGACAAGTACACAACACCTGTCAATAGCAGGTATTGGATCTACAAGATGCAGTGACACACTGAAACCAAGCATGCTTACAATAAGCTTAGATATTTAAACCAAAATAGACCCCTCCTCATAGTTTTCTGTTGAATCAATGATTTGATCCTTAACAAAGTGTGAATAGTATATCAAATGCCTCACATGTCTGATTGGTCCTGAGTATTTTCATTGTGAGTTCCAGCCAAACTGATGCAAACCAGCTTTGAAAATGTTTGTTTGTATGTGTCCGTGCATGTGTGCAAAGAAGCAAAATTGATTGATTGATTGATTGATTCAACACTGTCACAATCATTTCCATATTGTATTTTGTACCACAGACTGGATAGTAGGAGGTGTTGCAAATGTTTACTGATATAGGCTATTGTTGGCCAAATACCTGCCTCTGCCAGAGAAATCAATTACTTCCCAAATAGCACAAGTATCTGGAAGTGCTGGAAAATACTCCCACTCTCCTGGTTGTCTGGTTGCAATTTTCATCACATGCTAACAGTGTTACAGTTATACTGATTTCAATAGCTACCTGCTTCAAACATGTTAAAAGACTCTCACAGGTTTAAATCCCTGCTACCCATTAAAAAAAACATGCCAAAGAGCATATACACATGATTCTAAACAGAGACCATGTGCCCAGAGAATGAGAGATCTCAGGTTACTATGCATGTATCTAGATGTTACTGTACTTAGGGACCATTCATAATATAGGGCTAAGGAGGGGTGATGATCATTTTTATGTAGAAGCATGTAAAATATGATTGAAGCCCCCAAAAAAAAAATAAAATAAAATTATGTACTAAGTAAGTGACCCCCTGCCTCCTTGCATGTCATTTACAAAATCAATGAGCCCATCCCGCCCCCAACCCCCATAATTTATAAGCATAATTTGTAGTATCTGTATGTACAGAATTGCTGACCCCACTAGTACATGTGTACAAAATTGCTGACTGACACACACACACACACACACACACACACACACACACACACACACACACACACACACACACACACACACACAGAGACTTACATGTTTTAACTAGATCTTCTGAAGACGATGAAATCAGTATGTAATAGTTATGCAGCAATCAGCATTGATCAGCGAACCATTGCTTTTTTTAAACCAGGGTTATTCAAAAGGAAAGGAAAATGAAACCAAGAAAGTAAGATTGGGATTTATAGTTACACAACCATCATCAAATCATGACACTTCATGAAGCAGTGTTGTTGGAATATGATTTATAGTGAACCTCAAGTTATCACCTGTCTAGCCTTCGTGTGAACTTTACATCAAGAAACATTAATGGTTATGTACGTGACGCTGAGTGTGTCACAGATGGTCCTTTGTTTGTATGTTTGTGTGTATGTGTATCTGAGAATTGTCAACAGATGCTTGCCACACTACAGCTTACTCATCACATCAAGCAAATTCTTTTTTGAGGACAAAATTCTGTTGATAGCCATTTATGGAAATATTTTGACAGAGAATCTACAGTTGATTTTGGGTTAGATCATGATCAATCCAGCACATGATTATTATTTTTTTAAATTTGGTGACATGTTTTAGTACTCTGAATCTATTTCAACTGTTGTCATAAGATGGATTTGCTACAGGTTGTGGTTGGTAATTGGCAATAATGGCAGAACATTTGGCAACGAGAGAAAATATTATCTACCTATCACTGTATTTCCACTGATTTATCATCTGAAGTACTGCTTTTAATCGGGGTTTTTTTAAATGAGAACTGATGATAAGTTTTTTACAAAATTCAGTAAGTATAATGTTCAAATCCAACCAAGCTACCGGTATATTAAAAACAAAACTATTAAAAAATGAGTCACCAAACATATGCCATATTTAAAGGATTGAGTTTTCTTGGCATATCACAAGATCCGAAATTGTCAAAGACAAATTTAGTATGGTTCTACAGCCCTTGAAATTAATGCTAGTAAGTTGGCCTAAGACTGCTAACATTGTTGTGTACAAGTAAAAATCCAAATCCAAAGAATAATTCTGTCATTTGGCCTCTATTCATTAAACGCTGGAACTGAAGAAAACCGACAAAAAGTGCAAACGTAGTAAACAAAAAGTCTTGTTGAAGCAGCACCAGGTACAAACTCTCTAGAAGAGTGTAATTAGGTTTAGTCTATTTCTCTGGACAAGTCTCAAATGAATATTTAAGGCTGACAAAGGCTTGACCCATGTCACATAACACTGCACAAACTTTTAACATGTTTAACTTTTCTAAGAAAGCACCAGTGATAAAAGGTTTATACTGGTCAGTGTTTGTAATAAAAAGAATATCAGGCTGCCATCTGAACCCACAGGTTTTAGAAGCTGCAGACCCTGGCTCAACTCTTTAGGCCCTCCTGTGAAACAATGCAGCTTACTGTGACATATTAATCAATACATACATTTACTGCAGGCCATGAGGACCAACACAAGTTTGAAAATCTGGGTCCGACACAGATCGACCTGCAGCAGGCCAGTGGGCAGGCACTTATATCAAACACTGGTACTAATCCTCTGGACCAGACTTAACTAATTTCTAAAGCTACGTATGTATGTTTCAGCCCGGGGATGGACATGGCACGAGGTGATGATGGCTTACAGGCTGAGCTGTGAGAAACACAACACTAAGCCCCTCAATAGAATAATACAACAAGTACAGGTAACGCCATATACACTGGTCAACTAGACTTCCATGTGTTCTATGATTATGAGGAAAAGTCTTATGCATACGTATGTATTTCTTGATTATTTTACTGTGGTAGCCTAGTGGTTAAAACATTCACTTGTCACTGAAGACCCGGATTTGATTCCCCACATGGATACAATGTGTGTAGCCCACTTATGGTGTCCCTCCACCATGATATTGCTGGAATATTGTTAAGGAAAAGCAGCATAAAACTAAAATTCACTCACTCACCCTGATTATTTAGGCAAGAGTAAAGGCATATGACATTTTGTCATGTTGCCCTCTGTACATGTAAAAATTGTTTCTCTTTATCTCGGTTCGATCCCCGACCGCGTCATACCAAAAGACCTTAAAATATGGTACTTGTTGGTCCCTGTCTGGCCCTCGGCATTAATGGGTACAACAAGGACTGGTCGGCTCGGAGTCAGTATAATGTGTTTGAGTGGGGTATTCATGCTTAACTGCGGTATGGTATCTCAGTGGGCTAGCACTATAAAACCAGCTTCAGCCTGGGCTAGTACAAGTACCCACACATACACACGCATGCACGTCGTCATATGAGCGAAATATTCTCAAGCACGACGTAAAACCCAATTTCACCTCACCTTCTCTTTATCTCTCGAACCGACACGAGGCGGTGAGGTAGCCTCGTGGTTAAAGTGGTCGCTCGTCATGCTGAAGACCCGGGTTATCCCCTGGTGACAATTGTCATAGGCTTGAAGACCAAAAGTAACACATGACCAAAATATTCTTTAATACATCACTCTGGAATTCTCTTATTACACAATGACATAACTTCCAGATACATTGTGCAGAACACCCCACTGATGCTAAAAATAGCACTATTGCTTGATGACAACCTTTAACTGAACCTAAAGTTGTTCAACTGTCAGTCTCAGAGTATCTGTTCTGACAGCTACTCTGTAACATCAAGAACATTGATTCCATCCACTTAACACAAGTTGCAGCAATGATATTGATTTATTTACAGCCAAGTCATGTCATTTTGAGAATACAACCTAAACAGTGTAACCATGGTTACAATACAATCACAATACATCTTATTTCAGGGTCTTGTTGACAATGGAAAGAGACAAGAGTTATTCAGTTTAAAAGGTAAGTTTTTCCTTCAGTATTTGAAGTGTTTGTGCATTATTTATTTCAAAAGTCTCTAACATGTCAAAATATTGAGGGGGCGGTGGGGTAGCCTAGTGGTTAAAGCGTTGGCTCGTCACGCCGAAGACCCGGGTTCGAATCCCCACATGGGTACAATGTGTGAAGCCAATTTCTGGTGTCCCCCGCCGTGATGTTGCTGGAATATTGCTAAAAGCGGCGTAAAACCAAACTCAGTCAGTCAGTCAGTCAAAATATTAAGAGAAGTGTTTTCAGTTAGATTTTGTGCACATTCATGAAGGGATGCCCCAACTGAATCTTTGCCATTTTGCCAGGCGAGAAGCTGGACCACAAGCACTGCGAGAGTATTGAGGAAATCTTGCGGCGTATACAGTTCAGTGTTATTGATCTCGAGGGCTGCCACCTGGAGGATGAGGTACACATTCAACCGTATTAAGTCTAAATAGGAGTGATCATCCCCTATAATCCAGGGAAATCTGTCTTTGTGTCTTCATACATCCTGAATGTTTTAGAGAAATGTTCCAGGTCAAAATGAGTTGACACTTAAGCCCAATGATCAATGACTGATGGTGAATGAATTAACTTTCTATGAAGACACAATACCATTTAGAAAGTGGTCAAATGTAACATATTTACTGAGAAAGAGTAATCCCAAATATATCCTATGCTTAGATTAACTGTCTGACAATACAAATTACAGCTTCTCAGATACAGTTTTTCTTTTCAAATTTCGTACCCGTGAAGGTTCGGTTTAGAATGAACCTTCAGTAACCCATGCTTGTCGTAAGAGGCGACTAATGGGATCGGGTGGTCAGGCTCGCTGGCTTGGTTGACACATGCCAATTACTCAGATTGATGCTCATGCTGTTGATCACTGGCTTGTCTGGTCCAGATTCGATTATTTACAGACCGCCACCATATAGCTGGAATATTGCTGAGTGTGGTGTATAACTAAACTCACTCACTCACTCACTGTTCAAATTTCATAGTTTCTTGGCAACTAAATGGATCAGGTGGTCAGACGTTACGTCATTGGTTGCATATCACCATACCCCAATGGCATGGAACATTGCTCATTACATTGATCAGTGGATTGTCTGGTCCAAAGGAAGTTGTTTAGAGGCCACAATCATATAGCTGGACTCTTGCTGAGTCGGGCATTGAACTGGAAACAAACAAAACTTCATGCATGAATTCACTTTCAGCATTTTGTTTGGATGTTGTCCACGTTCCCTGTTTATCATGCATGCATGCCTGTAAATCATTAAGCGTGAATAGAATAAACAATGGTTGATATTATGCCATCGGTGTAGGTTGATCAACAAAGTCTTCATTGCTGGACACCATTTGGTCAACCAGTAGAGGTTGTTGAGGTACTATTTTAGCTATGAGGCGTGGGGTTAAAGATTTCGCCCGTCATACCAGTGACCCGGGTTTGATTCCCCATATGGGTGCAATATGTCTCCCACCGTAGTATTGCTGGAACATTGCTTAAAGCAGCGTAAAACTAAATTCACTCACTCACACACTATTAAAGCTATGAATGTTGTTCAAAGCCACTAGGTCAGGCCTCCCCGTTCAAATGAGTTTCCCCTTATAATGAGTACATGTAGCCAGGTCTCCATGGGGTGTGAGGAATCTTATACCTGGAGTGAGTTGTAGTAGCAAATGTGTTTTCTGTTTTCAGAGTGCTGTGGCACTATTTGACATGATTGAATTCTATGACTCAGCATGTCAGTTGAACATATCCTTCAACAAGAACATAGGACTAAGAGGATGGCAGGCTTGCTCCAAGCTGATACGCAGGGTAGGATATTGATCTCTCAGTTGCATGATCTATGTCAGCATGCTGAATGTCATGTCATGTGCTTGAATCTTAGCATAACATACTCGTATTATGGAGATAATGGAGAATGATCGAAAACTGAAACTGGCTTTTTGTTTCTGATTTAGGTAGCTTAATTCTGCAACCCTCAATTTTTTATTTTCCTGTTACTACATATCCTGGTATCAAATGATATTTTCCATGTGAATATTTTCAAGTAATCTACAAACAGAAAGCTTGCATATAGTTTTGAACACACTCAAGAAATGTTCAGTGAACACTATATTAGTACGGAAATATGTATACATAATATCCACTGTTCGAAATTTAGCATGAAAGTAAAAGGGACGTGTTCTTGTCATAATTCTGATGTTACAAGTTAAGGGGACCCAGGATTCACAAGCTGTTGAAGCACACCCTCACGTGATGGAATTCAATAGCCTAACAATGTCTGCTTGTTTCAGACCCCTCATCTTGTTCATCTAGACATGAGGAACTGTGATCTGAATGAACGCTCCATCCCAATCATTGGCCGTGCCCTGAAGCTGGGCAGTACACTCACTGTCCTACACTTAGAGAACATCTCTCTGTCTGGCCGAGCCCTCATCATACTTGGTAGGTTGTCAGTCATGAAGCCGCCACTAGATACGTCTACATCCTGAATGTTGGATGGAATTGTTCCTTCATCGTGTTTATTGCCATGTTTTGAATCCAGAAAGGGATTCAGGATTGTTGAAAAAGCATTCCTTACTACTTTTAAGAAGTTAAAGAAAAAACAGATCCTTCATATCACAATATGTGACATAGTTAATCTGTCACAAGGCATAACAGATTCTGATTATCTACAGTAGTATGAAAGAATCAGGTCTTCTTTAATTTCTCAAGTTGATTCATGAATTGTAATATATTGAGGTCAATCTTTGCCTCTTTCTCCTATTGAAGCCAAAGCTTGATCTTTATGTGTAAGAGTTTGTCCGAAACAACAAGTCGTCAGTAACAATTTCTGAAACCTTGGGACTACATTGCTCAGCTCTGAATTTAGAGGAATTCCATGCCCAATACATCAGCCAAGTCCCAAGCTGAATTCAATTACATACTATTGAATATACATGTTGAATGTGGATTTCGCATTCATGGTATTCATTGACTATTCTTGGACAGTTTGGACTAGCATAGCACATTTGCACTAACAGAACTGGCAATAGGTTTGTAGGGCTGCGCAATATAACCGGTGTACCGGTATCTACCGGTTCTGACATGAAAACGATACGTATTGCGATATGCTGATTGAAACCGGTATTTTGACATGCATTCGGAAAACTTCGTAACACTCGGAAATCTTCGGATATTTCCGTTTTATAAATTGTTCCTTTCCTTTTTATTTGTGCCAAATATTATTTACATTTATGTTTTGTCATGATTAGAAGTTTTTATTAAAGCTTAATCAAGCATGGTAATTTTGTTGTGTTTTTGCTTTATAAATCAAGCATTAACTCGATTATAAGTAGTTTTTTGTTAAAAAAAAGAACTTCTTGCAATATATTGCAATACATATCGTAATATATGCTTTCGCATCGCAATATATCTCAATATGAAAATTCTCTGCAATACCCAGCTCTATAGGTTTGAGTAGGATGGCTTGTGTGTTGGTACCAAGCAAAGATGCTTGACGATGGTTTGTGGATCAATCCAAACTTAACACACAGTTTGACCCAATAAACTAGGTCTATTAATAATTAAACAAGAAACATCTGCAGGTTGAGTTTTTTGCATGTGACTCCTCAATGCCCAAAATAATTTCTGATTCAGTTCCCCTTTTTCACTTGTGCCATATGTTCACATGTTTCTCAGATGTACCGTTGCCTTGCCTTTGGATGTGTTTGTGATGACTGGTGAGGCTGAACACAGTCATCTGGTACATTGTTATATAATAAGAACTGACAAGGGAGATTCTCATGTACACTAAAATAGTTGTGCTTTTATTTGCAGACTGTTTATACATTACAGTTTAATTACTACAAAGAGACATTGCATAGTTTTGCAGGTTGTGAACAATATGTTTGTTTGTACACATGATTATTTCCAGTACATGAATAATGATATATATTTGGTATAGTCAATGTAAATGGTCTGTTTGGTCTACTATAACTTAGCTACTGAACCGTATCATGTTCATTGACTTGATTGTGTAATGCCTGAATCCACATGTTGTAGTTGCGGCACTGAAGATGAACGAGACGTTGTTGGAGCTGTTTCTGGCTGACAACAAGCTGATGCCGAGTGACGGAATCCAGCTGGGCAACCTTCTCAAGTACAATCACAAACTAGAACTGCTTGATCTCCGCAACAACCACCTGCAGGTCAATACATTTCTCATATCTAACAACTCTATCATCTATTGTTGGTGTTGTTGTCCCCCGCCGCAACGCGGAACGGGGGACTATGTATTCAGCGGCGTCCGTCCGTACGTACGTCCCGATTCTTGTTAACACGCGATATCTCATGAAATGTTGTACCCAATGTCTTCAAATTTGGTGACAGCCTACATTGGGAGATTATCCAGACACCAGTTGATTTGGGTGACCTTGACCTTATTTTCAAGGTCACCATGACACTTTGACCGCTTTTCAAACTCTTGTTAGCGTGATATCTCATGAACTGTTGCACCCAATGTCTTGAAATTTGGTGACAGCCTACATTAGGGGATTGCAAAGACACCAGACGATATGTGTGATCTTGACCTTATTTTCAAGGTCACCACGACGCTGACCACTTTTCAAACTGTTGTTAACGTGATATCTCATGTACTGTTGTACCCAGTCTCTTCAAATTTGTTGACAGCCTACATTGGGGGATTACGCAGACACCAGTTTATTTAGGTGACCTTGACCTTATTTTCAAGGTCACCACGACACTTTGAACACTTTTCAAACTCTTCTTAACACGGCATCTCATCGACTGTTGTAACCAATGTCTTCAAATTTGGTGACAGCATACATTGGGGGATTACGCAGACACCAGTTGATTTTGGGTGACCATGACCTTATTTTCAAGGTCACCACGACACTTTTCACACTTTTAACTCTTGTTAACGTGATATCTCATGGACTGTTTTACCCAATGTCTTCAAATTTGGTGACAGTTTACATTGGGGTATTACACAGACACCAGTTTATTTGGGTGACCTTGACCTTATCTTCAAGGTCACCACGATACTTTGACCGCTTTTTAAAGGCGATATCTCATAAAACATTGCACCCAATGTTTTATGGTATGTTGACAGCCTACATTGGGGGTTATGCAGACACCAGTCATTTCAGGCATCTTGTATGTGACCCAAAAATAAAATGTAGTAAATATAGATATTCCATTCTTTAGCGGCGGGGGACATTGCCACATCAGTGGCAAACACTTGTTGTATATGTGTTGGTGACCATCTTCAGAAATGCCATGTTAAGTGTAGGTCAGCAGATTAAGGTTTGTATAGGTCGGTAATGGATGGAGTTGGGGTTCCACGTCTCTTATCATCAGCTTCATGAATGTTCTGTCTGTTGCAGGATGTAGGAACCAGTCATCTGTGTGATGGTCTGTATGAACAGAACCTGGACACTGGGCTGAAGACGCTAGTGCTGTGGAACAACCAGATAACTTATCAAGCGATGGCTTCTGTTGCTAAGGCACTGGTATGTAAAAGCTGTCTCATGTTTTTTGTTGATATGAAACTATTCCAGTATGTGCTTGATATTTCAGCTTGAGCTTCTGATTCAGCAGGGCAGTGGGGTAGCTTAATGGTTGAAGCATCCACTCGTCACACTAAACACCCGGGTTCCAGGCCCACATGGGTACAATGTGTGAAGTTCATTTCTGGTGTCCCCCGCCGTGATATTGCTGGAATATTGCTAAAAGCAGCGTAAAACCATACTCACTCACCCATTCACTCTGATTCAGCACAGCAATGGATATCACTCAGTTGCTGATGATCAAGTTTTTCCAATGCCTGCCATTAAAACAACATCAGTTTTATACCTGAAATTGTGCTGACTTGCATAAAAACGTGAAGTTATACCTACACACTCAAAAGTTGGTGTTTTATTCTGTGTCGAAAATATGTCTGATGTTTGCAAATGCATCTAACAGAAATCAGCAGAGTGTTTGGAAACACTGAACTTGGGGCACAACAACGTCACCAACGAAGGGATGCACATCGTGAAGGATGGGTTGCTGAAAAGCAAAGCTCTGCTAAGGCTGGGACTGCAGGGAACGAAGGTCTCATGTGAAGGTCAGTGTTGGGGTCCTTCTTATGTGTGTATATATTTTTCTGTCTATATATATTATCTACTGCTATTGAGGCATCCTTTTGACATTAGACCGCCTCCGTGATGTAGTGGTTAGAGCGTCCGCCCGGAGAGCGGAAGGTCTCGGGTTCGATCCCCGACCGCGTCATACCAAAAGACGTTAAAATATGGTACTTGTTGGTCCCTGCCTGGCTCTTGGCATTAATGGGTACAACAAGGACTGGTCGGCTTGGAGCCAGTGTAATGTGTCTGAGTGGGGTATTCATGCTTCACTGTGGCATGGTATCTCAGTGGGCTAGCACTATAAAACCAGCTTAAGTCTGGGCTAGTACAAGCCGCCGCACATACACATACACACGCATGCACGCCGACATATGAGCGAAATATTCTCAAGCACGACGTTAAACCCAATTTCACCTCACCACCTTTTGACATTGTTATTAAATATTGTGATGTTGAAGTTTGTGCATCTATCTTTTGGATTGTTATATCACCATATTTCTCTCAACAGGAGCTGTAGCCTTAGCTGAGTTTGTGGCAGACAGTCCTCGACTTGTTCGTCTGGACCTGCGAGAAAATGACATTAAGACGGCTGGACTTATGGCCCTGTCTCTGGCCATGAGGGTGAATGACACGGTCGCCAGACTAGACTTGGATAGAGACACAAAGAAAGAATCTGTAAGTCCTCACTCAAGTATTTTCTCAAACACAGTCTTACCAACTGAAATACTTTTTATTTGCATGTAGAAATAAAACCATTGTTTTCAAATAAGCACAAAGTTATCATTATATGTCACTTTTGATGAATGGTTAGAATTTGTGGTAAGGGCATAATTATTTCTCTTTTTGTACAGGGGATGAAAGACTACGCAGAGCAACAGCGCCGTTTACACCAAGAGATTTTGGTGTACTGTGAGCGTAACCAGAAACAAACTGTGGAGAGAGAAGAGCGTCAGAAACAGGAGAAGGTGGAACATGCTCGGCAAGAAGCTGCACGTCAAGAGGTAGTGAATGTAGTGAGAGCTGCACAAGAGGCGCTTCAGTCAGACATGGATTACATTCCCTCAGCTGAAAAGATCCAGAGACCAAAACTTCTCTTCTTTAACATTCTGGCCCCTCAGCGGTCTCTGGAATCGCCAGGTGACTTCCACGAGGACAACATTCCAGTCACCTCCCCACCTGCGTCGTCCCAGAACCTTTCTCTGTGTCTCCCTCCCACAACTACGTCACAACAGCTGTTGTCTACTCCACCAGCAGACATGCTGCTGAGTCCTCAGTACATACCCAAACTAACAGCCAAGAAGATTTTTTCTGTGAACAGAGTGACAGAGAGCATGCCTTCTCCAACCCTGGTTGCTGGTCAACCAAGTGAAGCCAGTTCCTCTCTCAACCTCCTCTCAGCTAGTCAGGTCCCTGGGGCAGTGCTCTCCCCTGCCATCAGCCCTACCACGCTCTGTCAGGATCTAGCCACGGAAACCGTCAAGGAATATATAGAACAGATTGTATCCGAGGCTGCAGAGAGCGGTACAAGACCTGTGCCAGACGACAAGAAAAGTGTAGACTCTGAACAGACTGCTAACACTTCCTCAGGAGATGGGCAAAGGGAAGAGAGTAAGGCTGTCAGTAAGGACAGTGTTTGTGAACAAAATGGAGGTAGTGGAGCAGATAGTGCTACAGAGGACATGCAAAGTAATGAAGCTGCCTCAGCAGATGGAGGGGCTGTGTGTGAGGAGAAACCAAGTCAGTGTGATAAATCAAAGGATGAAATTCAGCCAGGATGTGCAACTGAAGGACATAGTGCTCCGACACAAATGAACAGTCAGAACGCTAAAGAAACCTGTGTGAAACCTGATCCATCCAACCCAACTGAGACTGAGCAGTGGCAAACCGTGGACTCATCTGACTTGCAACAGTCTGCACAGTCCACTACCACCACAGGGGAGACAGAGAAGCCAGATTTCCACACCAACCTCTCTTTAAATGGACTTGCTCGTGAGCTGGCCAGTGCCTTGGACACTGTTGACGAACAGACAGATAAGGAAGTAGCTGCCAGTGCCACCAGTAAGTAACTCATGGTACACTAGTATGCAATATATCAGTTTTAGAGAATAACAACAAAAAGTGTTTCAAGTCCTGCAGTAAAAAATACTCACCTGTATATATAGAACTTTCTGTAACATGACCCAGCATGGCTTTAACTGTATCCGCTGCAGGGATTGGGATAGAGAACTTTCACAATGGGCCATTTTCAGGATTATTAGCCATTTTCTGTAGTTAGAATGGGCCACTGCCCATGTATCAATAGTAAACTTCAAAATTTTAATGGGCCATTTTTTATTCTAATGTGAAAAATGGCCCATGGCGCCTGCCTTTCCCAATCCCTGCCGCTGAATCATTGAATATCATTGAATTGTATAATCATAATAATGTTCAAAGTTACGAAGGCTCTTTTTTCAATTCTAATGGCATAAATGTAATATTAAGGTTCTTTACAATGAACATGTGTAAGCAGACCAATGAATACTACAGCTAAAACCCTCAACGATCTTTCCAAGACCTTCTGGTATCTGTACCATAGACATTCAGCAAAATAATAGCTCTTAAAATCAACAACCAGTATCGAAACGTTCTAATATAATACAGTGTTCTACAATTTGTAACATAAGTCATTAATGTTTCACAAACAGCATGCAGTTAGTATTTTTTTTCTTTTCTTCAATATATTGATGTCTAGTTGTATCATGTTTGAGTTCAAGGAGACTCACTTTAACATGTTGAAACAGATCATAACAATGATATTTTGGAATGGCATTTAGAAGTGATACACATAAGGGAAGGGGATGGGGTAGAATATATGGATGTCAACCTCTGTACTGTGACTGACTGACTGAGTTTGGTTTTACGCCGCTTTTAGCAATATTCCAGCAATATCACGGCGGCTGTACTATGAGGAGTAACAATGTATTCCTCACAAGTAGAAGTCAACTTCTATATATTCTGCCCCTTCATAACAATGAGAACTTCCAACATGTGCAGCAGACATGATTTTCTTTATTTTTGTTGTGATACTTACATTTAACCAGCTCTCCTGTGTACAGAATTTGACCTTGATCATTGTTTTTTTCCAACATCTCACACACAATGCACTAGTTGAGCTTTAGTTTTATGTTTTAATTTCATCAGATGAGTTTACTATGACTGATGACTTTGAAAAAGAATTAGACGCCATGTTGGCAAGTGTTGGTCTATATTTACCTTCACAACTGCGTAAGTATTACACATGAGCCTTCCTAGGTATTAAACCTGAGCTGCTTGCTGCATGTTGTTATTGCTTTGTGATCCTCATCCACCCTTTCAACAGCGTCCTGTACACGTCAAGCTCACATCTAATTGATAGCATATCTTCATATAATAAGTAGAACAATTCAGAGTAAAAGATCAGATTTTAATCAGTTTGAACTGACATTGTTGATATGGTTTGTCTAGGATATCTAGAGAAGCAGTCTCCCACCGAGGTAGCAACCGGGCTTCTTGTGATATCAATAATAATCAAGGTTCAGGATATCTAGAGAAGCAGTCTCCCACCAAGGCAGCAACCGGGCTTCTTGTGATAGCAATAATAATCAATGTTCAGTGAGACATCGGGTGTATTCATGTAGTCAGGTTTATTCTATAACATTGTGGGACTTGGCAACTGTCTCAAAATATTTTCTGTCATTCAGTCAGCTGTTTCAGTTACAGAATGAAATGTCCTGTCTTTCTCTGCCTAATGCATCCTAATTCATGTGTACTGCCTTGGCATTGGCTGAAACTGAAAGTAACAAATGGTCCAATCCGTTTGAGCTTTCACATTTTTTGGAAATATAGTAGTATTACTTCTGAAGATACGAGAGAGGTTTCTCCTTCAGTTGGTGATCACAGAATCACCACCCACTAGTTATATGTTAACATGGTTAGCAAAAGTTACAGGTATTGGCTTGAAGTTCATTTTATTGATCGCAATTATTGTTCAATCATATATTGTTGTGTGCCCCAGATTAGGTTAAATGTGTTCTTTCATCTATAATTGGTTAAGAACCTGAATGAGAAATCTCCCCCTCACTTTTTTAACGACTTCGTATTTTTTGGATGTCAGAGTAATGGACACATTATATGTAGAAAACTGAACATAGCTGTGTAGGTAGAATTAGTCACTGAAGCAGAAAGACACAAGAATATTTCCTTTAGTCCGATGCAAGTTGTTTATATGCAAACACTCTTAAGTGAAATCAGCTGATCTGCTGACAAATAGTTCCAAGACAACAACATTCGTTTACTCACCAATGTACATTAATCGTTAACTAAAGATTGATAAATATCATAAGTAACTGTGAGAAAAAAATACAGTGAAAGAAATCAACACATTTCATGTCAAACTTAAAACTGCAAAAATGCAACCTGATATTTGTACCAACTTTTGCACATTGTGCATGTTAATGTTCTGCTGTTCAAGGAACATAGACTTTGGCCTGAAAACAGAATGAGGAATTGGTTCCAAGCAGTGACACTGACAACACAGACCGTGATTGAATGCCTGTTACTGTTTATGTCTTTTTACCAAATAAGATTAAACGATGATAAAAGCCCCACATTTATTGTTGTAATGATGTTCTGGATCATCAGTACCATAGCAATATATTAAATTATATACTGAGCAGCAGTTGCAACATGTTTTTGTATTGTGCAAACAGGTTATCACCTAAGGTTGCACGGGGTGCAAGTTAGTTGCACTTCCTTAAATCGAGCCCTGATGATCATGTTGATGTGCGTGTAAGACTCAGATGCTGGGTAGGACTTGTTGCTGACTCTGATCTCTGCCATGTTTCTGATCTGGGGAAGTACTGGTTTATGCATGCAGCCTTTGAAATTCTATCTATTTCACAAGGCCAGGATGGATGAAATTACTCCTCAAAGCTGGTAGCTGGAACAAAACAAACATGTTTACTTTGTTTATATTCTGTCAGTTTTATTCAGTCCCAGTGCATAGCAAAATTGATTCAGTGAGAACTGAATGATAGCTCTCAGATGCTACCAGTCAGCAAGGACTTTGGATCATAAATGTCAGCAGCACAATACAGTAGACTTTAGCCCATGATTTTCAAACGCTGCTTTGATTAAATAAACCATGTGGAATAGGAAAGTATCAGTGTCACTGTATGTACAATTCTTGTATTGGCTAGACCAGCAAATCCAATGACCCCATTATCACTGTTAATATGGATAGTTGAAAATAGCTGGTTGGTGGTCATGTGACTTATTCACACTTAGTACACATAAAAGATGTATAGGATGGGTCTCTTTCTTCCTTGATTATAATTTTGTAAGATGTATATGTGCTATTGTGCATCCATAATTTCCTTTGGATTCTTGGTTTTTCTTTTCACTTCCTATTTGCATGCATGCTCCAAATTTATTAAATGTTTGGAAAACTGTTTTGGTGATCATTCATCACTTCCTGGTTTTTTTCTGGGTACAATACATTGCCTTGGTTACACCAGGGGCATGTGGTGAAAATGTGTATTAAAAGGACATTACTTAACATGTACGACTTGTAAAAGAACAATTTACTGTCTTCTAAAGTTCTATTCATGCAGTTTATGAGGAATTTTTCACATGCTGAATTTGTCAGTTTTCTCACAATTTTTAAATGATGATATAATGTTTTCCTCTTTTTTTTATTATTTAGTATATTTATTTTTAAACTGGACATGTTAAATTAATTTCAGGCATTTCCAGCTAGATCCTTATTGATTAGAGGATAGTGCTCATGTTTAAACATACTATTATTGAATTGCTTGGTTATAGCTACTTTCGTAAGTAGGAATCCGACCTGTGAAGATCAGGGGTAGAATAGGTCTTCAGCAACCTATGCTTGTCATAAGAGGCAACTAACGGGATCAGGTGGTCAGGTTCACTGACTTGGTTGACACATGTCATTGTATCCCAATTGCATAGACCGATGCTCATGTTGTTGATCACTGGATTGTCTGGTCCAGACTTGATTATTTACAGGCCACTGCCATATACATTTTGTAGCTGGAATATTGCTGACTGCGGCGTTAAACAACAAACAAACCAGTCAACAAAGTAGCAATCTTGGATAGAATTTATCCTCAGCAACCAATGTTTGTCATAAGAAGCAATTTATTGAATAGAATGATGTGGCTCACTGACCTATTCGTTGATTGTGTGCTCCGTATCACAACAGTCAGTTGTTGCTTACAGTATGATTCACTGGAATATTGTCTAGCGTAACAAACCAAAACAAACACAACACACAAACAGACAGATGTTGCCACATTTTTATGATTTGAAAGAATGGTGACTCCCAAGTATGCTGACTCAAATGTTTATGCTCAATTGGTAAAAACAAAGAAAAGAACAGATTAGTGGAAACAGGAATATTATAACTAGCATGAAAACATGTTTAGGGATGGAGATTTTCTTCACTATGAGTTACAGGTGTAATTAAAAATTGCTTGCTTGTAAATGAAATTGTCAGCTCTGTATTTTGATACACATGTATTGCTTCTTTGGCCAGTAATGTACTGAACTGATAATATTTTGACCAGCAGTGGAACAAATTATTTATTTGCATGTTTCATAATCCCTATCCCAAGAAACATATCAAGTGAAAAGCACATGTTCATCATGTTGTTGTCTTTTCAGAATTAACAAGTGAGGAGAATGCCACACCAATGGAAGATAATTCAAGTTGATGGACTTTACCCTACATGTCCATTCCCCACAGCCAACAGAAGGAAGAATGTCCTTGGCCAAGTCACCTGCAATACTTGGAACTTGACAGAAGCTTTGCCCACTAAATTGCTTGGTTGGCCGCACCCTACAGTCCATGTGCAAATGCTGTCTTGCTCAATACTGCAGCTTCCAAGCTACAGATACAATACATTATACGCCACACAAATATCTTGTTCATCGTTTTTCGCTTTCTCTTTGGATGTACTTTCACACTTTAGTTTTTGCGTCTTTACATCTTTGGTATTGTAGTTAGAGTTGATACAAACAAGAAGCAAATACAGCAAGATGAACATTGTAATCCAGAACATAGGGTTTATGTATAAAGTTAGTATATTTTAGATATTACATTATGATTATCAGTCAAACTTTATAATTATTTTGTCATTGAATGTATATTGCACAGGATCCGTGACTTAAATATTTTTGAAGAATCAAATGTGAATTTTGATACTTATCTTAAAACAAAAATTAAATAGATATTTGATAATATAGTGATTTTTATGAAAGAAGTGGTCCTATGTTGCCATGACAATATGTGACTCTGGAGCGCGTGCAGAGAACACCTTGTATCTTACTCTCCAGAGACTTAGAAGACAGTGAGTTCCATACACCCTAGTGATCAGTTCAACAAAACAAAACACATTTTCATGCTCTCTTTAATGCATGTAAGATGAGATACAATGGACATGTCAGTAATAGTTTCAGTAAGATAAAATGAGAAGATGTAAGGAAAGTAGACATTATTTTCATCCAAGTTAATATTTACGAAACGTACATGTTGTATAAATGTAATAGTGATGGTTAAGGGTATTATGTTTTTGTTCTCCACAAAGACTTGATTGTTGGCATGAAATGTAAGCTTTAATGCTTACAGTTTACCTCTCTATGTAAGGTATTGAGCTAATTTGTCTCATGTGCGGGGAGGCTCAGTAACTATAGTTAATGATGTATAGTAAGCCAGTCTTCCAATACCAGATTATATGTCCAAGACAGTTAAACTGTTTATTTGGCCTAAACATAACCATGATGGTCATGTATGTTAATATGTAATGAACATTCTATTGTACCACAATTAAACATTCTACTCTAATATAATTGGAACATTCTATTGTACTGTAACTGAACATTCTACTGACGTTGTAACGTTCAATTGTACTGTAACTGAACATCCTACTGTAATGTAATTGTAACATTCTCGCTCTGTAATTGAATGTGTTACTGTAATGTAATAGGGACACTCTATTGTACTGTAATTGGAACATTCTATTGTAATGTAATTGGTATTATGAGTATATCAATTTGGACACCAACACAACCGGAGTGAACATGCTGATACTGGATGAAGGTGGATGCACAGGCCCTCGTGTCTTTGAGAGGATTTAAGGTTAAGATTTTTTTTGGTTTTGAGATGACCCCCTGACTCAAAATGCTTTACACTACAATAAGTCATGACATGGCCAGACACCTTGGTGTACCCCACCTGCCTGCTGTACCGATTGCTACGGTACCGTAGCATACAATCGATTAACACCTCATGGATGATTGGCCTATCGATCACCACTCGTGACCTACCAATTTTGTATTGTTATTTCTACAAGTTGATTGAAACCCGATTTTGACCCTCAACTAAACGATCTTAACACAAATGGATGACGATGTCAACACAAAACAGGGATGTGGATGAAACAATCGATTGTATGTGATGGTACCGTAGCGATCGGTAAAGGAGGCAGGTGGGGTACACTGAAGTGTCCGGCCTTGTCATCATGTACTTTACTGTGAAGCATTTCGAGTTGGAGGTCATCGCAAATTTTTTATATAATTTTAACATTTTTAATCCTCACAGACACGATGGCCTGTGACCGGATGCCAACGTGTTGTGTAGCTTCTGGTAGTCAAATGAACAAGGGTCTTGAAAATAGGATCAAGACTTGCTATCATTACCATTTCGTAACCACAAGATAATATGATTAAGAACATTATCTGTTATACAACTAGTCAATTTAAATAGTAAACCTCAAGGATTGATTGTCAAAATGATTGGTCAACATTTATATTCATGGAGTCTCAGTTTGCAAGTCATCACAGGTAACTAGGTGTGTACTGAATACTTGATCACTTCCGTCTGTAAATGCTGTATATTGGTTTGTTCTGACAAAGTTGTCTTTTCCATTGCTTAATGGGAGTGTAGTAGCTTTTCCCCCTTACACTAAACATCATTTCACCTAATGGGTTGGTGAAATGGGTTTTAACGTGTTCGATATATTTCAGTTATATGATGAAATGTGTACATGCTGTTTATACTAAACCAGACGTATGCCGTTTTTACAATTCCAGCCATCTGAGATACCATGCCACTGTTTGAAATGAATACCCAACTCAAGACACAGTGACTGACTCCGAGCCAACCACTAGTGAGCGTAGATTTTCGAAGCTCTCTTAGCGCTAGGAAAGTCGTAGGTTAATGTTAAGGTATGGCACTGACAACCATCTTAACACTAGGAGAAGTTCAAAAATCTAGGTCCTGGGCCTAGATTTTCGAAGCTCTCTTAGAGCTAAGATAGTCATAAGTTAATGTTAATGTATGGCACGTACGACTATCTTAGCGCTAAGAGAGCTTCGAAAATCTAGGCCCTGGTTCTTATCCTCAATGCTTTGCACCAGGCAGGATAACAAAATGTAACGCAGCTATGAGATAGAAGCATCAGCCTCCTCAGGCAAACACTCTAGCCACTCGACCACAGTGTGTGTATCACCACACTGGTGTTTCCAATATCCAAATGTTTTGATTCCCTGTCGAGATATTGATCCAGCATTGCTAAGAATACCAACAGATTCACTCCGAACCTTGTCAGTGACTATAAATGTTCTACTTAAATTTATGGCAAAACATGACAAATGACTCTTGAATACTTCTTCACAAACATTGCTGACCGTATTTGTTCTTGGATGTTTCTGCATATGATAGTGCTTCAACACATTTGATGGTACTAACAGGTGCTGTGCTCATAGCCAAGGCACCTTAGATGTTGCAGTTTGTCCTGCAGAGTTGTCCACTCTCTAGGCAAGCCAGGATGCGTCACAGTAGGTTTGAATGCCATGTTCCCCTTTTTTAGAGCCAAGATTTGTCAGCATTGTACTCAGTTGTTTCACCATTGTGGTAAGCCAGTATCACTCGGGTTTCACCTCCTGATTTCAGAAGCACCCTGGGAGAGTAATAGTAATAGTGTTTAAAGCAGCATGAAGCCCAGGAGGAAGCATTAAGTCATTGTAGATCTTGGCCTCATTCTTTTGGTAAAGTTTGCTTACTTTTAAAACTCTATAAAAATTAAATTTAGTCAGTGAGATATTGATGAAACCCATCCTTCACCCGAGTGTCAAAATATCTTTTCTATTTCTGAAAATATTTCTTTCAGGCACTATCTTGTCACTAAACATCTTGTGTCATAATTTTGCAACGACAAAATGTCAAAATACTGAAATTTGTCTTGCAAAGAATTGTGAAGGACAAAATTTGTTTTATCCAAAATAGATTAGGAGTTGGATTAGACGACTTGATGGTTAAGTTATATTATTGGTACACTTGATCCAATAGTGCAGTATGATGGATACGATTACATTTTTACCTCATGATTCCCTTTAAACAAATCAGTGTTATAAAATACATTGTCCTGTTTTTGCAAAGATTATGAGAACATTAAAACATTTACCCCTAAGCTTACGAGCATGCATGATTATGCATTCCATGTTAAAGTTCTTGTCTTCTTTACTTGAATCTGCTGTGTTCACAGATATGAATAAAGAGTTCTTAAATTGGATGCCCAGATAAGTTAATTTCAAGTAATTGGTACCTTCATTTTTTCCTATATTTTGAAGTCCAGTGCTGGGTCTCTATCCACAAAACGTTACCTGTCGTAACTATATAGTTTATCCTTGGCTTACGAATCATAGCACTTGTGGATTGTGACCCTGGTGTAAAACTAAAGTGATACTGGTGAGATCTACTGATTTGGTCACTGCACAGAGATGCTATAGATGCTTCAAGACGTCATTGATCGTCCTGAGATTCCGTTTATTGGAACCATTGGTGTATCAGTTCTGTATTATAGCTTAATTTGTGTTTCTTCATTCATTTGACTGTAAGATGAATACATATATGCTGTTTTTTGCTGGACAATGACATATCAATTGAAGTGTACCCATCTTTTCAAGGTTGATATTAGACCTATTAATCATTGAAGATCTGTGTTTGGTATGGTGTTAACGGGGCATTTGGTTTCATACTGTGAATATGGTTGTGTTGTTGAAGTTAGCACATTATTTTTCAGGATATATGTCATGTGGTATGATATAAAATGTAGTTTCAATATGCTATCCAAGTTTCTGCTGCCAAACTCTAATGGTTTGGTTTTCTTTTTTTTGTACTAGAAAGAATTCACTAAAGTTTCCTTTTGAGGAATACGAATCTTGGGAAACTGATAACCTTCACTTACCAACCCAGTTATTAAAAGAAAAAAATCAACAACTCGTCTTTTGATATCATATGTATCAAACGTGATCAACTATGCTTTAAACTCCAAGGTGTGACAAGGTTTTTTGAACTTTTATCAAAGAGTTTTGAAGCATGTGTTATCAAAAGACTCAAGGGTAAGATTCTACTATTTTGTTTCATTCTAAATAATGTTTTTCTGCATTTTTAGTTTGTTACTGTAAAAAGAAGAGTCTTGAGTGTAAAAGGTGTTTTATATATATAAACAAAGTAATATATATATTACTTCAGCTTCAGCACAGTGAAATTATGTCATGTTAGAATTTAGCATCATATTTTGATTCAAAGATCCGAGAAGTAATGTCTCTATGGGATGATGCATCAGCCAGGTTTCTCATAAAATACTGATGCAGTGGATGAGCTTGTCCCCTTTCAACTGATTATGTAAATATCTCCTGCAACGCCATACAAAATATGCACCTCATTCAAGAGCAGTGCTGTGATGACAATAGTCGTCTTGTCATTGTCACCTTTGTGTTTTGTAGAACTCTTGACTGTTCACAAATTAAGTTTTTAAATCAATAATAGAAACAGCACAGGCTCCTTCAGCTTATAAAATACCCAATTTGGGGGAGTGTATTGGAAAAAAGAGTTATTTTAACTTTCTAATAAGTGCTAATATTCGTGGATTTAGTTTTTAATCATTACAAACAATTTGGTTAAATCTACTGGATAAAATCATGAAAGAAATACCGGTACACATTTTAGATGGGTTATACATTGACATTAGAGTGACATAGTTACATGAAGTTTGTGATGTTATTTTAATTTCCAACTGGAGATTCTTAATTCAAACAGGCACCAGAAATATTAATCTTTCGCCAAAGGCAGTGATGACCTGTTACTATGGTGATCACTGCACTGTGTTGCCATCCTATGTGATATGAACATGACTACTGGGCATATTGCATCAGTAGCCTGGATATAAATCTATTATATGTATATATTGTTGATATAAATACCTATGCTTTGTGTAAGATTGGTTTCATCTGACAGTTTGATTCTCAAGATAATCTTTTGAATGAAAGTGCATGTTATGTATTATATACACATCTTATGGTGCAATTGATGCCTAAGTCACAGTTTGTTCATCAGCTTATGAAAGATATGGCTATATATTTACTCTGGAAATAAAATCTATATGTCATATTTTGTCCAAAGTGATGGTTACTGGTACACTTAATTCTGATTCCCAAGATACGATTATGTGGATTAAGCACCATTCATCATATATGCCTAAGGGTTCTTTTAATAGATGTTGTCTGCAGGAACTACATGTACTACAAAGCCATTTCACAAAACCTGTGCCATGATATTGATAAAAATGGTGTGAAGTCCAATCCACTCTTTCACAGGATTGATAGGGCATATACATGTTTTATTTGTATGTATCAGGAAATTAGTATTTTTCTTGAAGATATGTGTGTGCATCAATGATCACTCTGCACATTTGGCTTGTTTCATGCTCATTGATATATCATAGATCTATATCATATATCAGAAACAAAGCCTACTGAGGCCAGACCAATTTTATTTCTTGTTTTTTTGATCCACCGGTCATATTTTTTCAAGAATGAGAACAGAAATATAAATTAATTTTCCCTGCTCAAAACATCATATCCTAATGTTTGTATTGGCAAAAAATGTAAACTTACAAGAACTTTTTGCCCCATATACACTTCATAAATTGCCAAAAGTAAAATACTTTTAGAATTTAGATGGAATATTACTTTGACTGGTGATTTAAAAAAAAAAAAATCCATCCTGTATTTAGGGTTTCTGAGGACAAAAATCCATAAAACAACATTAAAATTGGTCTGGCCTTATATTCAAATGTTACCATATGTTTTTGTCCCCCCAATGTGGGATTTCACATGTTCACTCTTTGTGTTCTAGCTGAATTGAATTAATCAGCCTTGTTCAAGTGAACAGATTCATGTCTGTGTAACTGTTGTGTCTCCCATTACAGTCAAACATTAGCAGGACCTTATCTTCCAGTATGGGGAGGTTTGTAACATGCATAATCTCTGTTGTGAAGCAGGATTCTTTGATCCTTTGACAATATATAGAATGATGATGGATAGAAAAGATCTCTTTGCCGACCCCCAAACTACTATCAGATCTGTCATTCAATGCTTTTGTAATGCTTGCTAATATGTCGTTTAATTCTTTTTAAAATACTTTCTGATTTGTTTGTTGTTAATGCTTCTGAAATACATTCTAATCTGTCTGCATTAAATTCTTCAAAAATACTTTCTGATTTTTCTGTTAATGCATTGAAAATACTCTCTAATCTGTCGTTCAGTTCTCCTAGAATATAGTCCACAATACCGAGGGTCCGGTTTCACAAAGCGAGCTTTGGGCTGCAATTGGTTTAAGTCTTTGTCGACAAGGCATACGTTGCCTGTGGGCCTACTTGAAATCTGTGATCGTGGGTTCAATTCTTGGTTCACCCCAATTATGGTTATTGGTTTGTCTGCACTACATTACTAATTTGTTGATTTCACCACAGTGGTGAATGTTACATACCTACCGGCATATGTCACGTTAGTTATTTTCCTTGGCATTAAGCTGAAATATAAGTGATATAACTGGAATACTGTTTTAAAAAAGCATTACACCCAACTCACTCACTCACTCATTGTGGTGATTTTGGAATGGTTGCTGAAAATTCAGTACATTTCTGTCCCAGGTAGTGACTATTGAAACAGGTGTTTTTCCTAATGCTAGTGGTGCTATAGAATATGACAGGTTTGTTTCAACCTTCTGAAACACTTTATCCCATTGTATAAACATGTGATTTATTCTTTTATGCCCTTTTATCAGAACACAGTGCATCCTTTGGCTTCATGCACTGTAAGAAGATGTATCATGTGGTACTGTAATATTTATATTAATTACAAAGCTGTACTCTCAGTACTGTTCTCAATCAGTTATACAAGTATTTCCAGTGGACTGAGTTTTGTTACTCCAATTGAATTGTTAAGGTAACATTGTAGATTTCAATATAGTGAAACCATTTTCATAGTCAGAATAGAAAGTAATCAATTTCTTATTCCCTTATTGTTTTAATGTGAACACTCTGTATTAGTGAACTATTCTTAGGCTGAGTTAACTTCTATGCATAGCAGTCCTGAGTGCTTGTAAGTAGAAACCTAGTGCTGTCGGCATGGACGGACACATTTACATTGAGATGCATTACACTCCCATGCTCCTTTTGTCTTTCATTTTCCACTGTGTTGCTTGCTGATGTCAACTGTGTATATTCACATCTGTATAGGTTGTACATATAGACTAGCTTTAGGCCCTGTTGTAAATAGCACTTTCGCAGTTTCTCTTTCATAATCCGGATAAAAGAACAGTTCAAATTGTAAATGTGACATCTTTCTGTTTCTCTCATGATCTGCCACTGTACTTCAAACAATCATACTCAACAGCATTCAGAACCTGTTTGAAAAGGAAATACATCATGTCAATGCCAGAAAATAACTAGTTTCAATTATCCAATGAGACAGTTTCCATTAGGAAGTAAAGGAAAATAGTTGTGAAAGTAGTATGATTGGGTCAATTGTGAGGTTGGTTATATTTGTTTGGGAAGTGTGACTGAATGGTTATCAGCTAAATGTCAACATAGACACCGACATATGACACATATTCAGTGTTCTAAGTCTTCATGTTGTGTTATTAACAGAGGCAATGCTTATTATCATGTCTGGTAGGATGTCGTTTATCTTGCAGATGAGGACGAGTATTTCATGTGTTATTGTAGAGACTGTATTGTCACAAGGCTAAGTACAAGTGTGCCTGGGAATAGCATGTGTGAACAGGTAGACAAGTCAAGATCTGCTATAGTCAGAACACATTTTATATGTCTTGAATTTGAGTGAAAGATTTAGTTGATGGGCCAAAATGTTACCATTATGGGAATGGGGACCTGTAGATATGTCCAGTAGGTCTGGATGGGGGAAGTCATGGTTTACATCCTCCCCAGTATGTGTACAGGCAACTTGAAGCATCTTTTTTTGAGGTTTGACATCTTGTGACTATAAGTGATGCGATTAGAAATATGCCTAAAGATGTCAGTAATATTTAAATAAGACAATCTCATAGCATACTTGTATTTCTTGGGGTTATAGGATGTTTGTGGAGTAGAGACTGAATGGTTCCTAATGATCATTTCAGCAGGATTAATTCACTTAGGTCAAATTTGGTATGAACATTCCTACAAACACCAATTGTAGCTGATTAGGATATAATCATCTTAATGTGTTTCATGTTCAGCTTGGCCTGTACCAGGTTTTTTTTATCAGGGCAGCAAAATTAATATCTTGTTATACTTAATTTGGTCAATAATCCTAGAAGGAAAATTATTTGAAAATTTTAGTTTTTGAGTAGATTTGATATTGATTTCCGAAAATTTTGAAATATGAGTATTAACAAAAGTACAAATAGAAATGTTTTATCTAACACTTTTTATTATTTTTTAAACATTTTTTTAGCTGTAATATGCAAAAAGATATTTCTTTGCATATTAAGAATTGTATTTAACTATATTCACATTAATAGGATCATTACTATCCTATTGTAAACCTTTCACATTTTTGTATCTACTCTAAGAGATC